AATATATGCTATATACCTGGGACCTTGTCGAACGCCTACGGTTAACCGCAACCGACACTCTCAGCGCTTCCATTCTTTTTCCTTTTCTCCTCCTCCCGCTGCTTCCTCTTCTTTAAACGTATATACCGATATACCGATGAGCTGGTAGACTCCTCGCCACCTTTTATTCCTGTATTGACCACGGTAGCTCAGAATTCATGTGCTACAGGTGGGCAAACTTCGACGACGACAACGAGGACAAAAACCCGTTTCCATTTTTTCTTACCGTTTCTTTTTCTTCTTTTTTTTTTCAAGCATTCCTGATGCTTTCGTTTTCAATATTTGAATTTTTTTGAAACAGCCAACATTTCACACAAAAAGATGACCAATACCAGACAACCCCTCCTCAGGGCATTTCATAATTTGAAATTTTTTGTGTGGATTAATGCAGTAAAATGCCGCCCAAAAAAAAGGAATGAAAAACACCAAACGAGGGTTCTTTATTCCATAAAAAATTTTCGCACTTTCTTTCCCATTGCAAGGGAAAAGGAAGCAATTTCTAGCGAGTCATGTGTAAACGCCGAACGAGTTCGAGTGATGAATACAAATTCAACGAGACGCCAAATCGTAGTTGATTAGGGTGGCACAGAAGGCGAGAAAAGGGAGACCCGAGAATTGAATATCTCCCAACTTTATCGGAAATATTATGCGTGACGAGAATAAATCGTCTATGTGACAGTTTCTCTATTTCATAATTGAACATGATTTTTCCATCCCCCTGATATATTTGGGAATTCAATTTTGGCAAGACAAAAAAAAATTGCACATAATTGAGTTTACATGCTTCAGAGGGAATAAAAAAATTCAAACGGATATTGGCATTCTTCGCCTCCTTTTGGTTCCTCCAGTACCAATATCAGAGTCTTTGGGACTTTATGAGGAAAAATTCGTCGCATGCTCTCTGGGTCTCGCTCCAATATAATATCCCCATGGGCTTGCAATAAAATCGGGAAAAAATTGGGATTTCTTCATCTTCCTTCCTCCGTGAGTTTTTCCGAGAGATAATTTGTTTCCGTGCGAATTGGTTTCATCCACTTCTTTTGAACCAATATAAGGACAATCGTGATGATGAGGTGTGACCGGATATTAGGGCGGGAGGAAAATCTCTCTGGGGGAATGATGATGCTCAAGGCTATAGTATACGTGCTGAGGCATCCTTCTTATTGCTGCCATTCCATCAAACAAATTAAACTGATACTCATGAGGGTTCACCATCGCTACGAAAAAAATCCTATCAATTGAAGATAGTCGCTGTACTCCTGGGGAAATTTTTTGAAAATTTGACAACATTGATATTCTAATGATAGTTAGAATTCTTAAACTCATTGTGAAATGGAATTTAAAAAAATTGCAATTTCAAGTTTTGCCCACTTGAAACTCAATTTCACATTTAAAAATTGAAAATAATGGCCATCTCATTGGTACTACTCCAGTATTCTAACGCATTGTTTTTATTTTTTATTTATTTGGCAAACTCAGAGTGGAAATGGAAATTCAGAGTTATTTCCACTGACCGGGCCTGTGGCTTGCCGCAAAGGCCCACGGGAAATTCGAGAGGAGAACACCACTCATTCGTGAATATCAATGTCGTTCAATTGTTTGTGCGGTCATGTTATTTATTCTTATTGTAAAAAATTGATTAATTAGTTATCACGGCAAAATGGTGTGTGTGTGTGGGGGGGGGGGATAATCACTTGTTTGCCGTGATTTGTTTCTGCCGTTTTTCGTGGAACGATAGAATGAAGGTAAAACATAAATCCCGAAAAGTTTTGAATCTCCCTGGAGAGTCCCAGGTGAAAACGGTTCGAAGCGTAGTGGGAGTTTATCAAGCGCTATGTCCCTGGATACACTTCACTCCAGAGGGAAATCAGCTTGATAATCCGATTAATAAATTGGCCCGTGCCGCCGCTTTAGACCATTTAAACTCCGCATACTCCGCAGCAAATTCAAAATCCCCAAAAAATAATTCCCATAATTCTGCTATTTAATTCGATGACTGCAATGGTCTGGAAACGAGCTTTCATCAAATTTCTACATTTTTAATAATAAAACTCTGTGAATAATAGAGTACATTGTTCGAATAATATGTCACTGTCAAATAACAACAACAACGGGAAATGTTAAAAAATTTACATTTCATCCGATTGTGAAAATTTGATGAGGTTCGTCGGCGGGCCATTAGAGCCGATTAACTTGTAAATGTGTGTGTGTGTGTGTCTGTACATGTTCGTATGAGAGGAGAAGAGAATGAGGCAAACACGCTGAAGACACCGAGGAATGAGTAAAGAGAGTCTCTGAGTTGGTATGAGCTCAGGAACACAAGTCCGTAATCGGCTTAGACCCTCAGATTCTCACAATTTTCGGTCAGTGTTCATATACACACATGTAAATAAAAGAAGAAAAATCATTCAACTAATAATGATGGATAGACACCCACTCACATGCAGCACAAAGTCGAATTTACGAGACAGCTCAAACAGCTTGAAACCCGCGCTCCTTTGAATTTTCATTTTTATGCCTAATGTATATAATACGGAATACACGAGGTGTATGCTACTTCATACAAGATGAGCAGTTGAAATGATGAAATAGCAACACATATCATGGCTTTGGATAACGACTTTCTCTATTTTTCTTCCATTTCTCCCGTCACCCTCTCCTCTGTAAGGATGGAAGCTCACACCGAGCTTGATATGACCGTAATTAGCCGCTTTTCAATGGTCTTCTCTCTCGCATGAAAGATCCACCACGCACGCATAAGCGGAGAGATTTTTTTTCAAAAGCTCTTTTCTAAAACCTCTAATATTCACCCTCAGCTGTGTCTTTCAAGACTTCACGCCATCTTCTTTATTATAATGTGGGTTTAGTTCCGTGCACAGAGGAGTAAGATATAGCTGATTTTTCATAAAACGTTTAACGCCAGAGTTTTCAAGGAAATTAAAATTCATCATGAATTTCTATGGTAATTTGTCGAAACAAAGACTCATTCGTCTAGCGTCAGTCACTTCCGGATTACACAATTGGAGGCTCTCTTATTTCAACAATGACGTTGACGATCCTCCGGGTCCTCGAGTTGCAGAATAATAAAAAGAAGAGTGGCATGCATAACCTAGGGAGCCCCAATCCCTTTGGCACGCGCGTGGGACGATTGATACGTCGAGACACACGTCGTTGAGAGTTATATACCTATACACAGGTATATAACTTGAACTCGACACGAAAGGAGAGGAAAGGAGAGGAGAGGAGAGGAGTGCAGTGCATTTCATCGGCGTTTCGCATATTTCAAGTGTACGCATCATATAACTGTGGCAGCGCTACACCATGTGGATATAATAAATTACCACAGACTGGATTGAGACGTTATGAATTTATGAATCGATTTTACATTTTACCATCTGTCGACGGCTATAAATATATTTCTATTTTTCTGCACTGTTTGCTGAAGAATAAGTTGAACAATCATTGGATAGGACTGACAACTAATATGCCCGTTCGATACTCAAGATAATGGGGAAAAGGGAAAAGGGAAAAGAGAAGCCATCATCGACCCATTGGGTGCACAAGGGCGAGTCTTGTTGACTCAATGTTAATAAATCCCTTGCCACGAGTACGACGTGTTCCTCCAGTGTTTGTCTCCAGTCAATATTTTACCACCAACTTCTCCAAGTCGGCAGAAAACCGAGTCGCTGTGCCATTGAGAAAATTGATGGCCAGAATATTTCCATAAAATTATTAAACGAAGCTGACCAATTGCTCATTTTTTTTGTTTTGTTTTTTTTTTCTTACAAATTTCCCGACTCCTTTGATAGTTAGGAAGGGTAATAATGCGTAGGAGTTGTGTATGAAATACATGAGATAGAGAGGGAGAATATACATACACCCCAACTCGTTTGGTTCATCTTGAGGTCTGAGGAAGATAAATGCGATAAAGTGCTATACCCAGTATATCTGTCCATGAGTATAAAATGCTATCTCATACGCTTTAACTACCACACTACCCTGTAGATACGTACACCACACGCGTATCTATACTACTAACCACATTTGCAAGCCACAAAACAATCTTTTATTGAACACTCGGTGGTTTTCTCCTCTTCTCCAATATCTTGTGCTTCCATTGAGTTGATACAGGAGTTGAGGACAGATTTTTCTCATCACAGAGTTATTGAGTATTATTGAAACCCATCGTGTCTGGCAACCGTCACAAATGGGAATTATAATTAATTCGTTCTGGGGACATAAATTAAACCATCAAGTTGTATCATTGATTTATGCGACTGGTGTTGAAACGTCGAGGGTCCCTCTCAACGTGTCCAATAAGTAATAATTGACCGTATGAATGAGAGAATGAATTTTCACTGACCCAGAATTCCTCCCATGAACATAATCAATCCCAACACTTTTTCTCCTTCGCCATAATTCGTGGATAATCCCTGTAATGATTATTTAATGGCTATAACCGAGAACATTTATCAATCGATCAATTAGTCTCATCTAATTCGTTATTGATATCGCCACAATTCCAATCCCCTCCGTGTGTTGTGGTTGTCTATCATTCCCATTCACCCACCAGTTGTCCTCTTCATTTGCCCGTTATCTGGCCCACGCCTCTCCTCGACTGTTCACCTCTCTAACGACGTGCTCGTTGATTGATTCCATAAATCATTGGCTAAAGCCAACACAACCCACGCCATTTCATACTTGCAAACCATTCCGCATACACAAGTGGAGATACGAAAATTCAGGAGAGATTGATATTTTCCTCGTTGGTTTTTTAGAGTGAGTCCTGAATCAAGAGGTATTAAATTTATGATATCAGACAGTGATAAGAAAAATGGACATTATATTTTAGTATTCTCGATGCCTCATCGTCATCAATAATGAACTAATTAGTGAACAATTCTCTGTATTTTTTTTGCTGAAGCTTCGACACTACAATAAACGATAATACATTGTTTCAGCTTGTGACTGCCATTTGATTGGTGCATCTGGCAAAACGTGTAACCAAAGTACAGGTCAGTGTCCCTGCAAGGACGGTGTAACCGGAACGACTTGTAATAGGTGCGCCAGAGGTTATCAGCAGAGTAGATCTCACATTGCGCCTTGTGTCAGTGAGTACATGAGCTTTTATTATTACTGAATTTAAAAAGCCCAAGATGATGAATTTTCGTATTCAAACAAATGAAAGGAATAGCCATAATTGTTATGTACCCGGAGGGTCTGGTAAAAACCAACTGTACATTGGTTATTTATGCCTCCCTTCTTTAGAAGGGCGACTCGACACATCGGCCAACCCACTGCCGATAACTTATGCTCGACTTATCTCACTCTCATTCCACTCACATCCATAATCATCCCCACCACCTCCTCTCAATGGGATATGTACCCACATCATCTCAAGATTCCAGTCAAACATCCTCTCCTCGTCGCCAGTCGGCTTTTATTTTTCATCATGTGGATAATGATCAGCAAAACTCGTCACGATAAATCGTAAAAATCATTCACATTATACCTCGAAAATGTTGGCAAATCAAATCTCTCCCACATGAAAACGTGTTTACAGAGCTGTGAATAACTATCAGCCGGCATTAATGTTGCAACTAATTAATTTGAAAATTAGTCAGAGCTGTTGGACATGTTGGAGATGTTATGTCTTTAATTACCCGTTATACCGGACGATTATTTTCAACTTCTGTTTCGGTGTTTTTTTCAGAAATTCCACAAGTGATTCACACCCAGGGAATCGCAGGAGAGGATAATGGGGAACACGATGATGATGATGAGCATGGATACGATGGCCGAGCTGGTAAGTAAGTGGACTGAGAATAAAATTCAGCAGCAGAATGCACCGACTAATTTTCGACCATTTCGACCATTCAGAGACACATATGACTTGTCGAAAATTTGCATTCTGGGGTGCCATGTTCATTCCATTACGATTCGAGATAATTCTCAAATGAAGAGAAAAAAAAAATCCCTTCACAAACGGAAGGAGCCTCGAAAGAATATACTCCACCATTATCGTAACCATTATCCGACACAGCTCGAATTAGAACCAGATAACAAGAGTCACAGGAGAGGCCGAGAGAGTATTGTGCTTTTAGTTGTGCCCCGGGTGAATTCCACGACACGACTATAAAATCAGACAGGGATAAGGGAGGATAGAGAGCGAGAGGAAGATGAGATTTGGAGGTTTTAGGTGAGAGAGAGGGCCCGCCGCAGTCACACGGGGGTTGGGAATTGAAATTCGAGGGCGATATTAATTTAGCAAAGAGTCGTGCATAAAAGGAGAGGGGGAGAATGGGTTCAAGAGAGAGAAAGGAAATGAGAGGATGGGAGAAACGCGTCTTGCCGCTCGGTCGCAGCCTCTCAGCCGCCCCCTAATGGCTTAATTAAAACCACCCTCGCGGAGCGGTACACGTTTATACCCTTGGTATGGACTCCTTCCTTCCTGCCTTCCTCTCTTTCGTGGCACACGTAATACGTTGTATCGCCATGCCCGTGTATATTTACGCCCCGCTGGCCGCTCTCATATTATTTCCAAATATTTTTCATTTCCTTTTTAAACAACTTGAACAATATACATTCGAATTTAGGTGTCGTTTCCCGCCATTTTATTGCTCACATCGAGCCCGTCACATTTTTTACGGCATCACAAAAATAAAAATGAAAGAAAGCAATGCATGCACCGTCACGGATTGCATCTATATGTTAATGCCCTCTGATGTGAAGGCGCGTTACGTCGCGTGTACGTTACACCCACGCGCATAACGTCCAGAGATAGAACCACACAACATACACCGTGGAATGTTAAAAGGCAAATAGCTGCTTACTATTCCATAACATTGATCTATCGAACATTATCCATACTGCGGGAAATCCGGCGAATGTCTTATTCTTTTAAAAACTGTCCAGCTTTCAACGAACAAGTGAAAAAGTCGCTATTCGAGACGCCATATAAGAATTGTCCTTGATGTCGATGTCGATGTCGATGTCAGTGTGCCACGAAAAATTGAATGTCCATTTGAAAGATAAAAATTTGTTTCAAGCCCGAAGCCGAGTTGTTTTTTCTCATATCCCTAAGCATCGAAAGAAGAGGGTGGGTGCATGCGCTCGAATAAACGCAAGGGTCCTTTCCGTGTCGGAAAACATATAACCGTACTGACAATGTTTGCACACATTGTGCATCGATTGAGTTTCCACGCACGGGAGCTGCGGTTTTAAGCTCATTCGCAGGATACTAGAGTTGTATGTACGAGTATATAGGAGGAGAGAGTGGAATCGTTGAAGGGTGCATATGGGCACCAAATTCAAGAGGGGTAGAGAAAGGGAATAGGGAAACCTGGAGAAAGCTCATATACAATGATCAAGTGAAGCCAGTAAATCCTGCATGCGTGCGAGCCCACCAGATAATAATAACCCTGGCAATTTCGTGATGCTTGTTGCTTCACTGAATACAATTCAACACTTGTGTACGTCAATCAGTATTTGTCTGCACCTTTATTATTCACAAGACTTATTAAGTACGTCAGTGGGGATTATGTATCCTCAATTTCTTTTCCATCAATCATCCTTGAAAAATCGAATCTTTCATTTCATCGTCTTCTCTCTACGTTTTCAATCAAATTTCACAATATACTTCGATTTTTGTTGAAAAAAAAAAAAAAAACCAACGGATGAAAGTAAAACGAGAATGGATAATGGAATTGTCACATTGTATTAACGAGACAGATCCCCTCAATCAAACAACAATCGCAAATAATCTTTTGACGACAGTTGCTTTTGGCTTCCTATACTAATATTCAAAGGGATTTCATAGATGTTTGCGTCAATTCAAGAACCTTCATGCTCGTATTGGAGCAAATAATGGGATCAGTTCTTTCCCCTAAAAAGAAAGAGAAAAAAGACGTGTATCTATAAAGATGAAAAAGAAGAACGTTTGCGTGGATACTTGGGTGGTCCAGCAACGAGTCTTTATGATGCATTTCTCTAATACACGTTTTTTTTTTCATATAATGGGGTGTAAAAGAGGATCAAAGCGTATCGTGCAAGACAGCCGAGTTGATGTCCTGTCGATTCACGTTCTCATCACAATCTTATTGGCGGTTCGGTCTTGCTTGTTCCGTCCGATAAGTACAGACAGAGAAGGGACGTGGGGAGAAGAGAGGGAAGCACTCGTTTTCAGGGTAAAAGATTTATATGCCGGTTTGCCAGCGGCCGAGGGAGCCAACATTGCACTTTTTTTTATTCATCTCTTATTTTATAATTTTTATCCTGTTTTTTTTACTCTGAATATTTTTATTGGCGGGAAATTGTCAATAAATTCAATAAATGAATGGAAACTTACCACAAGGTCCATAAAGTTCAAAATTAAAATTACTCATAATAAAAGAAAAAACAGATAAGAAAAACGCAATGAAATGAAAGTTGGTCTTTTCTCAAAAAAAAAAAAAAGGTTTAGATAGCGATATTCCCACCAACGTCAGTAGTATCAGAGAGCAATATTATTTCTTTTTTTTTTCTGGCCACCTTCCAATAAACTTTTACTGATGGTACTCACAGGAGCCTATCGATGCACATTCACTGTTCTCAACCGCTTCGTTCCACCATCTGCCCAATCGATGTTTCTTTTTGCACTCCTCTCTAAATGGAAATCGGTACATTTATGCATCCAATATCCAATATTATAACGTACCACAAGGTGTTTCAGAATACACGTAGCGTTTTTCCTCTCGATCTCTTACACAGTTATCTAAGAATATCGAAGTCGTTTCTTATAGGCTACGCTTTCCACCCAATGACACGAAAAGCTTATTTTCCAACGAAATATTTTTCCAATTTTCCAGACGACTCGTCTGTGTATATTCCTGACCTCATAAGCATTTTTATATCAAATCAATGGAGATTGAATATAAAGTGAATTTACAAGGAATATATAAATGACAGATTTATGGATGAATTATAATTGAAAATTCGCTATTGAATATATTGAACGAGACTCTGACATTGATACGAATGAATTTCCATAATTATCGTCTGCATGCGGTTAATTATCCATCGGCATTTCCCACATTCGCGACCCACAATACTCATGAAATTTGGTGTATTGATAATTACAACACGGTCCGTATCAAATTAACGGTATTCAGCGCAATGTCTGTTGTATCATTTGTAATTTAAACTCGTTCCTTTTGCCACTTTTTACGAGCCACGCATCGAATAATCATATTAATTTCCAATAGATATCGATCTTAATCGTCGAATGTGCATGTTCCCCCTACACTCATTTGGCGGTATGAATTCCAGCGGTGTACATAATAATAAGTTAGTCTCAAAAACTTTGGTAATCCTGGCGAGAAGCAGGCACCAAGCGGGGATTGAAAAGCGGGCGGTGAGCGCAAGGAGCGGATCAATTAGTCTTGATTCAAATTAGCCGCCAAGGCGGATGGTAATTAACTTTGGTTTAGGTCGTGAGACGTCCGTAGCTGCTCGGCAGCAGCGAGAGAGGCCGGCTCCATTTAATGTCCTGCCCTTGCGTGCTAATAATTCACATAATTAATAATTGTAGTAGTTGAGAGTTGTTTTATTTTTCAATTTTTAATTGTTTCAATTTAATTCTCTGTTGGTGAGGCACACGTGCTATGACAGGATGACTTATATTTTCAAGCAGAAACAAATAGACTCGGTGTACTTATTTTTATTCAAAACCGCTGTGCTCTCTGGAAAAGAAGGGAGATAGAGGAATGAGAAATAAAAAGTCAGACTGTATGTTCGAGACAAACGGCCTCTCCGAATCCGCATTTACAGCCTCTCTCGCATGTGTATGTACGTGCATTGGTAACTCCCGCTAATGACCCAACAGCCCAACAGCCCATTGGTTCTCAACCAATGTGTGAACATGACGAAAAACCACAATTTTCTTTTATAACGGGAGACTGGGTTATTTTAAATATCAATAGTTCATTGAATTGTTAATGAAATTGGACAATTTTTTTTTCTATGAAAAATTAAACTCTTTTCCTTTGAGATGAATCTAGACTTGAAAAAAAAACATTTTGTGCAGTAGTTTGCATTCTAAGAATTAGCCACAATGAAATCACCCCATCTCCGTGAATCAAAAATCACTCTTTATCATGCCAGGAGTCTCTCGTTAATTAAGACATGAGTTGAGCATTACATATTTACGACTGTGTGACAGAGTTAAAAAACGAAACTACGACGTATATAAAGATGAAAATGAATGAAGAAAAAAAACCCCAGAGAAGCCAAAAGAAACAATAAATAAAGAGGGTAGCCGAGAGGTGATTGTATGAACGGTCGGAGAAGCGTGACGAAGAGGCGAGAGTAATCCAAGGTAAACACGCAGAGCCTGACTAAAAATTTTTATCGTCGTCTTTTATGAATGCATCCACCATCCCTCTCTCCTCTTTTTTCTCCCTCAACCATTCCTTACGCTTGTCTTTAACGAATGGAGCCTTTTACACTGGTACACAAGCCGCACAATATATAGTATATGCTCAACTTATATAACTCTTACCCTAACTCCCCCTTTTGTCATTAAAGTCCTCGTCAATAATGGAGAAATTTTTATCAATTGGTGAAATCAATTTTTTTACCATCAACGGGGGAAAAACGTGAGAAATATATTTCTCAATCATTAAACTCTTGGACATTTCAACATATAATTGGACAACGATGGGAGTATCTACTTCGATTCAAGTAGATACTCCCATTCATAAAATAAAAAAATTGAAAAACGAAAACAATCGCGATAATGTGAATCTTCTCGGTATTTCCGAGTACCTCCATGACAGAACACGTTTTTTTCATGTTAGTGAAGGCATATGAAAGCAGAAGAGGGAAGCGCAGCGTGTAAACGCGGAAGGGAAGGAGGAAGGTAGTCACGATGCACCAGGGGTGATACGTTATTTTGCTGAAGTACATTGGCTTTCATGGGCGGATATAAAAGGAAAAAGTAGTTGAGCGAGGAATGATTTTTCTGGAGGAAAACACCGTCCGCATCTTCTCCTTCTCCGGGAGGCGACATTATTTTATATTTTCAGCACAAGTGAGGAGTGACAAACCACCGAGGACAATTAAAAAATCAGAGGGCTTTAATGAAAAGGGAGAGGGGAAATCAAATTGCATAGAGCCATAAATTGCCGAATTTATTCACTCCCTAATTTATTGTTCCTACGTTATTAGTCTGGGTGAGATTAAATCCCCACCGTAATCCTGTCCTACCTAATCTCAGAAGTTTGCTGGAACTGACTGTATACGTCGCCGAACAGCAGTTACGACAGTAGCAACAGATTACTGATATATACAGTGAGTGGATCAACATTTTTTTCCCCCCTCTGTCTCAAGGAATAAGGGGACAAAGGGAAGATAAAGACGACAATTTTCCAAGGACATAGCAATTATCGTACACGACTCAGTCGAGCACAAATAAATGAATGAGCTTATCTATTTTGCCTGCTGGATTTAATGAGGCATATTATATCCTGAAGATGGCCCAGAGTCTGTCGATAAACAGGCCGTCTATTTGGCCGTGTTAACGGTAGTGGTTACGTCCCGTAAACTATTCCAAACTACTACTAATTTATTGCTTTGCGGTCTGCCTCTCCAATCTTGTGTAGACATTATCATTTTTCGTTTGAAAACTTTAACATTTCATTCTTATTTATTGATAACGAGTGGCAGTTTTCTATGTTCACTCTCGCTGGCTGGCTGGCGGAAAATCTCTTGAAAATATAATCTACGTGACTCAGAAAACATTAATGAAAAGTGGAAGAGGGAAGGAAAATTCTTCCTGCCGCTGGATAAAATACACCTGAAAGCGGGAGAAACACACGGAGCAAATATTTTAATGCTGGCTATTAATTTCCTGTATAAGAATTCTGTAGGGGGAAATGCGCTGTTGAAAATAATTTGGAATTAAAGTGACAGTTAAATTCTATTCGTCATTCATAATTATCAATGTCCGGAAGTATCAGGACTTCAGATCATCCATCAATCAAAATCTAACGATGGAAAAACACTTCCATTCGTAAAATTTCTCATTTATATTGAGAATTAAAAACTACATTTCTTTTCATGTTAAACGGACACAGATATTTCAACGACAGCTCTGACTTTTAAATTTATGGTAAAAATTGATAATGTCATCGAATTTAGGATTGAATAATTTTCAACAATTTTTCTTTTCGTATGGAACTGAAAATGGATGAAAATTTCAATTTTTTCAACTCGATTTTTTCACTCTGTGCCCACTCATGTTCGAGGAGTTTCTCACATTTGATATATCACTCATCACAGAATTCCTCTCCCTTAAATATGAGAAAACTGCACCACAACCGGATAACTACAGTAAAATGAGTGAAATGTTGCTTGAAGCAGAAAAAGACCTGATGAACTATGGCATAAACTCTCTTCCACCCGACCTCCCCACTCATCGATTCTATAATCCCGTACAACACAGCCTTTCTATGCCAGTTTTGTTGGTAAACGAGAGGATCAGAGGGAAACTGAATGAATGCGAGAGAGAGATGAAAGCGCATGGAACCCCGAGGCGGCGCTTGTCTGTGGCTAACCAAATTAAACGTAATTTGAATTTCGTTTGAAATTCAATCGATGCCCTACGGCTAAATGCAACAAAAAAAGAGAGAAAACTCTGGGCAAAAAAAAAGAAAAAAATTGAATAAAAGGGGTGGGGAGAAGTACTGCGGAGCTATCGAATGAAAATATCCAACATTCCGGTATCAGAATACCCAAAAAACGACTATCAATTCTGACTATGAAATTTCCTCGAAAATCTAACGAGGGAAGAGATGAAATGAATGTAAATGAAAGAAAAAAAAACAAAACTGAACAGAGCAAATCCCCTATCGCCCCTTTGTGCAAAGTTTTAACAGCGAAATAGGAACGAAAGTAAATAAAAATCATGTGCAAAAAAATGGAAGGGAATGCGATAGGCCCGACTATCTCGTTACCCGGCTGGACTGCCAAATGTATTGTGCCAAAAAAAAAAAATTAAATAAAAATAAGAGAGTTGGAAAAAATATGAGACTGTTGGTCTGTGCAATACTATCATAGTTCTCTTATTTTTTAGATAATATTCATTCATTAAAAAAGAAAAGCCGAGTGACGAACCGAGACATTCAGATTTATTTGCAAACACTGTCCATAAATGTAGAATACATGAAAACGAGGGGATGATTGAAATTGGCAAAGGGCGAAGACCATTAATCCGTTTAATTTCAAGCTAACGAGACATCCTTTGTGTCGATTAACCCGAGAAGAACCCCCACGGCCAGTGTCAATCCCCATTTGTGTGTAAGCAATCTAATCGGGCTGTCTCGATACGTCCCTTTCCCCTGATCGCCGCCCATTCGTTTCTCCTTTTTTTTTTAATGTAAAATGGAAAAATATAAGCCCGTGATAATTTTTACACGTTATTGGGAGACGAATGATGAATGTATCGACTGGAGACAATTTTCTCGCTCGCAATGTTCGAAAGGCGATCGCGGACCACGAAGATGAATTACTGTGGGGATAAAGCGATTTCGGGGCAATCTCCTGCGGCACTTCCTGCGGTCGGATGTCGGGCTGGTATGAAAGGTATGGTTAAAAGTCCGTGGTAAGAGAAAAACTGGCGGGAAAACTACCACAGAATAGAGTCTCTGGAGCATCTAATCGTCCCTCAAAGCAATTCTCACTCAGTGCGAAAAGGAACTCGAGGAATTTTTTTCCATTCCGACGCATAAAAAAACAAACACCAGTGGTATCATCTTGGCTGGTATGTCCGCGTCTGGCAGATGCTGTTGTATAGGAGAGAGAACGACTTACTATTTCCAATGAAAAAACTCGGATCGCTTTGACTGAGCTCCAGGGATAACTTCCAAGATACACCGTTGTAGTAATCCAACTTTAATGGACTGTACACAGAGGGTATAATAAAATAACGATTTTCTCTTTGGCATTAAACGCGGAGAAAGGAATAAAAAATTCGACCTATTCCTTTGGAAAGAAAACGAGCTTGAAAAAATCGAAACCAGTGTTATTACTTTGAGGGAATAAAGCCATCACACATTTTCCTCTTTACGTGAAAATAAAACCAAAAAATTGAAATAAAAAGGACCCCAGTACATTTGCGTAGTCCTTGGAAGGAGCTCTTGAGCCTCCTCAACGTCGAGGTAACCGTCAAGGGGTAGTCTCCGCTCTTTTCATCGTTCCATACTCCATTCTCCCTCATTTTTACAACTCCTCCTGCCAGCAGTGTGCACCTTTTACCAAGGAAAATATTGAAATTCGTGGCGAGAAGTCGAGGCGCCCACCGAGAGAATACGAGAAAAAAGAGAGAACGGGGCGCAACACCATGTACTACTATACTACTGTACAGTAAACCTCTAAAGCGAAAGACAGAGAGGGGGAGAGAGAGTTTTCACGTGAAAATACGTGATCTCTCCCGTGCGCCAACGGAATTCACCAACCTAATTCGACCTAAGAGGCCCCATACCACCCACCCTCCCTTCATCCTCGTCTATCTCATCCTCTCGCTCTTCGGAAACTCGTTACGAGCGCCAACACCCCGAGAATGAGGATCAAGAGGAGTTGAAATTTATCTTCATGTCCTTGCTCTCATTCCCGTATTTTTACATCACTTTCGTAAATTACAACACTTGCCTATATGCCATTTAATTATCGTTATTGTCCCACAACTAGTGCGGATCCATTCATTACGAGATGCACAGGTAATGTGTCTATCCCAATCCGGAGTGAACAAACCCTCGACACGGCATAACTCACCCAAGAGCAATGCGTTATCCGTCTCACAGCTCAACGGATGGGTTGGCTTCGTTCTCACGTATGTACATATGTACGCACCGAGGTTTCATACAATCCCACATATCAATCTCCTCCTCAGATCGAGCTCATCAATTAAATATGAATTGTTGGTATTTTTTTCATTTTACCGAAATTATATCCAGTTTGACATTTCCTATTTACTTTGCAAAAATTTTAGCAGCCATTTTTTTGATTTGCTGAAAGCAATGTTTGTTCTTCTTTTTGTTTACAGAGCAATGTGGAAAATGTCGCGCCAGCACCAGACGAATGAATCTCAACAAGTATTGCAAACGAGACTATGGTGAGTAAATAATAATTTTATATCCATTATATCCCGGCCGGGGATGAAATAATGGGCTTTTTGAAGGGTTGAAAAAAAAAAGAAAAAACTTGTGGAACGAAAAAAAGCGACCCCGACGTGCCGCTTCAATAATAGAACATGGACGCTTTTGAGTCTTTCGGCGAGAGCGACCACGGGTTTACGTTCAATCCCGGGACGTGCGAATAAATCTTCAACAGGTCTGACCCTCCTCTCATTTTTTTTTTAACCTTTCTACTTTTCATCCTTTCCTCACTTGCGACAATATTTTCGGGATTATTCGTAGCTATTGCATTGCACAAACTAATTTATTTATACAAGAATTCTAGTTACAGTGATTTTTCGGAATTTCTGTTTACAATATAATAATTTAGAGTTAATGGTGAGAGGGGCTAAATGAGCCTTTTTGACATTTTCATCGTTTTATTATTTTCATCGGAAAATAATACAGTCTATTCTATTTTTTTTGTCAAAATTTTTGCAAGTCTGTTACGCTAGACGAGGGCTTTTAATCGAAATTTAGCAGTCATGTTAAAATTAGTGATTCGATTGAATGTCTGATTTTTCATCAGTGCTCCATTCGCTTTTGTCATCACACCATGTTCACTCTCAGTGAACTTGGAATAGATTTCACGGTGGGGTTAATGCGACAACGACTTACGAGCTTTGACTCCTTGTACTCACAAAGCCACAAATTCGTTGGCTGAAGGGGCGTCACTAAACGGCCCATTTGCTACCGCACGTCCAGTTGATCGTTTTTCGGCGTGAAACAACTGCGGCGATGGTAGATATATTGCGATTTTATTTAATGCACTTTTTTCATTCCTTTTTGGTTCAGTCTAATAGAGAGCAAGTGGAAATCCATGTCGCATAAGGATGAGATCGATGGGGCGTTAAATTAACCCGGGAATCTCTTAAATGGTGCTATAAAATTTATCTCGTTTCAATGTATTTGTTGTTTCTTGTTTCGCATTTATTATTCCTATGGAGACTTGATGAAGAATTGTTGAGGGGGAAAACTTTCCGGAGAAATAAATAGCCAATTCATTGCCCTAAAATGGATCTCTTGAGATTTTAATCGCGAAACAGAAAATTTATTATTGATGCTCTCTGCTCGTCGGCGTTGCCCGGCTAAAACCGGGGATTGTTTCAAATATTTCAGGAAATACGAAAAATTATAATTTCTCTTAGAGAATTCTATAGCGTTCTAAAAAAATTTAAGAAATGTCAAAATTGCAGATCAGAGCACTGGAACAACATATTTCTACAATTTCCATATAATTTTCAGCAATCCTTGGTCGAGTAACGGGTAGACAAAAGTCCAACGAAGTATCGAATTCAGCTGGAAACTCATTCGCCAAATTTACCCTCAATGTCGATCTTATTTACAAACGAGGGGATGACTCGATGATAAAACGAGGTCCCATGGCTCTCTATGTGCACATGGCCGATCTGGCCTGCAGATGCCCCAAGATCAAGCCAAACAAGTGAGTGAATATAATCGTCTTATCTTAAACAACAGCTGGTCGCCCTAATAATCCCAATTGAATGATTCGACTATTTAGTGACCCCTTCATTTCTTAAATGTCATCCAGTGTTAAATATAATATAACAGAGAATGACATTATGCGGGCGTGAGATGTGTCCAACTTCTTCCCAAACCTGACTCCATTATTTGAAAAAATATAGCTATCGATATGAATTAATTTTCGTCTTTTTTTTTTCTCAATATTTCAGATCATATCTATTTTTGGGTCAAGAGAATGACGGTAGTGGATTGAATGGGCTTGCAGTAACGCCAAAATCAATTGTTATTGAGTGGCGAGACGAGTGGCATCGGAGAATGCGTCGCTTTCAGCGTAGAGCACGATCGTGCCACTGAAGGATCAAACGCCGAGGGTTAATGTCACAATAGAGTCCGTAACAACAAAAAAAAACCGAGGGATAAAAAACGAAAAAATACACTACATACACTATCCATTTTCTCTCGATTTAACTCGAGACAGGATCGATAATAAGCGAGCTCTAAGTACACTCGCCAACTACTCGACATACCCACTCAGCGGTGCTTTAACCTCCCATTTAATCCCCCTATTTCTAAAACCCTGGGAAATTCCATTTTTTTTTCTTCCAAAATTATAAAATAATTCTGTTGTTGACTCTTTCCTCGTGCCCCTCAGCGTCCGGAGCGTGTGAATATATTTCGTTAGAAAAAGGATTCGAGGGCTCTCCAATATCACGGCTCACAAATATAGTGAGTGTAATTGAGGGAAACAAACATGTTTTCATCGTCGAATAAAATTTAGTTACTAGCACAAATATCTATCTGATGTTTTCCGATCAAAGGATTTTTTTTCCAACCATATAAATATTATTGGCTGAATGTTTGCGCACCCACTACCATCCACATGAGCGGGATTTACTGGGCGTAACGTTTACATTTCAAATTTTGATTTACTCGTACCAACCGCCGGTTAGGTATTTCATCGTAATTCATGCGCTCCCTTTTATGTTAAATTAGATCAAGAGGGACTAAGGAAAAACAATGACCCAAAATACACTTACATCTTACGCACCGGCGATATTTGTGGCCTCGAAAAAGTTGGTCCCAAGATATTATTGATTTTAACAAATGAAAGTATTTCTGTTCGCCGAAGAGTGAGTTGCATAATAGCAAAGACTTTATAACTATTGAGACAATTTTTTTAACGATTTTTTTTTATAATTTTTTAATGTATTTATTTATTTGTCGTTTTAGCGATTTAACTTAGATAATCGTGTAATACGAAATTCTTGTACATTTTTTATAAAAAGAAGGAATACAAAGATGAATCATGGCTTTTTCAGACTGTATATCGATATTATACTTATAGGTAGACGATGAAACAATTACTCAGAAAAATAAATCGAGTGAATTGAGAAGAAATATCAATCATCTGTGCCACTGCGGAGTCGACAAAAGACCAATGAAAATACCCCCTTCACACGTTCAAAACAATGTGTTGGATAGTACGACTCCCTCATACTGGACTGATATTTCTCCTCAAAACGAATGATAAGTCATTATAAAGTTAGATGAATATTAGAAAATTTTCTTCGCCATGGGAGAAGAAATAAAAACAAATAATTAAAAATTAAAGATTTGTTTTTTATTTCTTCTCTACACCCGTGTATCCAATCTCAGATGACATTGCAAACGTCTGGTTTTCTCCATCTTTTATATTTATTAAGATAATAATTACGGTATTGTACAGTATTTAGGGGCAGATGACAAGAAAAGGGACACGGAGATGAGTGAAAGCATTGGAAATAATTTTTCATTTCAATCAATATCCATTTTGTTTGAATAAAAAAAAAATAGAAATGAAATAATTCATGAATCTTTCTGAACTTTTCAAAATCAAGTTCCTAGTCGTGCCAATACTTGAGTGAATGAAGAAGATGAAATAAGTGAATATATTCACAAATATTTCAGCATATCACATTCGATTTGAATAACTTCCTCAAAATGATCATAACACGCACGTCTATCCCACAGCATAAAAAAACCTCCATTAGTTGGAGGAGAAATAAAAAATTAAAATTAAGATGACGACTGAGGAGATAGAATAATCTCAATTGCTTGGAAAAATTCTTGTCGCCACAAGCCTATAAACCATGTATGTATAAACTCAAATCTAAGGTAGCTTGATTACTGAGAATCAGAAAAAATATACTATATATATTCATTACATTCATGATGATGTAGAGGCACCATGAAATTTCATTTTCTAGAAGTTGAGAAAAATTAGTGACAAAAAATTTGCCAAATTAATCGGTAAAATTTTTTCCAAGAATCTTCGCTTGGCATTTTTACCACAAAAATGCTGTTAATATATATTTAATACTGATTGCTCCAAAAATATACGTAGTTACATCCGCTGAGAGTACTAAAAACATAAAATTGAATAATAAATATGATATTTATACTTCCCAAATTAGTTGTAATGATATTATTATAGTTTCCAATTGCCATTATAGTGGATTTTAACGACTCATCAATTGAAACACGTGATTAAATTATTGAGTGTCATTGTGGTGTAATAAATGTGATTAGATTTGAAGCGAGAATAAAATCAATTAATGGAACAAATATTTAAGGATTATTTCGGGTTTATATAATAATGAATTTCTCCATTTATTTTTGTACAAGTTAAAATGTTTTTTATTTCATTTTGTTATAAACCAAAGCTACATTACCAGATCATCAATTAACAATGATTGCACCTGAGAGCCAGAAGACCTTTTCTGTAGCCCTAAATATCAGTTTTCGAGTGAAATAAAAAGGTAAGGCATCTTGATAAATAATTTCAAAGGAGATTGACGTTTGTACGATTACCAAACAAGAGAAAATGTACCCACTTCTCTCTTTATTTTCACTCCGACCTGACATTTTTCGTAAACACGGCCCTGTTATTCTTATCGATTAATACTTGCATAATCGTGATGCACGAAAATGTATTCAGCAGTGAGTTATCAAACTCCCTATAAATTAGCGCATCATGTTTAAAATACTGCACTTCATTTGAAAAACCAAAAGTCAAATGAATAGGACGGTAAAGCTTTAATTCTCATGTGATAATCTATAAATTGCGAATAACACTCATTGCCCCCAAAAAATGAGCCCCGAAAAATGAGTCTTGCAGTACAAAATGATAGGCCTTCAAGCGCTCAGGGGCGCTTGCAATACATTATTCCATTTATAAATTTCCAGATATCGGAATGTCGAGAGCCTTCAAGTATCAAATAATAAATGTGTACTCGAGAAAAAAAAAAGAAAGGCCCAACTTTTTTGCTGTGGAAATGTGACAATGCACTTCCTAATTTCATGTAATTAGAAAGAAAGACATGAAAATATTAATGGAAATACAAATTCAGGGTTTATACGCCTCATATAAGCCGCTGAATCACATCCGTATCGACTTGTTATCACTCTCTTCCATAAAATATATTTCCTTTGTAGTTTTCAACTTTACATTGCACTGTCGACTGAGACTACGATTAAAAGTACTAAAAATTATATTAAAATCCAAATTCATCCCAAAACTTTCGTGTCTTTATGCCAAAAAGACAGAAAATTCTGTTTCACTTTATTTTCAGTGGTAGACAGTTGAACCCGTAGCTTCTGAATAATCCAGAAGCCAACGCGTTAACCCGGAAATTATATATTTATCTTAAGAAATAGCTGCCGAATAAATTAATGAACAATACAAGAAACTATCAATTATAAATCATCACACCCGTGGCATCGAATATTTAAAATGTGAAATTCAGACTTGCACGATTTTATACTCATCTCGTGACAAATGATTTTCTTGTTCATCAGATTTTACTTTTTACGTGAAATAAATTATTAATCATTAATTAAAAAGTAAGGAAAATCAATAACTTAATTAGTAGTTTGAATGATATGAACTAATTATTATTCCCAATCGATGAACTTCCTTCTTCTAGTTCATATCACAATAGTCAGTTTCACATGAAATGATGAATGGAATAGTTACGTGCAATAAGTTGTTTTTGATTTGATGAATTCATTCAGTCAGAGTTGATCAATTGGCCTATTCGTAGTATCGGGATGTTTCACAAAGCCGGGAATATTTTAATGCGGATGGATCCAATGCATTAACATTTTCTCAATAATTTTCGTTGAAAGCAGAGGCTGGAATGTTTATTTACGATAAATTAACAGTTCCAGGCATCGAAGCAATTTTATTTTCTGTCTTTGAATGTAAAAAAATCCAGGCGTCCCACAAAACCACCACTTTATTCCTTCTTCTGGGACAACCTAACCACTAATCATTAATGAAATATCATTCTCATCATTCTTTATTCCTTCGACTGACGCTGACTGGATTTTACTGCGCACGAACCGTATGCTTTCGTTCCTGCAACACAAGAAATTCCACACTTCTACCAAAATGTATTTTTATTTACATATACTAGGAATTTTATTATTCCAAAACACTCGTGCCTCCGAATCAATTGTATCTTACTTTTAGCAAGAATTTAGCACGAAGCAAACTTTTCTGCTGGAGCTAAAATACTTTAATCAATGAGTTTAATTAATAATCAAGTGTTTTCCGGATAGAAATAATTTTCAAATTATCAGCAATGCCCCCCCCCCTCCGTCAAGATACAACAAATCAATTAATTTGATGGCAGAAAATTGAAAAATTGTTCTCAACACAACACAAAACTACGAAAAATATCAAACACGTTAAAATTTCCAAAAACAAAAAAACAACATGAAAAGCATTCACAATAATTTTCAGTGCTTCAGTCCCAAAAATGAAAACATTGAACACTCGGAAGAAATCCAATCAAGCAAAACATACAAATATCATAAAAGATCCGCGCATCAGCAACTATCATTAGTTTATGCACACAGAGGTGATATCCACTAGTAGTGCACTACGTGGGAAAATAGTAGGTATGTATTTTAGAACTTTAAAAAATAAAAACAATTTAGTAAATGGGAGATTACATACTTCTTTAATTCTACAATGTACGCACCTGATATATATTTCGAACTTTTATTGTCATTTCCATGAATTTGAGTGAGCCCCAGTCATTGAGTCGACTTGTTGTTCCTTCTCTGGGATTCCTCCTTATCACCCTAAAGCCCCCGGGCCGCGGTATACTCATAATCAAAGCGAACAAAAAGAAAAAAAAATACGACAACGCACAAATATAGAAACGATGAAATCATGTTTTTTGTTTTTGGTATTTTCAAGTTTTAGAAAATACAGATAGACTTGTAGCCATTACTATCATAAAATAGTTTTACTAGTATTGATTTCCGTGGGTTCAAGAAATTTGCTAACGTCTTATTTTCACTTTCATTGCAAAATAATTTATTTTTTCATGTATAATATTTTTCCATTAAAGTATCAAGGCACTACGTAATCTCAAATATATTATTTCTGGAAGTCACTGATGATTAATGATGGTGAAAAAGAAAACAGGGGAATTACGAAAATCATAACATGTGATGATTCAAACTAACAATAGCTCTGAAATTTAAGCTAATGTATCTCACATAATCGAAAAATGAGTAGATCTGATACAATTCAACTGAATAAAATCCCATGGAGAAAATGATAGTGATCTTAAATCCTAAAATGCAATCAGAATTATGTAAAACGCAGATTTGTATGCTCCTGTTTTGAAGTACCTAAAGAGTGTGTTCCCCTTGAATACTAAAATGAAGACAATCCCAGATTATTCAATCAACTTCTAGAATTGAGAGCAGAGCAAAGGAACATGTACATCTGTCTGTGTGAATATTAATTCCTCACATTTATTACGTTTAAATGTTTGTAGCTCGTTCCTACTCTATCGTAATCTCAAGAAAAAAAAAACAATCTAATATTCACAATCTCTCTCCTGTAACATTAACAACACCCATCTGAATCATTTCCTTAAATGCTCGGCTAATAAGCACCTACCTGAGAGAATATTCAATCGTAAGGCAACTCGAGTTTTCAAAAGTCAAATTAATTTGGTTAGCACCATTTCTACCTCCCAAATCATTCATAATAAAAATCATCAACTCTTGTAATTGACCGAACCAAAATTTTCCAGAAAATTGCCCTTTTTTTTGTCAGTCCAAAGCATAGAAAATTGTATAAAATACTTTTATAAAGATTAATGATTAATAACGAAATTAAAAAATAACTTGAATAAAACCTAACAATCCTACGTCGACGAGTGAATACCGAGTACGTGAAAGAATTTATTTTTCAAACCGGGTTTGTTGGGACTAGCTTCATTGTGGCTGGATTGTCCATCATGTAGTGTCCTCTGTACCAACGGAATGGATCCCTGCATTAATATTTCACATTTTTGTTCAATTGTGTGTTGCGCATTTTTTTTCGTCATGGAGAAAAAAAAACCCGGGCCAGGGGGAGGAAGCAAATCGTACAAAAAAAAATAATAGAAACAAAAAAACAATAAAGAAACATGGAAGAGAAAATAGGATAGTAGACGACTAATAAATATGGTGTACTACTAATTGCATGCGGTGCTACTAATTTCTTGTTCTTAAAGTATATTCTGTTCATATAGGTTTCATTAATTTCATTCATTACCCTTTCATTATCGAGAAAATAAGGTACCATAGAAATATCACTTTTTTTTTCAAATCATTCAACTCACCTCGTCATGCTGCTCGTGCTCACTATTTGCCAGGCTTGATCGTGAACCACGTCTGGTTGTGCCTTTCTCATCACCAAGAATTTGTGCGACCTTTGCCTGTTTTACAAGATCCAGTGCCTAAAATCATTCATTGAAATTTTTCATTTCAATTCCCATGCTTTCAATTTGGGTGAAATTATTGAATTCTTTTCTTTTTCCATTCATGAATCATCAATTTTTAAGGGACAAAAATAAATGCTTTTGTTACCGAAAGCTGCAACTCACCTGCTGCAAGTGCTGCGTGCAATGAAGAAATATGTGCAAATGTTGAAAAGTTTTTTTTTCAGTTCATATATTGCTGACATCAATGAAAATGGGAAGCAGTGAGTTATCATAATAAATAGTTGAATTTGAACCCACCTCTTTTCGTGATCTCAATGCACAATCTTCGAGTGTCTCAGCAGCCTCGTACTTTCCCTGTCTTCTGTAGAGTGCCCCAAGGTTTTTCAAGGTAGTAGTAACTGTCGGAGAGTCTACTTTGGCAGCTTTGTGCCAGCCACCGTATTCTCCATAAGGAGCATTTTCTTTGTTTCTGTGCTTGTTCTCCTCTCGCTCTTCGGCAACCTTTGAATTATTGATAAAAAATTGAAGCACTCCTTGAAATTTCAGCGATCAATTGGCAATATTTAAAATATTTACCTGCCAGATGGGTTTGTTGTCCCCATCAATAGCTCCGAACTCTCTTTCGTGTGCCCTTGTGAGAACCTGTTTATAAAGAACTTCGGCATCCTTATATTTTCCCTGCTTAAGATAACACGAGGCGAGATTATTTTTGGTCTTGGCAACATTGGGATCGTCGGGACCCAGTTTGGCTTCATAAATTTCCAAGGCTCTCTGGTAGTATCTCTGCACCTCCTCATACTTTCCCTGATTCTGGCACAAAAGTGCCAAATTATTCAATTGCTTGGCTACATCAGGATGATCTCTACCAAGCACCTTCTCCCGAATTTCAAGTGCTCTCTTGCAGAGAGGCTCGGCTTCCTTGTACTTTCCTCGTTTCCCATAAAGCACAGCAAGATTATTCAGCGTTGCAGCAACTGCCGGATGATTCTCCCCAAGTGTTTTCTCACGAATAGCAAGAGCATCATTCAAAAGATTGGCAGCCTCTTTGTATTTATTTTGATCACGATAAACGAGTGCTAAAATGTTGAGCATTGTGGCAACATCTGGATGATCATGACCCGATGTCTTTTCAAGATCTTCGAGTGCTTGTTTGCAAAGAGGAACAGCTACTTCATAACGTCCTTGACTTGCGTACTGAATTACAAGATTGTGAAGTGTTCTCAAACGCGCTGGAATCTCATATCCTGCATTGACCTGCTGCGCAAATTGAGAGGGTGGCGTTGGGGACATTGCTGCAGATATTTCCAAAACGTCATTATCAACAATTCAGTATAATTCCAAATGATAAGTAATGAGATGTAAGAGATAGAAGAGTGAAATGTCAACATACACTTACTATTTCGATCGTCGGCCTCATCGTCTGGAAAGAGGTCAACGACAGGATCGTCCTTTGGCCTGTCTTTTGCATTCTCATCATCAGCTGGAGGATCAGGATCGTACTGACGCATTTCATTCATAAAGTCTAGGTGTTTTTTGTCTTCCTCCAATTGGGCAACCTGAGAAAAATTATTTTGTACAGTTGTCCAGTTAAAATGCATCATGAGTTCCTATTAATTTACAAATTGATCAACTCACTGCTTGTTCACTAGCTTGAAGCTTCTGTTGTGTCCCTGCCAATTCATCCCTCAGCCAGGCATTCTCCTGGCAGAGCCTTCTAACTTGTGTCCTGAGCTTTTGTTTCTCAGCCTCAACCATCTGCAGCTGATTCGCCAGTGCCATCATAACTTGTGCCTCACCAAGACCCAGCTCAATCATTTCAATGTTTTTACACAGTAAACTAACTTTGTCTCTGGCTTCGGGGGCTTCCTGGGACTGCAGGCCCTGTAGAAGTCCTGTGTGCTCCACACGGAGTGCTTCAAGACCCTGGGCCACCGTTCGAGCCCCGGCCACTATTTCCTCCTGCGTCATGGCCGTCATTCTACCGATGTGTTCGATTTTCTTGCTGGAAATTAATAATTACATACTTAACACGACAAAATATTTTGAAAAACTCAATTTTATTCTATCGGCAACTGTCTTCTGCACTCGTATATATATACTAGACTGCGCAGTTGTAATGTCCGTCATCGTTCAATGCCTCTCAAGTCTGGTCGACCTTCCACAACCGGGAAAAAAAATTCTATAAACGCTCGACTCAAACTTGAATAATCCAAAACGAATGAGTGGAAATTCTCTCAAGGCACCCACAGAACCGATCACAATCGTCGTATCATCGAAAAGGGATCAATTGAATGGAATTCATCAGAGACTTTGAACTTACCCCATCTCAAGGGCTGCGCAGATCTTACACTATAATATAAAATGTATCAATAGTCTGGCGATTGCGCAGGAGAAAAAAATTCCCTCGCTGTATGTCTATGCGACACTCTGTCATCGTGACTATAGTATTAACCCCGACAATTTCAAAACTGATTTTTATTGAAGCATTTGCAAAAACAATGAAAACAAGGTAGTGAGATATCTCCCTTCGTTTTCAAGGACAGCTTTTATAATGAATTGCATGGGATCTGGTAGTCCTTGATTTTACGACTTTTAATTCGCAGGCCATGACCTCTGACACGATGAAAAAATTAATAATAATGAGAAAAACATTCCGATATAAATGCTTGCCTGCACGATTATGCTTGGATCGCTGAGTACACGTGGAAAAAGCGTTAACAGCTGATAGAATAATTTAATGGCAGAGCAAAATATTTGAATCATTTCGGAGAAATTGAGAATGGGATAAAACGAACCGTCTTTAACTTTCAATGAGTCAAGAATGCCTAAGTGAAATTCCCTGATTTTCCACTCATTTCCGAGATGATTTCATAAGCGTCAAATTAAAACCTGATTTATTGAAATCTTATCAATGATGATTGGATTTATTGGATTTTCTTTTAAAAAAACAATCATCTTTAAACTTACATTCTGTAAGCGTTAAGTGTCTTTGACATATCAGTTTTACCCATCGGTAAAGTCAGGCCCCACCAGACCTACGAATCCCATACAGAACACATGAAAAACCCCAAAGATATCGATCTCACTTCATATACGCCACGTCCAAGCACTCCACGTTATCTGCACACAGTCCTGAATTACCTCACTCACCCCTTATCCCTAAATATCACAAATCCCTCGACTCAGCGATAAAAAAAATACAACGAGTGAAGCAACAATTTCGTACAAAAATATATTGTTCTATCCCTCAATTATCATATTTAATCTAAAGAGGGGTTAAACTTGCGGCGATTGTGGGGTTTTATTCTTCACTGAATCGAGTTGCGCTTGAGCTTCGAGTCACCCCCTTGTGTGGAGAGAGAGGATATCAAAGGCCTACGCATGCGCATGTGTAGGTGCTACCCCCTGCGATGACTTTAGTGCATCCAATTGCACCTCTTGGAGAAGAAAAATAAATAACAGGGGCGCTGAGGAGGGAGGGAGGATTTATTATGAAACTACTCTGCATGACACACTTTTTCTATTCGAATGGATTCTCTTCAGGCAATTATATTCAAATAAAATAAAATAAAATAAAATAAATTCGATGAATTCAGTGAGAGCTGCTGGACACTGTAATTGAAGAAATTTCAAGATACATCCTTCCTCTTCCATAAGGAGAAAGATGTATCATTGATTAGAAAGTTTGAGAAAGGCAACATATTTGATGAAATTTTAATTGAACGAGAGAAGAATAATCCACGAACCGAATAAACTCTACAAGTTGATCATTATTGAGGTCTTCTTCTCCTCTGCATTTACATGGTGCTGTCTACGATCTCCTCATTCAAAACGATGATTCATACTCGTGACGACACGGATCCATTCAACCATGCCTAGCTGTATCGAGATGACTTAGATTTTGAATTAACCACGAGCACATTGTGCTTTTACATCGCTCTTTCTCTTTTAATTTTTCATCACGTCCGGAGTGAAATTGCGCTGATGAAACCATGCGACTGTCGTGGGTGTCAAAATTATGATAATAATAACAGTTTATCGCTGAATACAGCGGCTGCAATGCAGGAGTGAATTCCTTTTGATCTAAAAAATAAATTTTCCTCCATTGAAACAAATCAACATTTCTTTATTTTCTTAAACTAAGACCACTAAGATGGTCATGGCCGATGATTTTTTCGTTACGGTGTACTCGCGATACTCCACGGAAGTAGATTAAAAGAATCCACTTCCGGTTACACCTGTCCACCAAAAAGGTGTGGTGAATGATACATGCAATAAAAAAAAATTCACTCCTAATCCCCTCAAAAACGAATCATTTTCTAGAAATATAATTATTCTGAATCACAGACCTTAGAAAAGAAAAATGTTTGAAAAAACTCACTCTTGAGGACTGTCCGGGCAAAAATCCTTTGGTATTCAGTGTAACATTCCACTGCTGAAAATTAAAACAAAGGGCTTTCAGAATTTTCGCACTTTCCACTCTTGATTCATCGACCGAAATTCGTCCCTAGTTTCATCCGATAAAAATTCGGCATGAATGCGTGAATCCTCAAGCCGTGAGAATTAAGCCTCGTCAATAGAATAAATTATGAAATATTGATGTTGTTATTTGTGCAAAAATATTGCGATGATAAATTTTGCAAGACTATGAGGAACCCTTTTGCGAAAGAACACTTTGTCGACATGAATATTAGACGAGTGACAGAGAGTAAGATGGCGAGACTATAAAGACGAATGATAATATGCAGCAGAACTACGCATTTTCCGATGGAAATTCGATGCTTTCAGGATTAATGATTGTTTACCTGTTGCAGTTACACTGTAAAATTCACTTTGAAGATCCACGCGGGATTAAAAATGCGATAAAAGGGAGTATAACTGATAATTTCGAGCCCCAATGAGATGATCAACTGACCGTGCAAACACAACTGAGAAATGAGAGAATACACACGAGAGATATCAGCGCCATGGGCGGTTGAAGCTTAAAGCAATGAGCGCCTTTGAAATGGTTTAGAGGCCCCCTCGATGATGAAGGAAATAATGAACAACACATATGTAATAGCGAGAAATCATATTTATTCATACAATAAGGACAATAAGGATATTACATTGGTATATCGGAGAAACGGTTATCAAATCAACGAATCCATTGAATATCGAAAAATCATTTTTCAATAATAAAATTCCTTTAAAAATACAAATTTGTGGTAATAATGGAGTGAAAAAGGAGCTGCATGTGCGAGAACGGGGCAGACATGGACTTTTGAAACTCCAATGTATAATTAGGTAATTATTCAAGAGAAATCATAAATGAAACAATTAAAACATTTATCATAAAAAATAAGGCGTGTAACCGTTGATTATGGCTAAAAAGATGGTCTTGGCAGGTTTTTAATGGTCGGAAAGAAGGAAATTTGTGTAATTGTAATTTTAGATATATCTTCGAATTGGGTAATTTCTCATTATTTAATTATCGCATGTCCTGGGTTGAGAGCGAGATAAACAGCCTGATCGACATAATGATTCGAGTAAGCCTTGTTTTTTTTTGTTGTTTAAATGGCGTCAATGTCAAAGTCATCGCCCTCGTCGGAGTCATCCTCAACCGGTTTTTTCGGGGTCTGGGGCTGCTTTTGAGTCTGTTGTTTCAACGGTTGTTTAGCTCTGTCATCGTATTCAATCTCCAGATCGTCGTCTTCCTCCTCGGACTCTGACTCTTCCTCCTCTGCCTCTTTGAGCCAGGTGATGAATGGCGCTGCTCTGTCATGAATCTCCTGGGAAATGTCCTTTGATACGTACTTTTTGCTCACTTTACTTGCCCACTCGAACAACGCCTTCTCCTCTAGAATATCATTGTCGTAGAAAAGCTGTGGAATTGAAGACAACAATAATTTATCGTGACTCGAGTCATTGGTTTACTTTGTACATCATAATAATGTAATGTACAGTTGATAAACTTGAATCAATCAATCAATAAATGGCTCGTTGTAATTTTTCGATTTGAAAAATGACGTGTCAAATATTGTTCTTGCAATTTTCATATCGAGAAATAAAAAAAGTGATTCAACATACCTTGAGAATGCCAGGCACCTTCGGCATGAGTGCATCCTTATGAAGCGCAATGACCTGCTCAATTCCCCTGATCAGATATTTCTGCGCCTTAATATCATCGTGCGTAAAACGAAGCAACAAAACCCGATGCTTTTTCACCTGTCCAGCTATACCCTGATCGAATAACAACTCGGCAAGAACAAGAGGTGCCTTGGTCTTGATCTCGAGACGTTCGGCCTCAGCAACGAGCTCCTTGTGGTTGTCAAGCTGGCCAGCATCCCTGCGGCTCTTGACCAGCTTGTAGAAGATGTCCATTCGCTCCTTCTCACTCTTCTCCAAATCCTCACTGATGGTCATTCCCTTGGCTCCGTCCGTGAGATCCTGAAGACGTGCACGAACAGCTTCCTCGGAAACGTCAACAGCCCATTGAGCATCGTCATCCTCTTTAGCGATTATTTCAGGCGCTTCAACGACTATATCAGTGGTGCTGGTGTCGTTATCAGGGGAGCCAGAACGATCTCCATTGGCATCGCCATTTGCCTTCTTCGATCTTTTTCCACGCTTTCCTTCTGTCAAGGAGCTGCCCTGGGCTGCTGGATTCAGACTCGGTGGATTCTGCAATTTTTAAGAAGAATGTGTGAAACATTATTGACAACATTCCTTCACTATCATGGAATAAAAGATAGAGATAGTGAGAGAAAAGTACTGTAAAAGTCAAAGCTCAAAAAGAAAAACAATCGTTAATTACCTTCAGGATATAGGTATTCAGCTTGTGATTGCTCTCCAACAATCCGTGATGTCCACAAGCCTTGCATCCCTGGGAGATGGTTCCTTTCTTAGCACTAACCAACAGTTCAGTCTCCGGATTATCACAAGCTGGACACAGCACATACTTCCTTATAAAACCATCCAACAAATCCTGGAGTTTAGTTGCTTCATGCGAGCCGTTGACAATGAAACGTTCATTCTTAAAATTAAATTGCGTTTGTGCGCCCAATTCACATCCAAAAAATTTTGTCGGATATGTCGCAGGCCTGCCAATAGCCTTTGCCACGTCCACCATGTTGACTATAACTGTTTTAATACCATTTCCTTTGCCCTCAACTTTAGCCTGGATGCGAGGCATCTTATAGCGATAGAATGCATCGCTCACGTTGCGATTCACATTTAGGCTACCCATTTTTGTTTGAATTTAAAGACTGATTTTTGGGTCTTGACAGTGGGATTTCTCAATTTTTCGATTTTTAGTGACGTTTTTGCTGTTTTTTTTTCTCAACAAGACGAGAAGAAAGCCGATGCGGCTACTTCGGCTTCTCAATTTTACAACTTTTACTACTATTTATTTGAATTGAGAAGAAAAATTTTGATTTTTTTTATCGTGATGGGTACTGGGTTATTCCTCTGGAATTCAAGTTGGTAGCAACGTCTTAGTTCTTGACCTGCGTGCGCAACGCTCGTTCACGTTTTTCAGCGTCAGTTTGATCGCCTGTGAATAACGATCGATGGTTACTGATGCTACCAAGTGGCAATTTAATACGTGTCGAGACAGGGTGGTTCAATTCGATTGCGGTGTCGTCCGCCGCAACGCCTAGCGATGACAGTCACGTTTCTCTGAATGGCTGAAGCTTTCGATGTCTGTTACTGGAAAAAGTACAATTTCATTAGTTTTCAGTTGCAAAAGTTTTGTTTAAGGATAGGGAAGGGAGAGGGAGAGGGGAAGGGGGAGGGGGGCAAAATGGACACTTGAAATTCTTCCTGATGTTCATCACGAGGGAGAACAATAGTCTATTTAAATGAGCTATCAATATTTAAAGAAAAAGTCAAAAGTTGAAGTTTCAACTTTACCTGGAAAATTTTGAGGTCCTATGCTTGGGCAGGACCAGGTGATTCAGGAAACGTTGGGTGGTATCTTGGTAAGGATTATGCCTCGGTCTCGTGGGCAGAGGGGGATTGTCTTCAATGATCATACACGCTGCTGATCCGTATCTCGTGACCTCAAAATTATCTGAACACCACGTCGATAAACTCGACCCGGGTGAACGTAAACAATTTGAATCTAAAGTTGTTGATGTTATGATGCTGATTTTGGATCTACGATGCCTGGACAAGCTCCTGCCACCGCCGCTTCTGATGATAACCGATCCTTTCCCTCTGGATGATACCCTGGATGTTTCTGCAATGTCAAAGAAAAACAATCATTGGATTAAATCCCCCCATTCTCTTGGTAATCTTTCGAATATTCTTGGTAATGTTCAGTGACTTTATTTATCCTTCTCAACGTTTTCCGGGGATGGTCTCTTCAGTCTCGCATGTCTGCGAAACGCAACATGAATTTTGAAGGCTTTCGAGGGATTTAGAAGACTCTAGGATCATCATAGCAATTTGTAAAATTGACTCTTCCCTTAACCAACCCCAGTCACATTTCAAACTAAACTGTCATTTTCGGATGCGGAAAACAAATGAGCAATGACCGCCCGTGAAATCCTCATCTGTTTTACAATCATCGAAATTAAAACTCCTAGGCATTCTCTAAAAAATTCACCCAATACATCTACGAATTGTAATAAACCACCAACGCGAGTTCCTACACTTGAATTCATATCAAGTGCCTGCATGTGAAGTGAATTTCCGGTTACGTATTCCATGGGCACGGATGCAAGCCGTGGCTGATCACACCGTTTGCCATTGTATCCAACTTCTCTGCTTGAGGACATCGCATTCTGTTCATCAACAGTATCCAAAACTTATATCCAACGTTTCAAATGATTGATCAAATATATTCAATTACAATAACTGGAGATTGGAAAGTGCGTAATGTTGTATCCTAAGATATTGCGTTCCATATTGCGGTATCAATTTTCTCAGTACATTGTATCCCTTGTACTTGTTCACTCCCAGCAGTTGCGCAATCACAAAATGTCTATACACCTCATGAGAGAGGTGATGTTGTCACCGAATTATACAATGTGTACGGCTCAATGGGCGAGAAAACATGGTGACAAACACGATTAAGTCATTGGGGTTCCACGAGTTGTTCCGACACATAACGATTCGTCGTTATAACTATAATACCCGGGACAATATTGCAGATAACAGTTCGAACTTGCCCACAATGTGGGTGTTATTATAAAACTATTTTCCATAAAATTGGTTTCCCGAGGATTTTTCTTTCGCATAAATACTCGAATGCTATTATCACTGAAAAATTGAATGCATTTTTTCCAACTGTTCTTATCAACTTCACCTATACATAGATCATGTACAAGCCTGTATATCGCTGAGAAATGTTAGCCACAGACCAAATGAAAAAGCAATAGCAACTCTTGATAACCATATGCCCGCCTCAACTGCTGATTCACATGGAACAAACGGATTTCTATGCACCTGCAATCGATAAAGGTATCTTGCGCCGATTGCCACGTTCCAACAACTTTCCTCATTTCCCGAATGCTATAACCAAGTGCCTACACTCCAGATGAATAAATTATAATGACAAGCCACTCCAGTGGGAAAATAATGATCAAACAGAAGACGACCTCGTGGATACCTTCTTATTGATCACATGGATAATAATACCCCCCGTTTTTTTATTCCATCAGCGCTGGCCCTCTCAGGCAAATCCCATAATAATTATGGAATTGTGAAAAATTCTCTTCACTCAGATCAAGATGTTGAAATTTTACCTGCTCGACGTAGACGCATAAGTCGTGATTTCGTATGTTGACGTGTATATCCGTTGATGAATATTTTATCCAGGACCAGCCGGTCCCACTTTCTCCCCTTTATCCAGCCCCTCCGACGCACCCCAATAAAACCCTTCAGGTTTAAAAAAAAATCTCTACAACAACCCGAAAACTTCACTTCCTCCTTCTATGAGAGGTATATGAGAACGAATGATTTCCCGTTCAATCTGTTTCACAATCAGTGTTCTGGACCTATGCGTCGTTGTTGCTGTGTCGAATGCCGTAACTCGTGTATAAATAAGAAAGAAAAAAATGACATTTTAGGGATGTTATGCGCAGTCGTGAATTGAGTAGCACTTGCGCAGTGTTCAACCCTGCGATTGTACGCAGTTTATGGTGCAGTTCTCGCCCTTTCATGATTTTATTGATCGCTCTTGCGCAATTATTAGCCAAACGCCTGCATTTACCAACCCCTGCACCGTCAGGATCAACGGAGGTCGCCAATGTTAATGCAGGATTTTCCCGCTTTTATTTTTGCGGTAGGTCAGCGTTTTATTTTTCGAGGCAATCGATGTATGTTAAACAATCTCGTGTATTCAAATTTTCAAGAATGTTGGCACAATGGTAACAGGAAAATTGTACACTTGCTGGACAATGAGAGCCACTGAGTGTCAATTTACAAGTATAAATTAACAATTCATTGCTATCAGTGAGTTGTCGACACGGCGAAAGGGTCAGAGTGGAATGTTCTCGAGAGAATCTCACGATAACTGTTACTTTTCAAACGAAAGAAAAATGATAACAATGTTTAAGAACTCTTGCCTGCTCAACAATTGTTGCTGCAAAATTATACGGTTGGATCAGGGTCGTCCTTTCGCAGCAGCAACTCAATATATGTTGCATCTCTACAACGTGGCCTATCAATGGAAATTTTCTCGTCACAGAGTTGCGGAAATTCGCAATTTCAAGCTCAACAGCGATAAGAGGCTTTGTTTTTGTAAAACATTCGTGTTCAACCCTTGATGCCCAGTCTGGCTATCAGAATGAAAAATAAATACAATCTTCCACGTGATCGGAGCCATCGACTTCCTTTGCTTTAATCCCCCACCACTCGGTGCATAGATTAGATTAGATACAGAGTCGTTAAATACATCATTATTATTTGTGGTAAATGAAACGATATCGAATAATCGTAGCTATTTCCGCTGGTCATTGGCTACTTCAGTTTCATTGATTAAAAACAAACAGATACGAGAGACCAAATGCATGGGAGAAGAAAGTTATCACAAGGACAAATCCGAATGCCAGTGCAACATTATCATCAACTGTTGAATGAAAAAGGAAAGCAGACTGGCAATATAATCAAAGGAATAAACTAGTTTTGCCAATGGTTCAGTGTCTCCAAAATGGCTGTTGGGTTCCTTCGCTAAAATTAGTATGCCGAGTGGTGGGGTTAAAAGGAAAAGGGGGAAGGGCGTGAAAATGATCGGCCAGCTGGTTGAAAAGCCACACAATACAAAGGTTAATTTAAAAAAAAATACAGCATCTCACCTTGACGTCGAAGAAAAGTCATATAAAATGGTAACGCCCTACTGGACGGCCGCCTTTTAGCGTGAAAATTCAGTCGTGACCCGCACTGGGTACTGAGAAATTGGGACAGATGGATGGCCCTTTCGTGAGCACCGATTTTGCCTCTCGATCTTTAGCAACTGAAATTTATTCCCCTCTTTAATCACTCCATTACGTTGAATTCACGATTTTGTGAATATTCTCACGAGGTACTTACTTGGTTTACGTACTTGTCGTGTAGTTACACGTTGGTTAAGGTGATTGTGAAATTAATCCTCGGGTAAACGTGGTTTTTCTGAAAATTCGCAGCAAAACGTTCCGGCTTACGAGCGAGACGGCTACTGCCTGAATGCAACTGCGAACACGACACGAGAAACGATAATGGCGGCTCAAATACTGTCCTATGGTCTCTTTTTTCTGCCCCACCAGCTTCTCTGAAAATTTATCGCCCTGAGGAAAAAAAAATCTTATCGAATACTTCATTATTTTTCAACGAACTATTCAAATAGTAGGAAATTTCCCAGAGGACACGATTTTTTCATGATTCCAACAAGTTTTTCAGGCGATTATCGCAAACTTTATAGGTTTATATTTATCCAGTGGAATGTTTTCATGCGACAATTCCATATGGGAAATAACTACGGCCCTGCGGCATTCGATACATCGAAATTCGTCGCTTCCTATCTGTGATATATAGTTTTTTCCTGTGTAATTCACCCAACAATTGCACGTTGAGCTGTAACATAAGGTTTCTGTGAAGACAGATTGGATTACTGTTTGAATAACGACGAGACTCCAAGTCATACCGGGCAGTTGATAAATGTCGAGAATTCCAAGGTCGGACTTTCCTTGTTCTAACCTCTGAGAATTTGTTTGCCTGAGACACGTGATTTTTTCGAGTCAAAATAGTCACATATAAAAGTTCAAGAAACAGGTATTTATATTTTGCAAACCAGCTAAAAAATAGTCATTTTATTGATTTCAATATGTCAATAACAGCTCTTTTTAATTTCCCCAATAAAGTATGATTCACTCCATTTTATTTTCGGAGCAGACTAAAATTTCCATCGCGTTTCCCAGACTGAACCTGTCAAAAATGGAAGCAACTGGAGATGTTCAATCCCCCTACACTTGCATAACCTGTCGTGTAGCCTTTAGAGACCTGGAGATTCAACGCCAGCACTACAAATCCGACTGGCATCGTTACAACCTAAAACGTAAAGTAGCAGAGCTCCCCCCAGTTCCTGTCGAAGAATTCCAAAAACGAGTGATAGCTCAACGAGGTAAAGACGATTCCCTCAAGAATCCCGACAAAACTCTCGCCTGCAATGTCTGCAGGAAGAGTTTCAGCACGAAAAATCAGTACGAGAACCACACGATGTCGAAGAAGCACAAGGAAAATGCCCAGAAATTCTCGCAGGAAACTAACGAAGACTCGACCACTTCATCATTTATCATGGTCGACCCTCAGCCCTCAGACGCAACAGATTTATCAGGAGGAGTTTCTGAAGAAATGGAGGTGGACTCAGAGGTTGAATCACTGGACTCTGACGAGTGGCTGGAGGACACGGAGAACCCAGTAAAGAACAACAACTGCCTGTTCTGCAGTCATCACAGCAGATCAGGTGTGAAGAACTTGAAGCACATGACCGAGGCTCACTCGTTCTTCATCCCAGATCCAGAGTACTGTGTGGATTTGAAAGGTCTCCTGGAGTATCTAGGTGAGAAAGTCTTCGCTGGGTTCATGTGTCTCTGGTGCAACGACAAAGGAAAAGCATTCCACAGTGCTGATGCGGCTCGTGCCCACATGTTGGACAAGGGCCACTGCAAAATGCTGCACGAGGGTGAGGCCCTGGTGGAGTACTCGGATTTCTACGACTACTCGTCGTCGTATCCAGACACTGGAGAGCACGATGCAGATGCAGAGGTAGAGATACCTGAACTAGACGATGGAGATTACCAGCTAGTCCTACCGTCGGGCAACATTATCGGTCACAGATCCCTCATGAGGTACTACAAACAGAGTTTGGATCCCAATCGAGCTGTCGCCATTCCCAAGAATGAAAAGCTGAGGAGAGTGTTGTGTCACTATCGGGCACTCGGATGGACTGAGACACAGAAAGAGGCAGCTGTCAAAAAGGCTAGGGACATCAAGTACATGCAGAGGGTCCACGCCAAATACTCCACGCAACTGCAGTTCAAGGCCAACAAGCTCCAAAAGCATTTCCGACAGCAAATCAACTTCTAGGAGGCAAGAGTAAATATTGTTTTCAAGTTATTGTTGAATAAATACATACAACAGGTGTAATAAACTCGACTATTTATTCGTGGATTTACAAAATAAGTTTTATAACAGACGACAACAAAAATACTTCAATATCATGTATAAGTTCGTATAATTTTTCAATTCTCTTTTTTTATTACTTCTTGTAAATGGACCCTTCCTGATATATTTCGTTTTGCAATCTGGGATTTTTTTTTGCACGGACCTGTGAAAAATCGTTGCCACCCTTGGACGGTAGCTGTTGAATTTATAGATAAAAATTTTACTTTTATTCCCTGTTCATTCATTTTGATTCATTTCGGACCCGCCGAATCTTTGAAACGTCGGTGCAACTTCACCACTTTCGTTTGACGAATACAATGCACATTTTTATTTACTCCAGATAAACATCAGTTTCTTTGTTAGAATGAATTCCTTTTTCTCTCTAGGGCAGTAACCATCGACTATTCGAGACATCACAATACGAATTATCAATTAATTATTAGTGTTATTGTCACACTTTCAACGACGAGACACTTAATTTTCATTACTACATCATTCTTTGATTTATGTGTCATTTCATGATTTCTCCTCCCACGGGATTCAATTGAATACTTTGACCATTAATTTGAGGGCACGATGTGGTTGCGAGGGCCGTATGTCCTCGTCTACTTCAGAATATGGAATTTCTGCTTCAGTCTTGAAGCCATGTTTCTCGAATACTTTCTGGGAAAATACGCCCGTGGCGTCTGCTTTCATCACCTACAGATGAACAATTAATAATTCAATTCTCCATCGCGTCAAAAATTTAAAGTCGAAGAATTGAGAAAAAATCTCGACAAATTATTTCATAAAGAAACAAAACAAACAACATTAAAAGTACCTTTTAATAAAATGATTATACATAATCATCCCATGCACACGAAAACGTACATGCTGAAACAAAATTCAAGAAATTTCCACTTATTTTATATTGAGTGTGATTTTTATTTAAAATGTGATTGTGAACATGCTTTTCGTGCAACAATCGGCGGGGGTTCCTCAAGGTACCTTGAACCCAGCTTTCCTCGCAACTTCGACCGAGTCACTCATGAGGATGTTGGCGAGTCCACGTCCTCGAAACTCTTCATCAACACTCAAAATACGGCACTCAAAGAGCTCATCGGTATGATATTTATCAAACAAGTCGACTTTGTCGTTGACTTGGTACAAAAGACCGAAAATTATTTTGAATTTCTCGTCATCGAGAGCCGCTAGACGACGAACTGCTTCCTCTCGTTCACCTGATTTTGTTGTTCCATTCAACGCAAGTCCTGCTATCTGGAGGAAAAGTCTATTTTTTTTTTGCTGGATAGCAATCATAGAGGAAGGACTCACGAATGGAATATTCCATATCAACTCTTTATTCTTTTGAAAAAACTCCACCAATATGAAATCAATTGATGAGAAATTAATCCATGCCAAATGATTTTTTATAGATTAATTGAGCGACCGAGAAGGAAAAAAATAATGGGATTGACATGGAATATTCCAAAAGGGAAATAATGCTGAAAAGGATGAAAAATGAATTTCAAATTTCAAATTGAACAAAATATACAAAAAAAAGTATTACCGTCCCATCATCCGTCACGAGCATCCTCGAGTATCCTTGCTTAAGCGTCGATAAACAATGATTCTCCAACTCGCAATGCGACTCACCTTTCTGGCAAAGCCTCACACCGTGATTGAGCGGTTCATCCGCGAAGAAATTGAATCTCAAATGTTCAATAACTTCATTGAATCGATCTTTCGGCACAGGAACTGCGGAAAAATGAGAACTGGACATTTTGATAATATGAAATAGTCCAATTGTTCGATTTCCACAATTCAAAACTGATCTTGATTAGGGAACAGCCACCGGAACAAATTTAACGGACGAGAGTGGACTCCCGAAGGTTGTCCAAGATCTAGAGGGCCGTTTGCCGCGTGCGCCCTACTAGTTTCTTTATTGATTGACCTAGTTCTGTGAATTTCTCTCCCATAACCATGGACCCCTGTTTATCACCGTCATAATGACTCCATTCAATTCCAATGATTTTATGGGATTTTCATTCTTCCTCTTGACATTGCACCGTTGGCATTCTTTCGACATTCAAGTATGTCGATGTTCAATGTTGAGAGTTTGAATTTGAGTTGAAATCAATGGCAGACTAATTCCAAACAATTCCAGATATTCATTCATTTATTGATAGCCAGTGAATTAATTTTATAACATGTGATTCTGAAAAATCAACATTCTTACACTATAATTGCAAGCTGTGGAGTGACGGACAAATCGGATGATCTGAGAATACTTTTCGTTCATTTGTTATTAAAAAGAAATATGGATTTGCATTCGAAAACAATTAAAATTAAAGTTATTTCTGTAAGATCATCAATCTCTCAATCTCTTATAATCGCAATTTTCATATTTCTTCTCAAATTAAAACGTATAGGAGTCTAATATTAATTATTGATATATACATTCCGCGACATGTACAAGATTAAACGAGTTATCGATGACAGCGGAAGGAGCTGCAGATTCCCCACAGATATTTCTTCGTTCCAAGTTGAAGAAAAACGATGAACAGTACTTCGCAACGACTTTGTACAATAATTTTATATTCTCTTATTATTTTCTTATGACCTGTGTCATTTAGGCTTGGAATGAGTCTGTAAAGGAGGAGGCATTGGGAGCTCTATGCCTCCTCAATTAGAGACTCTCAAATGGTAGTGAAATTTTGCCACCGAAATGTGCGCGGCAGATATTTACACAGTTTCATTATTAAAAGAGCAAATCGTCGTCCGCCTCTTCAAGCATACTGCCAGGGTCGACTTCTCTGCCAGCTGCGATCAGCTCTAGTCGATGGGCTTCAGCCTGAAAAAAGAACAAGAAACAAGTCAGTGACATTTTTCTCCATCAAATAAATGAATAAATAAATGAACACTCTTCAATTACCTTGGCCTTGATCACTTTCTTCTTGTCCTGAATCTTCTTGAGTCGATAAAATTCTTCCCTCTCAAGCTCATCCAACTCCGAAATTATGTAAGCGAGTGTCCTCTCAATTCTGGGAATGATGACATGCTCAATGGCATTGACACGACGATTCGTGATTTTTATGACTTCATCAAGAGTGACGAAGCTCGTCTGAAGAGAGGCCAGGACAACCAGGAGTTTCACACCCTTCTGGTAGTTCTTCTTGAGCTTCGCCAACTGCTGTCCACCTCTGGCCAGACCAGCTAGCTCGTAAGTATCCGTACCGTCCTGATAAGACTCGAACACTGGGAGATTCACTCCAGCGACATTGTCCTTCTTCGAACGGATTTTAATCTGCGCTTTAGTGACATTCTGGAGAACAACTTGATTGAAATCACCTGTCGCGAATTTCGCCTCTGCCAGCGAGAAGGCAGCCTCTTTCATCACTTCACCCATCAGTGTTTTTGTCTGAAAATCATTGCAAAATCCATTGTTTATAAAAATTGATATTTCCTGGAGTAAGAGGAATTACTGTGACACTAGACTCTCATAATTACTTCAATGATTTTCCCCAGAATCATACGGAAACGCATCTGGAGAGCGTCAGCCTTCTTTTTAAGCAGCCCATGACCTTTTGTTGCTCCCGCAAGACGGGACTTCATCAACATTTGTGCTCTGCAAATTAATAAAATAGTAGTGGTATTGAATTTCATTTTAATTTTTACTTGATAAAGAAGATTCAACAACACGAAGCCAATTACAGGATCAAATTTTATTAGGGGCGAGCGAGGCAAAATAGACACTTGTATCTTTTTTTGCAAATATTAATAACTCATTGAATTTTTAATGAATATAACTAAATGATGATGATGATGCTGTCAAAACTCTTCAGCTTAATTCTGAAGGCCACCGATGAAAAATTGTAAACTGTAAAACCCAAACGAGTGATATTGGTTTTTCATTATCCTATTCAATATAAATAATAGAATAAAATCTTGATTTTTTCAATTATCAGCACTCAGTTGACATAATGAAAAAAAACATCAACGTTAGGGGTTACACCCATTTTTCAATCACTTGATTTTTTCGCAGTAATGACAACAATTATCAGCAGTCAACGATGACAGAATATTTCAGGATATTGCGGTTTCACTTGGGCACATAAAAATGTGAAATATCGTTTATTACTCACCCCCGAGAGGGAAAAATTGGTAGCCTGTCTTTCCCCGACATATTCGCTTTTGGAGTTGATCAAACAGGAATGGAGTAGATCAGCTGACTCTGAGAAACCGGAAGTGCCAGTGGTTTTCTCCCAATGGGCGCGAACACCTCGGTCTCTCACTTGAAATTCAAAAATCCGCTATTCATTTTTTTCGACAAAATCCTATCGAAATCCCCTTTTCGAAGAGGGGAACTAAAATTATGCTTTAAATCATGGAGTTTTTTTTTCGATCATGAAATTATGTAAAACAATGTTGAAATTTTGAATTTTGGATTTTTTGATTATTGAAATTTAACTAAAATAAATTCAGAGTGAAAATGTCAAAAAAAAATATTGAAATTCTTGAAGAAAAGCATATTCTTCCGGGATTGAAAACAATGGAGAATCGAGGTTATTACGTGTGGAAAAGGAAGTCTGAGGAGACTTTGAAGATTTTTGAGGAACCTGACGAGACGAAGAGGAATCATTCCTGGCAGAGTGGAGCACTCAAGAGTGCATGCGAAGACGTTCTTGCAAGGATGAATATTGCGACTTTTCAACAGATAAATGTTAACAAAAGGTTTTTCTTTCAGTCGCTCCGATTGCATCAATTGCATCAAAGAGCAACTTGAAATAATTTTTTACTCGCCCCTCAATCTTCCAGCGATCTCAGATCAGTCTAGATGGATCCGCCAACCTCGGCCTTCTCCAGGCAATCCCACCTGTACAAAGCAGTAGAAGAAGCGAAAAACATTCTACTGAAGAAATATTCCCATGACTCGTCGAAGCGTAAAACTGAAGAGAAGAGATACGTAACAATAGTCACAGGGAGGACTGACAAAACGTTAACTAGCTCTCGACACTTTTTCACAAAAATGGCAATTATCGCCTGGGACTTCCTCAATGTCTCCAACGTCTTCTCCAAGTCTTAATTCGTCATTTTAACCTAAAGGAGGATTTTTCGTTGTGATTAACGCCAAATAAGCTTAATACCTCGATTTTTTATGTAATAATGTAAAACTCAACACTTTACCCTTTTTGTCAAAAAATATATTTATTTGGATACATGTATACCAAAAATTAACAGTGCTATAAATTCGGTTTTGCATTTTGAATCGTTAGGAAACATTTTAAAAATCTGAAAAAGTCGGAAAGTTTACTTTTCGATAAAACTTTATTAAATAATGCATAAATAATCAATCATCTTCAAAATTCAACTAGAAATCGATTTCACTACCTGCTTCATGATCATTCAATTTCATCTGTCCTGATTTTAAAACTCGTCTGACATTCATATTAATCCTCGCTTCGGAAATAAAACTCCTAGCCTTGCTCCAATCCTCACTATTCACAAAGACATCATCTTCCTTCGATTGTTCATCATCCCAAGGTGTTCTACCGGCCGTCACGATTCTCGGAACTCCATGATACCTCAGCCTGGACTCCCCAGACATCACCAGAACATCCCCACTGTGTACAAAAAGAGCATGGGCAGGATCCTCGTACTTCAGTCCCCCAATCAGAAATATTGCACTCTGTCCAAAACTTACAGAAACAAGAGGAGCATCAAGATTATCTTCGGAGTGGTCCACATGACCAGCCAGTGTAGAATTCATCCTATAAAAATTGATAATAGCCGCTTCTGCTTTGAAATTGTCAAACCCAAGGCCCTTCGCTATGGCTTTCGTCATTTCATCTACATCTCCTGGAATTTCGATTTTGTCATCTTCAGTGTAATGTTTCGTATCCCAATTGTGGTGATATCCAAGTGTTGCCCATCGAAGTTTAGGGATGAGCACTGCAGCTCTCTGGTCACCTCTGGACATTCATTATAAATTAAATTGTGATCGTACTTAAAAAAAATATATCTCATTTCACTTGAAAATGAATAAAGCATTAATTTTTTTTTCCATAAAAAAATATAATATAATAGTCAATTTTATTCATTGAAATTCACAAATGATGCTTTTTCCATAGTAAAACAATCATAAATGATGCGTTACCTTGTGCAAACCTCCCACCACGTCTCCTGCTCCCCCAGAACTCCATGGACATCAATATTTAACTTATTAGGCTTCCTCGAGTAATCCTTGAAGCACCTTGTGATCCAGTAACGTTGCCCAGATGAGGTGAAAGGATTCTTAATAAAAATCAGCCCTACCCACAAATAGCAAAGTTTGATATCATGAATACTATAACAAACTTAATTCCATTTAGACATTGCATCCACATAATTCTCACCCCTCTCCTCACCTGGAATATGTGGGAGCTCGAAAATCTCCCAAGAATTCACTGGCTTCAATCCAAAGATACTTCTATCAGTGTTGTATGGTATGGAACATTGCACAGGTAGTCTTCTAACCTTAAATTCAAATGATAAAATGAAAAAAAAAATTTCCAAACATTAACTATTTACCCACCTGTTGGGAAGCTCCGTTTGGCACATCGATTACATTCTCGTTATTCGGTGGAGGATTTCGGCTTTTATAATATTTGAAGTAATCTTTGAACATTATTCATACTGATTCAATTGACTAAGACTCTTACAGGCCTGCGCGCCGCATCTAGGAATGCAAAATTACCGTCATTTTTTACGTACAACAATTCAGCTGTAAATGACCGCAAAAATGACCGTTCTCTGACCACTTCTGACTTGACACACATTTCGTGATTTTCGCAAACTGACCGTCAATTTTAGCAATCGCCAGGAATTATTTCCTATCGTAATTTGTGTTGGAACATCGCCCATCTAGCCGAAAAAAATCCGTCATTTTTGTATTTATCATTTTTTTGCAATTTTTTGTCATTAAATTTCAAGGGTTTTCTCAGAACTTGAATATTTTATGAAAAAAAAATTCAATAAAATTTCAATAGAAATCCAATAGAATTGTCTTTTGAATTCGCTAGATTTTTAGCATTCAACCCCGAATAGATACCGAGGATTGACATTAGTACATGGTTACACATGCAAAATCTTCTGCGTTACAGGTCTGTGTAATTTTCATCGGGACCACTATTCGCAAGAGAAACCACGTAAACCCGTGGTTCTATTATTATCCGCATTGTTTTACATATCTGATCGATACTAATCGCGTCGGTGGATCAACACAGGAGAAATGCCGGTAGTTTTCCTCCCTCGATGGATGTATTTCGTATCGATCATTGTGTTTTTTATTCTTCTCACTTTAAAATGATGATCGGTGCCCATCCCATAAATCTGACGAATCCAAACGACTCATGACTAACTTTGGCATGCAACTCAGGCGAGAGTGCAATTGCCTCCGGGAACGCTATTATTTCATATATTGAGATCCGATGTGTGTTTATGGGAAAAATTAATGTGCAATGGAATACTCAAGGCCCTTTGAAAGCTCAAACTCAACATTAATGCAGGGTAATTTCAATACCTATGTAATTGACCGAATAAAATTGATAGTTTAATCTATCTGATGCATTATCCTACTTTAGAATGCATTAAAAAATCGTATGAAATGATTCAAAGCCGCATTAATACCATATATTAACGTTTTTTTAAATTAAGCTATTAAAAAACCCATATCCATGGTTTATGAGCTACAGATCATGTAAATACAATAAATAATTATCTTGCAGAGATATTAATCAAATTTCTAAACCGCAATCTGTTAAGAATTCATGAATGAAATCTCAGTCACAACGCGATTCAATCAGATGTTGAAGTATATTTTTTTCTTCACGCGACAAATAATATTCCAAGGGTCGATAAATGATTAACCATGTAACTCATATTGAGTGAATAAAAACATGCGATTCCGCCGGAAACTGCAAGCCACTCCGATATTTCATATTCATATTGGTAAACATGAAAGAATAGAGAGCATCGCAAGATTGAAGCAGAGCGTTCGGTTACTTCATCGTAAGGTGACGCCCACGCATGTATCGCGCGGGAGTTACAACCCTGGGATACCTACATCTTCTGAAGGACGAGAAAAATTGTTACAAACGAAAGCATTGAAACAAGGTGTCATAATACGAATTGGAGAACATCCGGAAACGATACTGATTGATTCCCCTTTTATAATCCCCAATAGTGAAAAAAAATTTCACATGACGAATAATCGGAACCACTCCATCAACTCTCATCATTATTACTCTGAACCGGCATGAATTTCGATATTACGAAACATTGAAATCCAAAACTGCAGCTGAACCCCCGCGACAATAACTCTAGCCCCGAGCTTTTGATCTCCTGGCATAAAGCGAAGTGAGACGCAAAGAAAAAGGAGAAGTACTCTTTTGACTTGGGCACTGTGAATTCTGGCGTTTGAAGAGTGACAGTTTCATGTCAACAAATGTCTTGCTCGTGATGGTCGCACCCAGAGCCCCTTGATTCCTCGATGTATGTGCCCGTGAATCCGAGAGAGCTGCGGGAGAGACAGCATCGCACGTCGAACCGAGCCGTTCTCCCCCACTGTGCCGTAGCCAGCCAACAGGATTGCACGATCACGTCACTGACCACCAATCGAACACCGTCGAGGTGACGACTGTTACTAAAAATAGCCTGCGTATATCTAGGCCGGTCGCAGCCGCGAATTAACCACAGTCGCGCGCCGGCAGCCGACGGAGAAGACGGCTCATGTGTTGTTTACGTTATTTTTTTTTTCACCATTTTGTTATCAATATATATAGGATATACTCGTCGATACCCACAGGATATATAACTATTGGATAATCAAGAGGTAAAACAAAGACAGCGAGAGTTTCGTTATATCTGTCTCAATCTTTCATTTGATACACGACACGCAGACACGACAAGTGGTTTTTCGGAGCTTTTCGTACAATTTCAAAACAAGTGCCGTCGATGTTTGCTCTCACCGACCAGTGATAATTCGTCCTGATCATTGAAATATGCTGAAAGAACCCATTGGATAATTGAACGTGCAAATGAATAACACACGTGCTTTGTGAAACGTACTCCGACTTGCATACAATTTACTCAGCGATTGCTCCGAAGTGATAAAGATTAACCGCAAATTGATAAACTGGACTATTTACTTTTTTCTCATTCTCAAGGAGAGAAGGACCCGTGCTCTTAATCACAAGCCGCTGAAATAATTGTGAATAACCCCTTTTTATTATTTTTTTTTCAACTATGTAGGCCGTTCTGCGTATAAGCGCTTCTTTCATAAATACACATTCGAATTTTTTCCAAGATGATTACACTCCCAAGTGCCTTTGCTCTTTTGCCGGCGTGCGATGGATGAAAGGAACAATGGGAACAATAATATATTCCATTCACAGGTGTAAAAAAACGTGTCAGCTATTGACTATTAACAGCTGTAAAATATTCATTAATATCAACACTCGGTTTTGTTAGCTCTTCGAGAAATTATGAAGAGTATAATAAATTCCTGCTGGATTTTATCGCCAGTCTTTCGCTCCGAAACGCAGTAATCTCAAGGACGTGATGCCATGTGGCCTTGCACGCCTCGCCTATCCCGAATTATTATCGATTTTTTTTTAAACTTCGTGAGGAGTTTCTTCGTGAATGACTGCCATTTGCCTCCGGCGACCTAGTGATAACAAAGTAATGGGTATTTTTTTGTTCAATTTGTGTTGCGTGCTGTCACAGTATATTAAAAATCTTCCTTATTTATCTCTTGCCCATGCAGCCATTAAAGTCGGTTATTACAAGCGCGTGTTACTGACAGTCGGGGAAATCACTGAGAGTTACAAAGTGTCTCATTAATGCTAATGGAATTGTCAAGTAATAGCACGTAGTCCTTCTTTCTTTCACTCAGTGTTTTGTGGGAGATGTTTCACCATCCGTCGGTGAAAAAATTTTCCTTTTCTCTCGCGTTGCAAATTAAGTGGAATTATTGATAAAAAAGATTACATACCTTGTACACTGCAACATTTTATCCATCATAAATGTAAATATGCGGTCAAACAGGTGACCTGTCATGCCACGCGTTTCATTGAAAATGAAAAAATACTGAGGAAAAGATATTGCCGTCGGGGCGGAAGAAAAAAAAACATTCCGATTGATTAACGATTATCGGTATGGCCAATTGAAGATGAGGACCTCGAGGCCACGATGTGTATTTTCACAACAATACCACAATTATTGAAATTTCCTCATGTTTTTTTTATTTCTGACCTGAATTTTTTTTTCCACTACGAGACTGTGATGAGTTTCTTTTCACATTTTACATATCTAAAAGCACGTGGCTCAATTATTCTGTTATCTCTTCGATAAAATTAAAGGCGACGGAGCCAAGAACAAACGACCAATACAATTGAATATTTCCCATGTTCTCGTGGCTCGAAAATTTTCTCTCCCCTATAGAGTAATTGGAAGCATACGGGTATTGAAGACCCAATAAATCTCCATCATAATCCTATTCGATGAAATGCTCTGGTGATATCTTGAAGCTAGACGAGAATAAAAATTAAAAGGATCAAGAGTTATAGTTGTCGACTTTGCCTTCTTCCATGTTCCGTATTTTCTGAATATATTCTGTATGTGTGACAAACACACATACTGAACACACGCGAGAGCAGGAAGCATAAATTTTATGAACACCAAACACAGAGGAGTGAGCAACAGCCAAGTGGAAAAGAGACGACAACAATTTCGAAAAAGAATGTAAAAAAAAATCCATTGATCGATCACCGTTGAGCCATTTCCCATTAATGAAATCGTGAGATATATCATTCCGAGTGATCTTTCGGGGGACGCTAGCAAAATATTTTTTCTTCTGTATTTTATCTGTTTCTTCTACGATAAATTTTTACGATGACCTTGTTTCACTCTTCTTCCCTTTGCCCCTTTACTTGTGCTTCCTTCGGAGAGTGGCTCGCGTCGAAGCAAACTTCCACGCGTTTAATATTCATTGGGTCTCCTTTGTTTTGTTTTTCCCTTCTGCCCGTTTTTCTATTTTTCGCTGCTTTATTTCGTTCTTTATGCAGACATACAATTGGTTAAACTCCGCCCATTTAACATTTACATCTAGACGCTCCCCCCATGTTCTTATTTTTTCATCCAAAATTGAGATGAAAAAAAATCCCCTAGAAGGAGATGTCTTTGTTGAGAAGAAGCCAGCCGCCCACATCCCCGAGTTTTGTGTGTCAACGACCGAACTCCCGAAAAAAAGCACGAGAAAAAGTTTTGAATGCCAGATGCTCCTCCCCCTCCCCCATCCCCCTGTTAGTACATAAGCATCGAAACACATTGCGTAAGAGTAAAACGCGTCAGACAGTACTATATAATGCGTTTTGTAAATTACTCAAGTTCTGCCGGCGCGTTTGTCGTCCAAAATTGGGTTCGCCCGCCGAAATCATCCAATTATCCTTTACTATAACCGCTTCCCACAGTTCTCCCTCGTCTCGTTTCCATTTTTTTCATCCTTCTCACCAGAGAAATTCCACGAAATCAAGATCCAAGAATATAGATATGATTTTTACATTCCATTTTGCTTATTGCTACTCTGCAACATATTAAATGTTACAATGTTGCTCTTGCATTGGTTAATTGCACACAATACTCGCCCTTATGGTAACTCTACACTGCTAATCGTTGATACCTGATACCGAGATGAGAAATAATCCTAGAGACGATAACACACTGAACGAACCAATTCTGCACGTGCTATCGCACATTTTATTATCTAATGAAAGTGAAGTTCGCCGCATGAATACATGGATTTATAAATGAATGAATGATTTTTCAAATTTCATTTCGAGCAGAATTGATGAGTTATGCTTGGCAGAACGTGGAGAAGGTGAATTCCGGGGCATTCGGACTATACGTCAAAATCAAATGATATCTATTATTAGATTCTAACGATGCCCATCTAATGAAAAATCTCATTACATTCTCATTGTTTAAAAATACATCAAAGATATCATTAAACATTTCCAACAACCCGAACAACCTCGTTACAAATAAAAAGACAAATGAAGTTTTATTTCTAGTTGCCGCTGTAACTCATGAATATTCGACTTTGAAATTCAGAAGAAAACCTTTTGAACGTTTCGATAATAAATGCCACACCTCAAGGGACATTTTCGGCTTTTCTCAGCCATCACCTGAGCCGCTTTTCAGCGTCAGAAATAGTTGACGTTTAGAGTGTTTTCAGCAAAGGCGGGGACCACCCATAAGTCTACTACACAAAATACCATTTTCTGTGTCCGCTTCAATCCACCTGTCATCCTTTCATTTATTTATTTATTTTTTCTATTCCTCTCTCCTCATTGCCAGTCGATTCTTGCTTTCACGATTCACTTCTATTGCGTCATCCGGACTCGCGTAGAGGTCACAATGAATAGTGTGTATTAATAAAACAAAAAAAAGGCAATTTCTAGTTTGAATGCAAACACAGAAAAAGGTCATGCACAGTGAAAGAAGGAGTGAAAAAAATTATTCCAGAATTGAAATCCGTGATTTTTAACTATTATTTTGGGAATTCAGTTAGCGGTCCCTCCACAATGTGTTAATTAAATTCTTGTTTGTTTTATTCCCTTTTATCCTCGCGTCAAAAAAAAATAATCGCACTTTCTGGGAAGAATTCGACCTCGACGAACACTTTATTATATCACAATTGGGTTCTTTATGCGAAGGTCAATCGCACATGTTTTTTTTTTTTAACAAAACCTCATCTAGGATAATTATGCAGCGAATTTAATGTAAATGAAAGAGCGACGGAACTCATGTCCATATTTTTCGTCTTGTTATAGGTTCAATGTTAAGCATTGATCATGTACAATCTAAACGTGAACGTGAATCCTAGTCCAACGGCTGCCGCGGGTCTACTCGGCGTTGCGGCGGCCGAGGTCACGCCGAGGACACCGGAGATTGTAAATTCATTAATTGCAATGACAAATCCCTTCGAGGGTTTTGCCGGTGAAAAAAGTCGAGAGAGGACGGACTCGACTAGCAGCGGGGGTGAGACAAGCCCGCCTAGTGTGCAGCATACTTGCAGTCAGTTGATAAAAGAAGGTGAAGAGCAAAAATTTCAATCGTGAAAACTATTCCTTTAAATAATTACATCATCACTTGAATGAATAATTTATTTATTTTGGTCGCAATAGGACTCAAGTTAACGCTGCAGACGAAAAGGCGAGCGCACGGCAGCGGTGATGAGGGGAAAAAGAAGTCGAGGAAGGAGGACAATAGTGCTGATGATGAGGAGGACGATGATTCTAGTAACCACAACTTTAGAGCTGGGGTAAAAATCATTTTGTCGTTTCTAACTCAGAGACAAATGTATCAATTGAGCTCAATCTAGATACACCGCAAAGGGAAAGAATTTTACGGCCGAGAATGAGAGAGGGTGTGTATTCTCAATAAGAGTTTTTAAAAATTGTTACAGTTGACACCGGAAGACGAAGAAAGACGCAGAAGACGAAGAGAGCGCAACAAAATAGCAGCGACAAAGTGCAGATTAAAAAAGCGTGAAAAAACAGTGATTCTGGTGCAGGAATCGGAAACCCTAGAGTCTCAGAATCATGACTTAAAATCCCAGATCCAAGAGCTGGAGACCCAGAGAAGAAGACTCGTGGACATGTTGAGCCTCCACACCCCGACATGTCTCAAACAAGGTGTGAATAACGACACGTCCTGTCAGCAGTTCAACGATCCCCTTTACATCCACAATTACCAGGATAATTATCCACCACCGGCGCTGAATCAGCCCCAGAATTGTGTTACTGACTATCCGGTAAAAGTCGAGAGTTACGAGACATCGGGACAGGATTATTATAGAGAGGACAGCCCGTTTGTTCCCACCTCGGACGCCGGATGTACAGCTTAGTCTATGTTAATATTCGTTTTTTTTTCTTTTTCAAATTAAGTCTCTGCAATCTCTCGAAATTAATGATATCTCTCCGTGACATCGTCAATTCCATCAATAACATTGATAAAACTGCAGAGAAAATGACTATGCATTCCATGAGAAAGTTGACAGATTCGAAATGATAAAATCGTTCAAGTGAATATCAGTGCCTTCCGTTCATAAACGTCCACAACAGATTGAAATTAAGTTTCAAGTCGCGAAAATTGTGTGCTCTCTCTCTCTATTCCTGAGACAATTCTTTTCTTTTTTCAATCACGCCATCTTTTCATTTATCTCTTTTGCCTTTTTATTTTAGTTGTAAAGCCAATATGAAAGACATTCCTCTCGTTAATAATCCTACTGAGACATTCTTCTCTAACCCGAAATCCGAGAAAAACAATGAAATATAATTGTCGATTCTTAATCACGAGTGTTGACTGTCAGTTGCGTCGAGTACAAGTGCAGGACACGTGCTCATAATGAGTTTTTTCATCTAAAAAAAATCAGTTATCGAATGAAAATTAATTTTCGCCCACTCCTTTATCGAAACAGTACGTAGGGGAGGATGGAACAGAATGGAACATTTCCATATTGTCCCACTCTCCCTTAATAAACGAAGTTAACCACAAAGTTATTAACACTTATGCCATGGTGCTTTAAAACAGATGATACCTATTATACTGATAAGTACATCATAGATATTTAATGATTATTAAGTACATTTTATACGCAAAGTATCTTTAACGAGTTTTAAGTATAAAACGTTCAACGTTACTAAGGTTTACACGCTTAATATGAATGTATTTTTTAAGAGAAAATTTTTATTGCATTACCTAACAATATACCTCAGATGTAATGCGCGGGTTATACCAAGGTATCCAGAAATTACTCCACGACCGATTAATTTTCCCCAATTATTTTTTCAAATTGAATTTTGAGAGGATTCATTGGTCGTCGAATCAATAACTGAGATTGTGCGTTTCCATAATTAACAAACGTTAATTATTATTTTTTGTTGGTAAAACGCACGGTGATTTTTTTGCGTATTCATGATTAAAGAATTCAATAATAAAATGCTTAAGGCCATGAAGGGAAGGCCAGCTGCTTTTGTTACGGAATGTTGTCGGAGTATTTCAAAATCGTGCGCTCTTCCACGTTCGTTCTCTTCCGAGTCTTGAAATTATTTTGAGAGGAAAACAGAAATTCATTTGAATTGATGACTGTGTATTGGCCACAGCGTTCTTCAGCAATTTGACAATTGAAGAATGATTGAATGACAAGAATTTCTTGTCAAAGACCAAAACAATCGTCGTCAATTCAAAATGCAATGCTTCAACGGTCGAAAAACCTCGACTGAAGAATGAAGCAATTGAACGAATGATAATGCGCATGATTTTGCATCAAGTCAAATGGATAAAAAACAAAGTGCTTCTTTGTAGCTCTAACAGTCTGCCATATGCATCAATTCTCAAGATATTGATGCAAAATATTCTCGATTGTTCAATGTCAAATGTGCATTTTTTTTTATTGACGATTTCAAAATGATCCATTGGATCTACGAACGTGATTTTTCACCATTAAAGTGCCTTAAATATTACAGATTTTGTTATGATTATATAACACATGTGAAAAAACAGAATGAAATAAAACTCAACTGCAATGTCGAAATTATTGTTTTTTTATTACAAAATTCATCAATACACACTCACATATATTCTCTCATCCACATCATTCACAATTCGAATCACAACATATTAATTCTGCTTCAATATATTCTTGAAGGAAGTAATTGAAAATATTCTCTTAACAATAAATACAATTTATAGATTTTAGAGGTAAGTTTTATGAACCCCTGAAATGAGAAAATAAAACATCCAAAATTACCAATCAGAAACCAGATAAATTCAAAATAAAATTGAATAAATTGATATTCTACTTACACAATGATGTTGTTAATAGGAATGTGGATGAGTTTGACAAAAAATCCAATGAATCCCATTATGCAGAAGCCGATAGCAGTGGCGAGGGCAATTTTCTGGAATTCTGTAATAGAAGAAACGGTGAAGAATCTATTTAATTCATGAGGAACATCGAGAATGGTGGGGAATAATGGACACCTCAGACATTTGCCAATTGAGCCCATCATAAAGGGACAGAGGTGTGAAAAAAAATTCATGTTATCACTGATGAAATAAAGCCTAGTGTCCATGTTCTAACCAAGAGTAAAAAATCGAAGAAGGGAAGTACTGTTTCTTACCTTTCCTATCTGGTTTCGTACATCTCTTGACAAGCCTGATACTGTCTCTGGTGAATTTACGGCTGGGTTCGGTGAACTTCTGGATCTGATCCATTTTGTTCGACTGTTTCTGTGAAAAGCCAGGTTGTAAAAATAATCCCAGACTGTTGGTTTCATTCCAATTGGCTTAGAATTACATATTTACGCCAAACGACTCGAAAAACACATCAGATTGGCTCGAAATTACTCCTCAAAATCCATATGTCATGGCAAAAAACATTATCAAAGCCATAATAACCCATGAACAAAATGCTTAATTAATCTCGACTTCGACTTTATTTACAACTGAACGAAGACACATGATTATTTGCTCAATGCAGTTGCATTGTTGACATTCACAGAGAAATTAATTCAATACCCATAACTATTTGAGAAATATTCGATGAATGGTGTGGCAAAATAATACTCACGTTGTTTAGTCGACGAGTACACGCAGCAAAGTGTTATTTGACGGTTCTGAAGGACTGAATCTTCATGCTACACTGGAGCTACGTGGACGAGATACGGCAAAACGTCACTTCCGGTGTACTGACGTTGGAGCCCCCAAACGGAAATTCTAAAACGTGGATTTAAGCGGGATATTTTGTATTACATCATTTTCTACCTAGATCAAACCCATTCCAGGGAATAATTCATTGAAAAATTTCAACTTTTTCATATTCACAAAACAATATTATGCGTTTAAATGCTCAGGACGATAATATGTTTCGTAAATCTTTGTAATTCAACTCAAAAAATTATTCTCGTAATAAAAAAATGTGAGGAAAAAAATATGCCTTCAACCTCTCAATTCATAAAATAGAAATTATCATAAATTCTTGAATTTATGGGGTTGATGTCCGAATTTTAAAGAAAAATGTGTAAAATTCTCGTCTCGGTAATATAGATCACTGTTTTACTTTTTGGTGACAATTCCCCATGAACCAGCGGATACTCCCCCTGCTGTTATTCTGGGGACATTTCACGCATTTCTAGAATCCGTCAGCCAATCAGAGCAATGTGTAACCGTAACTTTGATATTTTTGAACAAGCGTCAACTTCAGTTGTCTCTTGGCAATGGAAAGCGAAGCAACTGGGACAATTAGTTGACAAATAAATCGTAAAATTACAGTTTCTCCATTGTTTGGAGGGCCAGAGACAGCTAAAGAGTTACCCAGGTACTTGTTAAGCCATTCAGTCGAGAAAAATCGTGTCAATTTATTCATAATTCATTGATCATTGAGGTTGTAACCGTTACGCCGATTGTTTTTGATTCCGTGTCTAACGCCAACGGCCTTCCTCCCCGAGCATCTCACTCTCGATATTTATTTAATTTTTTCTCGTCATCTCGAGGGAATTTCTGCAGGGGTTTACGGAATCCTGTGGTAGTTAGGTTATCTGAAATTTTATTTGGGGCTGACTGTGACATATTATTTATTGATTTTTTGGGAGATGCATTCCCGCGTTTTTTGATGGTTGCCCATGCCCTGCTTGAGCATCACACGTTGCTCCGTCCTTCCAAGGACCTCCAAAGGTCGAGATTTCGGGAAAATATTCTCTTCAGGCGTCGGACATTTTATTCATTCTCCGTCTCATTCCTTCCATTCATCATTTTTTCGCCTTCATTCGTAGAAATGTTGGCGCTTCTCATTCCTTTTAATTGCCAATAAAACCAGTCAACTAATTTGTTTATTGATAGTGAATGAGACATCAAAGAAAAGAAGAAAATGGCCTCGAAAAAAATGGTCAATAATGCGAATAAACATTAATTTTTACATCTCATTCATTCCATTCATAATTTTTGCGAATGACAATATCGAATTAATTTCGTAGTCTCGAGGATTGATGACTTTATTTATTGACAGTGAGTGAGACGTCGAAGAAGGAGAGAAGATGGCCCCGACAAAAATAGTCAATAGTCAGAATAAACATCCAAATACAGCGATCGTCATGAGGAAGGGAATCACAACGAGAAATCAGAAGGCAGCGTTGGCCAACAATCCAGTTAGCACGAAAATGCCGACGGTCGTTAAGGACTCGAGGATTAAAAGGAAAGCGGAGGCCTCGCCTCTCAAAGAAAAAACTACCAAACGATCAGCTCTAGGGAATATTACCAATGTGAGTGTATATTCTTCCTAACAAAAAAGTCATTTCTCAATTCTATTTCATGATTTTTTTCATAATAAATTTTTTTTTAAACGGTAAATATGAAATTTTTCTCCAGGCTATTGGAAAATCATTAGGTGTACAATTACCAGAGGCCAAAAGAGTAGTAAAAAAATCACAAGTATTACAACCCGTGAAATCCTCAGCAGCCCCAGCTCACAATCTCAGAAACACTGAGAGATTAGTAGTTAAAACTGACAATGTGATACCAGCTAAACCAAAAGTAGCGACACGAGCTAAAGTAGCTAAAAGGGCTGAGGATCATGTTGACGTGACAAGTAAAGTAACAAATGTCAGAAGAAGCCTTGACATGGAAAAATCCGAAGAGAGTTCGTTGTACGTTAGCGCTCTCGAGGATGTGTCTGAGGAAGTGTCCAAGAAGAATGATAAAAATGCTAAACTCCAAGAGAAAAAGGAGAAAGAAAAGCCTCGAGTGGTGAAGAAAGAGTCAATTGCGGAGCGTTTGGACGCTCCTCCCTCGAGGACACTACCACCAGGAGTCTCGTGGGACTTTGACGTTGAAAACTGGACTGATCCTTACCAAGTGTCCCCCTATGCCATGGAAATATTTGAGTATCTCAAAAGTAGAGAAAAATTGTTCCCCATCGGTGATTACATGGAGAAACAAGTCTGTTTGTCACGGTGGATGAGATCGTTGCTGGTGGACTGGATGGTGGAAGTCCAAGAATCATTTGAACTAAATCACGAGACTCTCTACTTGGCTGTGAAGCTTGTGGACTTGTATCTGACTAAAGTCACTGTAGGAAAGGAAACGTTACAACTTTTGGGTGCTGCCAGCTTATTCATTGCTAGTAAATTTGACGTGAGTAGAAAATTTTAAAACCTTTATGAGAGGAATTAATTTATCAACGATAGATGATGTGACATTTCAATGGTCTTTTAACCGTTTTAGGAAAGGATACCCCCCATGATTGAAGATTTTTTGTATATTTGTGATGGTGCTTACAATCAACGAGAATTGATTAGGATGGAAATGAATGTATTGAAAATTGTTGATTTTGACCTCGGAATTCCACTGTCCTACAGATTCTTAAGACGATATGCGAGGGTAATTGTTCAATTTATAAAGTAGGATAACATATTTTTTAATCAATTGATGAGACAATTGTAAACTTTTCAGTGTGCTAAAGTGTCGATGCCAACCCTGACCCTAGCCCGTTACATTCTCGAATACTCCTTGATGGATTACTCCACGATAATGTTTAGTGACAGCAAAATTGCAGCAGCTGCCCTGCTTCTTGCACTTCAGATGAAGGATCTGGGTGGCTGGACACCAACATTAGAATATTACACAGGGTACAAAGTCAAAGACCTCAGGGAAATTGTCAAAGTGCTCAATGAAGGACTCCATAAGAAGCAGAAAGATGCCCTGGCAACTGTTCGCAATAAATATAGTCACAAGTGAGTTCAACTGAAATTTTAGAAATTTCATTAAAAAATTTAATTTTCTATTTGTTCTCTGCAGGATTTTCTTCGAGGTTGCCAAAGTACCACTTAAGGATGTGTTAGATGTATAGCCAACTTGAATGTAAGTACTGCTAGCACAATTTATTGTCTGGAATTCTCGTCGAGAATTATTGTTGTATCAACATGGATTAATTAGAAAATGCCATCAGGAGTGAGGAGAAATCATCGGGGGGGAATAAGTCTGAAGTTTTAGGACTTTTTTTTAGCACAATAAAATTTATATTATGACAAGGTGGAACATGACAAATCACAATAGTATAAAAACTTATAAAAAAAAAAGAGTGAGTTAATATGAAATACCAGAGTGAAAACAAAACAAAAAGAAAAAGATTCTGCATGATCAGACTCAAGACACTTTTGACATTATTTATGAATTATTTTTCGTGAGATAACTAGTATGCTCAGTATTTTTAAGTTATTTTATTACGATTTTTTTTCATCTCCTTTATTTGTTGAGAAATCTTTTAACTCATACCTACATATAAACGAAACAATGTATTTTCTAGGAGATTTTTTTCTTTTTCGTCATTTTTTTAAACTGATAACAGTCACTCACCTGTCCTTACCTCATTAAATGTTGTTAAATGTGCGAAAATGTCTCTTCGTACAGACTGATACCAAGTAATCACTTGTGGCATAAACGACGAATCGCTGAACGGAGATTCTGAGAAGAGAGGCTGATGTGACATTTAAAATCTCAGAAATTCTCAATCCATTCTTGGAAATCATATTAGTCAATATTCATAATCATTTCTGACATACTTATGTACATATATGATGTAAAAATGACTTCATCGAGTACAGAGAATGATAGACCATCGAAATTAGAGAACATGTGGGCACTATTTTTAGATGATGCATTATTTTTAAAACATGAACATACTGATGAGATTTTAATACATTATCCGCAAGAAAGAGTGAATAAAATGACTATCTACATGAATTGAGAAAAGGATTACTCTATTCTATCCATGAAAATTATTTGCATGCAAATAAAATTCGAGTAACAATTTCCATCAAAATGTAGAATGAGGAAAGATATTCGAAAATCAAGACCCAAAATCCACGTAGTTTAATATATTTTACTATATTATCCTCATAATGTAGCGTAACATTTTTCTTTTCTTCCAATTTCTATTACATATATTAGTAATGGTAGTGTTTTATTAAATAATAATAATAATAATAATAATAACCATAGCACCATAAACCCTCATCGATTTCATAGCGTTGCTTCCCAAATAAATATAACACATTGGTCAACCCTGAGAGTCGAATGACCGGTGGAAAACATTGATTCTAATGACAATAAGCATACATTTATTGACTTATACGATAATGAAATTTTACTTTATAAATTCCCATGAATTTTCCAGAAATCGTAGAAATGACGTTCAACATTGTTACTTTATTTTGTTTGAATTTATCAATCAATTTTCAACATACAATCTTTAATGGGGAAATAAATTCTCAACATTTTGTGGGAATTGGCACCAAACATCAGATGTTTCACTTGTATTCTCTTCTGTGCCACCTGCTATAATTATTACAGTTAGCTAACACTATAGTATATTTTTTTGTTCTCTTTTCCATATTATTTTCTGGGAAAGCTCGTGTCGCTACATTAATAGCTCATCAAAATCTCATTTATGATTAATAATTTCATTTTCATCTCATCGTCGGTTTTTATTAATTTTATAATTTTAACATCCTACCTAGGTAGCTGGTCGTTATTTAATTATTCTTTATAAACAATGGATAAATGTAGTTATCTGACATCGTCGTATTTTCATTGTTTCATATTTTTCCCACCATTTCCAGTATTAAATTGCATTCAATATATGCAATATATAAAAAGCATTTGCCATCACATTCACAAATCGTAGAATCATCAGGATAATTATATTTTTCCTGTCTCGTAATTGTTCAGAAAAAGATGATAATTATCCTGATGTCTATGTATCGTACTTCTGCAAACTCTCTAAACCTGCTCAATAGTTATTATTATTATTAAATAATTGTTCATTGATATCAGAAGTATTTAAATGTTTTTCATTAATTTTATTCCCTCAATTGCCGTACCAATTTTAACGCTAATCTATGCCCCCATTTATGAATGTTTTTTTTTTTCAAATGTTTTGTCTATAGTTCCATCACTACAGTAATTATCACCGCCCAAAGAACAAGTACAAAAATTGAATTGTTTATTTTTTCCATTTAACTTTTTTGGTTTTCATGCTGTTTTATTGCCGCTTAGATACGTGGGTTTTTCATGTTTTTTTTTTGTTGAATTGTAATCGTTCCTCAAAAAAGCAGACTCGACGGACGGGTTGTTTATTAAGTCGTAATAATAATCACGTTAATGCGGGAGAGAAATGAAAAATCCTTTCCAAGTGGCTCAAAATCGAGCAAATATTGTATATCAATATCTAATATTTAATTTTTGGTTAATCACTTAAACGTTTTTGGATGGAAATTCAGTAATATGGCATAGTCGAGGGCGAATCATCATTTTCCAAGTCTGAATGTTTCAAGTTAAAACAAAACAACAGTGATTAATTTTTTTTTTTGAATTTATTATACTCAGTAATTCGCAAAGTTTGATTCAATAATTAATATTCCATACCGATTAGAGTGCTTCCTTATAGAGACAGTTTTATAATCAACGAATGTCAAAAGAATGTATACATTTATTAATTCGTATATGTCACTTTATTTTGATTCTCTTCCTTTTATTATTTCATTGTCCCTTCATATAAATCTTTTAAGGCAACTTATGCCAATATATTCATATCCTTTTTGTCAAGCCAACGTCAAGACAAACAGGTATCAAGGTTCTTCGTTTTACTTACCTTCCTTCCTATTATATTAAGCTCATTATCACATCCTGTATTGCAATGAAATATTAAGCATTTGTGCTTAATTATACTCTATAACTAATTTTGTTTATATGGAATTGAATAACAAAAAATTTTAGACTTTCATCAACTATCACTTTTATATTTTTCATATAATTTTTTTTTTTTTTTTTTTTCAATTTAGAAAAAGCCGATTATCCATTAGGCCAAGCTTTTGCTCATAAAATACGTATATACTTTAAATGAATATCAATAACTTTAATATAAATATTTTATCAGATAAAATGTCAAGCAGTGCATAATAAACGTTAAAATAACTCGATAAGCTTTTAAGCCGATTAAAACTATGATAATTTCGTTTTTGATCACAAAACTCACTCTCTAAGGAAGCCGATAAACAATTTCCTTCACAATACATTGCCCAATATTTTTCTCCAGTTACGTATGGGAAGGCATATATTGACCATAGCTATATAGATTATATTAGCTGTAAATTAATTTTGTGACTAGAAAAACTTGAATTATTGATGTTGTAATTGAATGAAATAAAGGCTTCGAATGTTGCAGATTTTACTCAGTTGTCCTTAAATTCATTCAACTGCAAAATCTATTCCGTCCATCCAAATTTAACATAATACAGTCTGTCGATACTGCTTGTTAAAATTATCTGGGATAAACTAAAAATAAACACGAATTCAAAGCAATAAGTATAAGTGCACAGAGAGATTAAATCCCACCGTATGGCAAATAATAAAGCATATAGCATGGTATTTCGTTTTCCTATTAAATGTCACAATCTCCTGCTGCAATTTATCACAATATTATTTACTTGTCTCACAGTCGGGATTTTTTTTTTCATATCAATTTGAACAAAAAGTTTTCGGTTTAATGACTGGCAGATGTTAGATTATCGAGAATCACGACTGGAAGTACTTAAGGCCCACTTGCATAATTCATCCTCCCTTAAATTTAACTTCAATGATCGCGTAATTATTCATTTATTACTTTGCCTGTAGATTATCTGTTTCATTCAATAATTTTGTGCTGCTCGGAATTGAATAATATGTCAAGAAAAAAAAATTGTCGTTACAACAAGACAATAGAGAATTTTCTTTTATGACAATTAGACCACTTTGAAGAATTAGTTCCTGCCGAGTGAGAAATGTTTCTCCCTTCGTTTTCTTTATTTTTCTTTTCGTAAGTAAATTAAGAGTCTGACGGTGATGTAATTTCGCTCAGAATTCGACTAGTAGAGCTGAGCATGCTGACATGTCCTAGAACTCTAGTCGATAAGCGCTACAGCTTGTTTCGTGATCTTGTAGATTAATGGTGCAACGCGATGCTGATGGTGACAGATCAATATGGTTAGCTGCGAGGGCTTCCTCATTGTCAGCTACCCAGTAGCCGAGAGTGTCGGTATCGTATGTAGGAATCATTGTCACTTCTGCAAGAAATCAGATTCGTTAATTTTCCTAAAATTAGAAATGCTTTCAATAACCTCATTAATAAAATTAATTACCGAGGTTTTTATTCTCCCAAGTCTTCTTGGCATCTAGCAGTGCATCATAAACTTCTCTACTAGGTTCAGTTCCACTGAATACGTAGTACCTAGCCCGTACACGTTTGAAAAACTCCAAACTGGCATAATAAGAGTTGCCATGATGTGGAACATAAGTCAAGTCCAGATAAACCGGCTGGACCTTCTTCGAGTCCTTCTTCTTCTCCTTGCTAGCTGGGCTATCAGATCGCTTCTTATTCTTCATATTCTCAGCTACAATTTTCTTTGGCTGTCTGCGCTCTTTCTTCGGAGTAGGGGGCATCGTTTTATTCGATGCCTCATCAGCAGTTGGAGCTGGTGATGGTAGTCTCAAGGGTTCCCCCCAGTCATTGATGACATCAAAGTTCAGAGAATCTGGCGACATATCCACTGATGAGCGGACAATTGGGGTTGAACGAAGATTGAATTTATCAGGTCGTTCGGGTGATGGTAGTTTCAGAGGGGTACCCCACCCCCCGATGGGATCCCCCTTGTCATGTTTATCATCTCCCTCATGTTCTTTCTCATGTTCTCTCAGTACTTTATCAACATCGTAATCAGCTACATCAGCGAATTGTCGTGAAGTGGTCATATGCTCGGCTCCTCCTTCAACCGATTGCTTCTCCAGTGAAAACTTTTTGAAAGAGAAATCCTTGTCATCTCCCACAGGTTCTGTAGGGTGACGAGGTTGAGGAACATCTGGTAATTTTCCGTAGAAACTACTGCTCATGTCAGCCGTCGAGAACTCTACATGCTTTTGATCACCCTTTTCGTAATGATAAACTTGAGACGTGGCTGAGAGAGGTGAATCTTCCTCTGAATCCTCATGATGTCGTTGTTCAGGCCAATGATGCCCAGAAATCTCCATTCCAGGCTCTGCTTGAGTCGTTTTAACATCGACTTTCTCCTCCACTACCACGGTTTCACCCCGTTCATTAGTTGTTTCTGTTACTTCTTTCGTTGTTGTGATAATCTCACCCTCATCCGACATTGTTCGGGTTTTTGTAATTGTTGTCTTTATGACTTCGTGAGAACGCAGACTGTCTGGCGTGTCTGTACTGGATCTACCTTCTGATAAATCTCGAATTTTATCAGGAGTTGATCTTCCTGAAGAGGAGGACATCAAACTCCGGCTAAGATCGACTTTCATCGCTCCTTTGTCATCAAATCCACTGATTATGCTAGGTTGGCCGTCAGACGCTCCATCATCATCTTCTTCTATTATCTCTCGTTTAACAATTGTTTTCTTGATGGTAGTTTCATACTCTGGGACTTCAGTCACGACGGTACGTTTAATAATAACTGGTTCACCTTCAGAATGATCTTTGTCCATTTTATCGGAGGATGCAGTGTCTGGCAGAGAATCTGGGGTTTCGGTTCTAGCACCAACATCAGGAGTTGATTTACCGGATAAAGTCGTTATGTGAGTAGTTCTAATTTCCGTCATACCTCCAACAAAGGCCTTATGAAATTGGCTTTCATACTTGTCATCATAGTGTCTGACTTCAGGAGTTGAATAGCCCGAGGACCTACGTTCTGGCGAGGACTTTCCAGACATGCCTTCCTCCTTGTATTGCGTAATCCCACCGCCTGTTCCGACGGATTCTTTATATTTCTCAAATGGATGATGCTCGTCATCATGTTCTTCTTTGATGGCTGGACTTTTTCGACTCGAATGTGCGGCCAAAGCATCTTCGTCAAGAAGACTTTCTCTTGGGATTTTTCTTTCAATCATGATGGACTCAATTATAATGAAGAGGGTATTCTCGTCTACTCCCTTCGACATTGAAATTTCGTGAAGAGTCTTCTGGGAAATTCGTTTCTTCTTTATGATGTACTCTTGTGTTACGTAGTCTTCAATGTTGATTCTTGTAGTGTGGGGTATCTGTGACAGCTTATCAGGTTCTGATAAACCCTTCGAAACCTCCATCTGTGTCTCGTCAATCACACTCACATCGTCAATTATTGATTCTCTCGGGATTTTCATTTTATCACAGATTTCGTAAATTGTTTCGATGACAATGTAATTTGGCACATCGTAGAGTGCTACTATCTCCTCGAGTGTTGCTCCTGTTATCTTTCGTTTCCTGGTTACATATTGGCTCATTATGTATCGTTCTATGTCGATACGTTTAGCTTCAGATACTTCGAAATCGTCTTCGGCTTCTTCACGTTGGAAGTGATCCTCATGGAATTCCGATAATCCTGAGGATTTTCGAGAAACAGATTTTACAATGTCGTCTTTATCCTCGAAAAGACTTGCTGCTCTAGATCTACCAAGGGGAGTTTTTTCTCCCGTATCGAAGAGACTGTGCGATCGAGATCTGTCTCGTGATGGTGCTTCTGGAAATTCTGCATCCTGTGGTTTATCAGCTGCTGGTGTCGGTTTTTGAAGAGAGGACTCTGTTGGCAAAGGAACTTCGGATTTATTGGCATGAATGGATGATTCTACTTGATGCAATGTGTCTTTTGCAATGACTTTTTCATCTTTGGTTGGTTCAATAGTTGATTTTTCAGAAGCCATGCTGGAGGATCTTGATCGCATACCCAAGCCTTTTTCAATTGGATCTTTCGCAAGTGAACCATCGTCTTTGCGTTGACTAGATGGGTCTGACGGCGCTGGAGATTTAGGAGGTGATGGTGATTTTGTATCAACTTTTATGTCTTCTGGCTTTTGCAGGATCAGCCCTGATGATTCTACAGATTTTCCTTCTAAACTTGCTTTTCTGGCTGAACAAGTCGCTTGGGATGAACCCGAGGATTTTTCACTTACTTTGTCGTCTTCTAGTTTTTCTGTTATCTTGAGAGAAAGAGTTGATGTAACGGCAGACGTATCCGTTGCATCTGGAGTTGGGCTCTCTCTTCTGGCTGGTGAAATGATTGCACTGGATTCCGTAGATTTCCCATCCGCTTTCGGGATGAGACTTTCTTTTCTGACTGGAGAAACATCGCGAGATGATGCCGAGGATTTTAAATCTTTTCCTGTTTCTTCTGGGTGTTGGGGTACCTCAGCTAAACTTTCCTTTCTGACTGGAGAGACACCTCGTGAAGACGTTGCTGATTTTAGAGCAACATCACCAGGACTTGGTGATTTCTGGTCGTGTATTTTAACATCCGTTGCATCTCCTGGGAGCTTCGCTGAAATTGAAGTCTCAATTACTTGCTTGTCTTCCAGGATGATGCTTTCTTTAGTAGTGGCGGCACTGACTGACGATTTCTCATCAATATGTTTTCCATCTTTTCCGTCAAACTGCTCCGATATACTCCTTTTCCTGACTGGTGACAGAGCGATTGGAGACCCTCCAGATAAACTAGTTTCCTCTATTGATTTGACGTCAATAGATGCCCGAGGAGTGTCAGTCAGCGAGACTTTTTCATCTGGACTAGGCTTTTTCTTGTCAGTAGTCTCCACTTCGTGTTTGATCTCAATAGATGCCGTTAGAGTACCGTTAATCGAGACTTTCTCATCCGCAATAGGCGTTCTCTTGTCGGCAATCTCCTCTTCGTGTTTGATGTCAATAGATTTCTTCGGACTACCGCTAATCGAGATTTTGTCATCTGGGCTAGATGCCTTTTTATCAGCAGTTTCATCGTGTTTCGTATCAATAGATGCCCTTGGAGTACCACTAACCAAGACTTCTTCATCTGGACTGGATGATTTCTTGTCGATAGCCTCTTCTCCTAGTTTGATATCGATAGATGCCCTAGGTGTACCACTAATGGAGATTTTTTCATCTGGGCTAGATGTCTTCTGAGGGGTTCCCTCCTCATGTTTGATGTCAATAGATGCCTCTGGAGTATCACTAATTGAGACTTTTTCATCCGGACTAGGAGTTTTCTTATCGGCAGTTTCCTCTTCGTGTTTGATGTCGATAGATGCCCTTGGAGTGCCACTAACTGAGACTTTTTCATCCGGACTAGGAGTTTTCTTTTCGAGAGTTCCCTGTTCCTGTTTGATGTCAATAGATGCCCTTGGAGTATCACTAATTGAAGCTTTTTCATCTGGGCTAGGAGTTTTCTTGTCACCAGTTTCCTCTTCGTGTTTGATGTCAATAGATGTCCTTGGAGTATCACTAATCGGAACTTTTTCATCTGGACTAAGCGACTTCTTGTCGATAGTCTCTTCCCCTAATTTCATATCGATCGGTGCCCTTGAGGTACCACTAATTGGAACTTTTTCATCTGGACTAGGTGACTTCTTGTCGGCAGCCTCTTTTTCCTGTTTGAGATCAATAGATACTCTTGGGGCATCACTAACTTCGACTTTCTCATCTGGACTAGGTGTTTTTGTGTCGGCAGTCCCTTCTTCCATTTTAATATCGATAAATGCCTTGGGAGTGTCAGTAACTGAGACTTTGACATCCGGACTAGGTATTTTCTTATCACCAGCACTCTCTTCTTTTTCATCGGGACTACGTGTTATTGTGTCGGCAGTCCCTTCTTCCATTTTAATATCGATAAATGCCTTGGGAGTGTCAGTAACTGAGACTTTGACATCCGGACTAGGTATTTTCTTATCACCAGCACTCTCTTCTTTTTCATCGGGACTACGTGTTATTGTGTCGGCAGTCCCTTCTTCCATTTTAATATCGATAGATGCCCTGGGAGTGTCACTAACGGACACTTTTACATCCGGACTAGGTGTTTCCTTCTCGTCAGCACTTTTTTCTTTTTCACCGGGACTAGATGTTTTTTTGTCGGCAGTCCCTTCCTCCATTTTAATATCGATAGATGCCTTGGGCGTTTCACTAACGGAAACTTTGACATCCGAACTAGGTATTTCCTTATCACCAGCACTCTCTTCTTTTTCACCGGGAGTAGGTATTTTTTTGGCGGCAGTCCCTTCTTCCATTTTATTATCGATAGAAGCCCTGGGAGTATCGCTAATCGAAACTTTGACATCCGGACTAGATGTTTCCTTATCGTCAACACTCTCTTCTTTTTCATCAGGACTAGATGTTTTTTTGTCGGCAGTCTCTTCTTCCATTTTAATATCAATAGAAGCCCTGGCAGTATCGCTAACTGAAACTTTGACATCCGGACTAGATGTTTCCTTATCGTCAGCGCTCTTTTCTTTTTCACCGGGACTAGATGTTTTTTTGTCGGCAGTCCCTTCCTCCCTTTTAATATCGATAGATGCCTTAGGAGTGTCACTAACAGACACTTTTGCATCAGGACTAGGTGTTTCCGTATCGTCAGCACTCTCTTCTTTTTCACCGGGACCAGATGTTTTTTTATCGGCAGTCCCTTCTTCCATTTTAATATCGATAGATGACTTTGGAGTGTCACTAACTGAAACTTTTACATCCGGACTAAGTGTTTTCTTATCGCCAACAATCTCTTCTTTTTCGCCGGGAACAGGTGTTTCCTTGTCAGCCGTCCCCTCTTGATGTTTGATGTCAATGAATGCCTTTGGAGTATCACTGATTGAGATTTTTTCATCCGGGCTAGGCGTTTTCTTATCGGTAGTTGCCTCTTCATGTTTGATGTCCATAGAGGCCCTCGGAGTACTGCTGATCGAAACTTTGTCTTCGGGGCTGGATGCCTTCTCACGATGCTCATCAGTTTTGGAATCAATTATCGTGGTTGGAGTTGATAAAATTGTTTCCTCAATCAAAGAATGAGTATCCTTAGCAGGAGAGGTATCACGAGGGGATGCTAATTTAGGACTTGGTGATTTCTTATCGAGAAGGTTTCCTTCGGATGTGATATCAATTGATGGCCTAGGGCTTGCAGTTCCTTTTTCACTCATCGCTATACTTTCTTTCCGAGCTGGCGAAGTTTCCCGTGGAGATATTGAAGATTCAATTACAGGGCTGGGGGATTTCTTGTCAAGTGCAACGTCTTCAGATTTCAAGTCAACTGACGCTCTGGGAGTTGATATTTTGTCCTCCAAAACTAGACTTTCTTTTTCGATTGAAGAATCGTGAGGAGTAACTGAGGACTTGCGACTTTCAGTGACAGGACTCTGCGATTTCTTTTCGATTCCAACCTCTCCAGATTTTAAATCAACTGATTCCTCCTCCAAATCACTCGTTGGCAATTTCTTATCAGATACTAAACTCTGCTTTCTAATTGGTGAAGTATCACCTGGAGATGTTGAAGATTTGATACTTGCAGCAAGAGGACTAGGTGATTTCCCATCACCAATTTTCTCCTCAGATGTGATGTCCATAGATAGGCGCGGACTCGCTGACTCCTTTTCTTCAACGGCAATACTTTCTTTGCTCATCGGAGATGTATCTCGTGGAGACACTGGGCTTTTGACACTCTCGGCAGGACTTGGAGATGCTCTGTCAATTCCTGTTTCAACCCTTGCATCTTCTAATTTTCCAATACTCTTCTTCCTAATTGGTGAAACTCCTCCGGCCGATTTTGGAGAATGTTCAGAATCAATTATTTTTTCTTCATGTTCTGTTGGAACCGCACTTGGCAATACCTTTTCATCAACAGTTAAGCTTGCTTTCTGAATTGGAGAAATGGAACCAACTGGACTTGGCGCAACCTTCTCATCTGGCTTCGTAGCTGCTTCAAGCGTCTTTTCTTCTTTATCATGGCTAATACTTTCTTTTCTGACTGGAGATGGTGAGGTCACAGTAGGTGATAGTGTGCCGGTTTTTTCTACTTTTTCATCAAGTTTTTCAACAGCTGAACTCTCTTTTCTCAATGGTGAAACATCGCGCGAAGATAATGGTGACCTTCCATCAGCTATACTCGGGGCTGGAGATTTTTTGTCATCTACCTCAGTTTTAACGTCACCCTCAACAACAAGACTTTCTTTCCTAACTGGAGAGACTTCCCTAGATGATTTTGTTGATCTGGCATCTCCAACGCTTGAAACGGGTGATTTTCTATCATCAGTTGCAATATCAGTTTTGGTGTCTGCAGATCCAATGAGTAAACTTTGTTTACGGATCGGTGAAGTCTCCCTAGATGATTTTGAGGACATGATCTTTGTAGGACTTGGAGTTGGTGATTTTTCCTGGGCATCTGTTCCAATCTCCTCATGTTTGATATCATCCTTGACAGTGTCAGGTTCTTTTGAATCGGGAGATACATGCTCTTCAGATGGTGCTGATGATTTATCGAGAATGACTGAAACTTGAGTTGTAGTTTCCACAGTAGCATCCAAAGAATCTTTTCCTGCAGTCGAACCACCCTCTTTCATTGGAGAAATGTCCTTTGGCGATGTTGGCGATTTACTATCGGCAATTCCGTCGATCTTATCTTTCTCCACTAATTTTTGGTCATCCAATGTGTCAAGTGTAGATGATTTCTTATCTTCATCGTCCTTTTCCGATGTAATACTTGCTTTTCGAAGTGGTGAAGTGACTTTTTCTGTTTTCAATTCTGCAACACCCATGCTTGGCGCTTTCTCAATCGCTTCAATGAATTTGTTTTCTCCTAATTTTTCAATCGGCCGTGATGAAACCACCGGAGAAGGTGGTGATTTGATAGACTCTTTTTCATCCAGTTTGTCTGACGGGCCATCCAGTTTTCCCTCTTCTTTAGGGACAGGGCTTTCTTTAGAAATAGGTGAAGATGCGCGACTAGAACCTGATTCCTTCACTCCTTCCTCTTCTTTTTTGGTTGTTGCCATATCAGGAGATGCAGTAGATTTTCCTGCTTCTGGACCTGGGCTGGGGGATTTTCTTTCTATTGTTTTATCTTCAATTTTTAGTTCGAGAGCTTTATCGCTTGGGACGACCGTTGCAGTTGTCTCTGTTTCCTCACCAGCATCTGTTTTTACTAGTGGCACAATTTCTTCTTTTTCTGTATCCACTACACTTTTTTTTCTAAGGGTCGAATCTGCAACATCTGAACTTGGTGCTGTAATTGGTGTTACACTCGTCTCGTGAGCAATATCTTTTCCATCAGTTTTGACAATTAGTTCTTGACTTGGAGGAGCATCTTTTATTGAGGTATCTATCGGCGCAGGCGTCATCTCATCCTGAGTTAGGGATCCAATACTGGAAGATCTTGATTTATCGAGAACCACTTCCATTTTTTCTTTTTCCATCGTGTCTTTGATCGGTGTAGGTTCTTGTTCTGCAGACGGTGAGACTTTTTCTTCCTGTTTCGGTACTTGTTGGAGTGTTTTTTCGTCTGAAATGGGTTTGGCATCAACTACATCGCTTTTCGAAGATTCCTTCAATGGAGACTCGGCAAAAACACTCTCTGCTGGTGAGACATCTTCAATTTTATCAAAATCTGATGGTTCCTTATCGAGTTGATCAAGATGCAGGTCTTTAATGGCCTTCTCGGGTAAAGGCGCTTTGGAAATCTTCTTCTCTTCAGCTTTAGATTTTTCGATGCTGTCATCCAAGGTTTGTGAATCTCGAATGCTCGTAGGAGATTTGTCTAGGCTGTCCTTCGTCGAAACGCTGTCTTTCTCCGGAGTACTTTCATGTGAATGCAACGAATCTTTATCTGGTTCAGTTTTTATTGGAGAGCCCTTCAGAGAATCTTCAGGAGTGGTTGCTTTAGCGAAAGTTATGCTGCCAGTTGGACAGATGACAATTTCGTCACCACCATCCTCACTAGTTGTTGTAACGATCATTCGTCGGACTGTTGATGATTCCTCATCTGCTTCTGACTGAAGGGCAGTAGTTTCTTTTGTAAGATGTGGTTCACTAGCATCTCCCTTTTGAACCTCTGCCACTGATAATTTTCGATCCTCGGCGAATTTTTTCTCCTCTGGTTCTGTAATAGTTTTTTCAGTAACAGATGCTTGGGGTTTGTCCCTCAATGATTTGTCGATGAGTTTTTCATCGGCTTCTATGACGTCACTGGTATCATCCTCCAAAGCCTCTTCCCGTTCCATTTGATCTGTCTCAATTTTCTTCTCCTTCTCCAAAAATTTATACTCTTGTTCGACAGCTTCGAAACCATCATGAACCTTCTCCGAAGTAAGCTTTTCCTCTTTCAATGCCTCGGATTTCATACCATTCCAAATCGCTTCGGGAATGTCAACGACTGAATTTTTCGATAATTTTTTCGTAATGATAATTTTTTCAATTATTTCAATCACTACGTAAATAGGGATTTTTCGCGTTACGTGTATTTCTTCAATAATTTCCCGCGTAAATTTCTTCCCCTTAGCAACATAACTGTCCAGAATGTCAGATTCGGCGCGATGGATATTTTCCACTTCTTCTGCCGATGGAACAATGATGAAATCTTCGAGTTGCTGATCTTCATCTACACTCTTCCCTTCTTCTTCTTCTCCCTCGCTTGCGGCGTCTGACTTCAATTTCTCCCAAGTTGCGTCATTGATGTCCACAAGCGATTGCTTCTGCAATTTCTTTTGAATTATTATGTATTCTATAATCTCAATGATAACATATATAGGAACTCGTTGTCTAACATGAATTTCGTCAATAATGGTTTGCGTTATCTTCTTATTCTTAGCTAAATATTCGTTCAATATTTCTGATTCCACGTCAGATCGGTTTTTATCCGTAACTATTGAGTCATCCTCGTCTTTTGGAGATTCGCCCTTCGCATCGGCGCTTTTCTCCTTCTCATCCAATTCAACAATATCTTTCTTGGTTTGTTCATCTAACAGTAGAATATTGGCATCAACAACGACACTCTCCTGTGGCACTTTTTTCTTCATGATTATTTCCTGAATAACGTGAATAATTTGTTCCCTAGGAACTCGCTTAATTAAAATTATGTATTCAATTATTTCAATGGTAATTTTCTCATTCCTGATGAAAACTAGCTGCTCAATTATCTCATCAATATTTTTGGCAGATTCGATAATGCTTTGAACTTCCGTTGGAAGCCCTGGTCTTGGCAAATTTGAAACAATCATCTCCTTTTCAATGTGGCTCTGAAGTTTTTCATTTGGGAATTTTGGAGATGGTGGAACTGAATCCGGTGTTACCATGACGTACTCGGCAGTAGTAGGAGCTATCTTATGTTCAAGTGAAATTTGGGTTGGTTCAATTTCCACTGAATCACGTCTCTCTTCTTTGAAATCTTGCTCTGGAGAATCGTGTTTTTGTTCGCGTTCAGGCACTGCAATTTTTTGACAAACTTCTTCAACACCTGCTTCCATAACATCGATTCCCTCGTGTTCAGTGGTACTATGTTCCGGAGGGTGGGCTGGGGCAATATCTTTCATTAAATCTTCGCAAATAGCTTTTGCATCAGTTTTGTCTGAAATTTGTTCTTTGCCATCTGGAATGGCAGGTTCTTCTGCAACAGTTTTCTTGATGCAAGGTTCCTCTTTGCATTCCAGTAACGGAGAAGCTTTCTTCTCTATTACTTCTTCAATTTCGTCTTTCTGAGTAGGGATTTTAGCCGACGTTTCGAAAAGGGCCTTTTCGAACAAAAAGTCATCTTCCTTCAAAACTTCTGCGACTTTTTTGACAATTTCGGTGACATCTTTGGGTTTCTCATCAAGAACAATACCTGCAGTTCCAGCTAATACCTCACCTACTTCGCGAACAGCCTCTTTCATATCTCTAACTAGGTCAGTAGCCTCTTCTTCTTCATCATCTGCAGGAACAACAAAGTGGACTTTTTCAGGTTCTTTCTCATTTACTTCAATGCCATGCATCTGCGGTTGAATCTCTTCTAATTTTTCAACAACTTCATCAAGAGTATCTTTAACCTCATCCTTGGTAGTTGCAGCGAGTTGTGCAGCTCGTTTGAATTCCTCTTCAACGATTTTTTCTTCTAAAGACTCGAGGGAATCGCGGAGACTGTCTTTCACAGTTTTAAATTTCTTGGAGGCTTCCTCGAGAAGAGCTTCAACGCCATCTGCATCCTCCAAGTCGTCAAGAGCTTCAGTTGATTTTTGTAGGCCATCGAGTGGAATTTCCGTATTCCTTTCCTCTGATTGAGAAGATTTTGGTGGAGCAGTTGTCGGAATTGTAGCTTCCGCGGGTTTTTCAGGCTCCTGTTCTTGCTCTTTCTCATCAGTTTTGGGGAGATGGATTTCAGAAATAGCAGCAGGTGCTACATCATGGTGAACCTCTTCTTTGGGAGAACCTGATTTGGATGAAGATTTCTCGTCAATATCTTTTTCCGATTCTCTCCTTCCTTTTCCGGTCAACTTGTCCATTCCTCTTTCAAATTTATCCGCAACTTTACCAAAGAAGCCAAGCACACCTTTTTGCTCTTTACTTGGTGATTCTTTCAGTTCTTGAGGAGCACTCACTGGCACTTGAGCTTTCTCATCTTTTGATTTCTCAAAGTCTTCCATTTTATAGAGCTTTGGATCAACCTCCTCGTGCACCGGGAGATCCGCTACTTCATCGGGGGTTTTAACGATGTCTCTCTGAAGTACTTGAGGGCCCTGGCGTACATTAAACATGCGTACCTCAGGTTTCACTTCACTCGGTTCGGTCGTCAATGGCATAATCTCTTTGGGTTTTTGTGGAACCTCGGCTTTCTTATCTTCAATAGTTTTTTCAGTTGTTGGTGGCTTCGCAGCATCCACGGAAATTCTCTCGTCTTCAGGCAACGTCGGTGCAGTAGTAGTAGCACCTGACTCGATTGTTGATATACGCTCTTGAGATTCCTCCATTTTCTCTTTTGTTTTTTCAACTTCTGGTTTTACATCGGTATCCGTTGTTTTCTTCTCCGAAGAATCCAATTTCTCCGGACTCAAACTGGATGGTTCTTTTGTTATATCCTCACTATCTTTCTTGCCTGAATCCTCTTTCTCCTCTGTTTTCTGGAGAATTTCCGTTGCTGATGTTATTATACCTTTCATCTCCTCTTCGAGCTGCTCTTTGTACTCCGCCAGTGGTGTGGTGTCTTTATCCGGAGTCTTTTCTACTTCCGGATGAGATTTCTTTTCAGATGCATCATCACTCTTCTCACGCTCCTCTATAATACCCTTTTCCACAGCCATTTCTTTCTCCTCACCTTCGTCCTCCTCTTCATCTACCTCGTCCTCCTCTTCTTCTTCCAATTCGTCAGGCTCCAATTCCTCCTCATCAACCACCTCTTTTTCGTCGTACTCCTCACTATCTTTGAGAATTTTCTCTTTCTCGGATTGAGCAGCATCCAATAAATGCTTGTGCTCAGTTTCACCACTGTGCACGGAATCTTCGGTGTCACCCTCCTCCTTTTCAATAATGAGGTACTCATCCTCCTCCTCAGTCAATTGCTCCTGACTCGCTTTCCTAATTGGTGATTTTCGTGGTACTTCATCAATGTCAGCGGTGACATCGTCCTCAGTCATGTCTTCGGTGATATCCTTTTTATCAGTAGCATCCCCTGTAACCTCATCCTCGCCTTCGATCCTACTCTCCTTTCTTGCTACTTCAATTCTCTCAGCTTTCTGTAATACTGCCTCAATCTCCTCAACCACTTGGCGTTCCTCTTTAAGATCTGCCAGAACCTTGGACTCAATTGAATCTAGTGACATGTCCTCTGATTTCTCTGTCAAACATTTGTCAGTGAATTTATTCATTGAATCAATTTCAATTGCTGATGGTGTTGATACAGTTGATGAATCCGCAGTGCCTTTTTCCGTCTTTATTTTCCTCATCACTCCATCTTTATCAGATTTTACGGAGGCTGTTGGAGTGCTTTTTGCAGATTTTATTGGACTACCCGCAATGAATTTTGCTTTGCTGGGACTTCCACTGGGTTTTGGCCTACGTGGTACAGCTTTCTTCTCCGAGGGCGGAGCAGGTTGGGCTTTTGGTTTAGCCGGAGCCTTTGACATACTCATTCTCTCGATATTTTTCTGCTCAACTACTTTTCGATTATTAGCATCTTTAGCACTCTTTGGTGCAGCAGCTGGCAAAATTTTAGTTGCTGCCTTCGGTGCTGATTTTGTTATTGCTGCTGTCTTCACCTTGTCCTCGGGTTTAGGTGATACTCCATTGACCATTTTCTTCGGTGTGGGTGCTTTCGTCTTCTTCTCAGTTGTTGCTTCAGGCTTTGTTTTCGGAAGTGAAATTTTTTGGGCTGGTTCCTTAGTAATTTTTTTCTCCTTGCGCTCGGGTTTGGGTTTCGTTTCTTTGATTGCCGCAGTCTTCTCAGTTTCCGGTTTAGTTTTTATCATTTCAGTCTTTTTAACATCATCTTTAACAATTTTCTTCGTCTCTTTAACATCCTTCAATTCCTTATCGATTTTCTTGGCGTCTTTCACACCATCCTCTTTGATATCACCCTCAATTTTCTTGTTCTCAACAATTTCTCGCTTTTTCGGAATGGGTTTCGGTTTTTCCTCAGCCTTTTCTGGTTGGGTCAATTCAATTTTCTGTTTGGTTTCCTCTTCACGCTTAACCTTACGTGCTTCCATAGCACGTTTAGTTTCTCTATCCATCAGACTCATCTTCTGGATCTTCATTGGTTTATCCTTGAGTGCAACTAACGAAGCCGAGGGTGATATGCTTTTTGCCGTGCACCTTGGATGCTTGAGAAATTCGAGATGCCTCAGACGTTCAATGCCTTCAAATATTTTGTGCTGCGGCGTACTACCTGGAAATAGTATTCTTGTTATCGTGTCCTCGGGATTGGCAGGCTGCCATACTAATAATGCACATATTGATACTAGATTTTGAATAGGAAATGTCAAGTTATTTGAGTCTTTCTTGTGTGAACCAGCGAATAATTTCCAGTCGCCTGCATTCCACTTCGACAGGAATTCACGTACTTCCCGGCTGTCCTTAGTAGGACTCAAGACATACATGTCTAGAGTGCCATGGCCAACTTTATGATAAAGATTTATTGGCTCAGGGTCTCTGTAGCACGGATGCGGCCGGAGATTTATGTGCTTGAGATTAAGCATCATCTCTTGTCCCAATTCGGTTAGACTCAAAATCAATGGATCAAGATCTTTATCTCCATCCGGCGAATTAGAATGTTTCCGCTCGACGAGATTGCAGAAAAAGTGACCAATTTGAGGATAGACTTGCATCTCTCGTTTCTTGCGGAGAACACTAGACATACCCCCAACGTTGCTATTATTCATGCGCGTTAATAAGACAGCATCGAGGCGATCTAAATGTCTAGTGAAATCCCAGAAGCATGATTTCCTGGCGAAACCACCGTCAACCAACATATTGAAACCGTTAATTCCGAAGAGGGCTGCATCACCCTGACCACCAGGGAAGACGTACAACGTTGGATGACTGAATCGAATATTGCCAACCACATCGGATGGTTGCATCAGTTGGTCCAGCGCTAGTGGCACTAGATACTGGCTGATGTAATTCGTAAAACTTGTTATTGCGGGAACGCCCGCTGTTAACACATCGTCGGGGTTTAGTCGAACTCTACAGGACCTACATCATTAAGTTTTTTTTAACATTATCGTTCGACATCTGCGGACACTTACCAAATTATTACTCTATCGTGCCATTTATTATTTATTTACCTAATACAGGGTTCCTTGGATAAACGCTGCATTAACCATTCGCCAATGGCTGCGCAATTAATGTCGACAGTTACGCTATTTTCATAAGCTCGAAGCACTCTCTGCACATCGTGCTCGTTAAATGCGTCCAAAAAGTCAGCAAGACTGAAGGTTCCATCCTTCAAAATTGAATACAACAACAATTCTTTTCAATTGTCTTTACAGAAAAAAATTAATGTCAATAATTTGTGTCATTAGAATCAGAATGTCAGACCTGCAGTATCCAGGAACCATTCTCACTGAACGTATAGCCGGCGTGAATGATGTGCCGATGCTTCGTGAAACTAGCGAGTAAATTTCGAATGCATTGAAGTAATGTATTTGACTGCGGGTGAATTAAAATTTCCGTCACGAGATTCTCAGTTGCGTATTGAATCAATCGTTCACCTGCAATACCCAACATTTTTCATAACCGTGCTCATGGACCATTGTGCTAATCTTTCGAATTTACCATTTCTAGCTTCTTCACCCTCGGGTGCTTGAGCAACCAAAGCTTGAAGTTCCTTCTCCAAGTCGACATGACAGTTGTCTTTGTCCCACGACAAAAACCCTTGAAAAAAACCAACGATAATTGAGCATCATTGAATGTTTTTTTATTCATAAACTATAACAGAAAAGTTAATGGTTTATCTGAAATTCGGCTGAAAGTGAAATGTCTGCCGATCGATTCGGCCCAGTAAGAACCACGTGACGGGGGGTGCGGCGTCGGTGACGTCACCGGGACCGCCCTAAGTAAAGCAGCGCAATCTCTTTTTCCCTTTTTTTTTCATTTCTTCATTCCCTTATTTTTCAAAAAAAGTCCACTCTGTCGGCTCCTTTGTTACCGCTAAATTCCTCTCGCACGTTTAATAGAATTTGGAAACGTAAGTAGTTAGTCCCTCGCACGGACGAATGAAATTCAAAAATGGGTAAATTTTCGAGTGCTCAAGATGTTCCTCTGCGCTGTGCGATATTTTGTCGCCGTCAAGGCCAGGTTCAAGAACAGAATAGCAGCGCGTCTGATCTCGATTTGGATGAAGTGCAGAGAGAAAGGACAAAAAAGTAAAAGAAAGGCTACAGCATAGGAGGGAAAAGATGAGGGGAACGGCCGAATACCAGTGATAAATTTAGCCTATCTTAGTATTTTCACGAAGGAATAAGTACATGGGGGTTTGTCCTGAATTATTGTCCGCTGAGTGTGTTTCTTCTATTTTGTTTTCTATTTTTAAATTGACAAAGACAAATTTACCAAAATTTTTCTTTTTTTTTTAAATTTTTTTACCTTTGGCAATTCGATTGAGAATGAGATCTTTGTGCTGTGCATTATGAGGCTCAGGAAGAACGACAAGTAAGTAACACCCGCTTAGGGGTGACGGTGGTGGATGTTGAGATCCTGTCGTTGGTGTACCAACCATTGCTGCTGGTATAGCAGGTTTTTCCGGCTCACCTTCACTCTTTGGAGGGTCCATTGTACTCATACCTTGGGGAAATAAATTTTTCAAATAAAAATTAATTATTTTGACGCAATTATTCTCCCAAATTTCAGCTATTCAAGTTATAAAACGCACAATAATTTTAAATTCAATCAATATTCACCTGGCCAATAGAAATTACCCCGGAGTGGCTCAATCTCTCCGATATAAGAAAAATCTTTAACGTGGACAAAAAAAAACTAAATCAAAAGAAAATTGTCTGACCCGGCGAAATCTACTGCGCAGGATCTAGAGTGCTCTCCTGCGTAAAAGTGATATGTACTGCCGAATAGCGTTTGCGCATTTATGATTCATGTTAAATGCGCCTTATGTCCAAGATAATCACTGAATGTGAAATTAATTTTTTAAAGATGCGAAATATTGCCACCCCTCGGTGCGATCAAACGACGATAAATAAATAAATTTTCAATGTTTCTGATGAAATAAATGTGGTGAACGACACACAACGAGCCCCCGAAATATCGATCCACCCGGCTTAGTCATCTATATACACCTAATGGTGCCGGTCAATTTTTCCAACATAAATTCACTTCTTATTCCTTCGGAAAAAGAAGAGAAAAAAAAGAGAAAGTCTTTTTCTCGAATTCCATCATTTTTTCCCCCACAGGAATGAAAGGAAATTCGCCCGGAGGATTCATAAAATTTCAATAAACGGGATCACGGAATTGAAAAGACGTATTCATGGATCGTGAAAAGATTTCGAAATGCTCGTGCGGAAATTCTATTCAACCTCTTTCAAATATTGCAAGTCTTAAATTCATGTGACACATGCGGTATATCCTGCGGAAGAAAACTATATATATATATAAAATTTCAACTTTGTGAGTCAAGCTCCCCCTTCCCCCCCTTTCCCTACCCTGCTGTATAGTTGCCGCATTGCCCTTAGTAACAACCCCTCCCAGCACCTAACCTCCTGTTTTTTAAATTCTGTCTTCACCATTTCAATTCCAGCTAATAAATTTTACACGCGATGAGAATAAATTATTCCCGATTTAACAAACTAGTATTACATCAGATGGTCTTTATAGACTCTGAGCAAGTTCACAAATTTCAATGACTCCAGTAGGGCTTCTCGAACGTAGGCTTACATCATAAATTAAAAGACATTTTTCCAACTGCAGAAGCCCACCGAATAATTCAAGAAAAACTATGAAACTACCCCTCCTTAATTGGTTCAACTAAATTAATTAACGAAGCGATAAATTTATAGATTACTTACCAAAAAAATTGGTATATCTTCTACGTGAATTTTACCCAACTCTTGCACAAAAAAATTCCAATATGTTCTAAATAAGCGAAGCAGTGAGGAAAGATTAACTCTCAATATAAAAACTGTTTAACCCTAATTATAAAAAAAAAACCGTCACAACGCCGATAGTCCTGTAGAATCTTCACCGCTGGAGGGATTGATGCACCAGGAATTCGAGAGACGTTAAACCCTTGCAATGAAACTAAATGAGGGCTTTTAAACTTGTTAATTGTTAAATCAAAGTAAATTCGACGGAAAACGATTGGACATGAGAACAATTCGAATACTCCTACGTAATACGAGATTTTATGAATTTTTCGGGGTGTATAGCACAGCTCGACTGTCGAAAGAAAGGAAGCCTTGGCAGCAGCTCACATTGAGGGCTGCCGGCTCTCTGACAGGCTCCATGGGAAGCCCTCGCCGCTTGCGCGCTCTCACTTGCGCCTGGGGGAAAACGCAGAGAATTCCCTCTCCACAATTTTCTACCCGCTACCCGACGCAGTGACGTTTACCCTCTCCTCTCCCTCTCCAACGATTGTCCAACAAATCGAGCAATGTCATTGGTTGACGCGTGCCAAACTCACCCCTTGAGTCTCCCTCCTCGCCCCTTTGATCCTATTTCATTGCTACAAAATTATTACATTGGGTTTGTGTCAGTAGAAAATCGTCAATAGGTTTTCTGCTGGACATGGAGACTGGATGGCTGGCTGGCTGGCTGGCTGCCTGGCGAATGACCCTTTCCACTTGCGTTCAACCTTTTTAATTCCCTTCGTCCAAATAATCAAGCGCCAATGCGGTATCAGCGTAGACGCATTTTTCAACATGTCTGAGAATTTGCTGTTACCTTATTGAGACAAGGTGTGATTCGAATTCATATTAGGTTTCAGTTCTTGACTAACAATAACGCTTGGATACACTTGCATAACGGCGTTTGGCTGGTGTAACGGTGATTTGATCCGTTCGAAATCATTTCATTTTCATTAAAATATATCAAGCACTTTCGGCGTAGATTCTCTCCCCTGTTGTTTGTGTTTCTATTTCTGGCTAATGATAGGGATCATTATGTTGTAATAATGGAGTTGTTGCATGTCATCGAGGTGGGGGATTATGGGAACCGTGACAATCATAAATTTATCCGTCATTAATATTCGGCCAAGGAAACGGGGAATGTAAGAGAAAAATATCGTTCCAATTTTTCCTACATTTTTTATTAAATAAATTGTACATCAATCATTCGGAGAGCGCCTGAAGTACTAAACTTCGCTCTTACTCGTAAAAATATCCCATAAACCGATTAATTTCAATTTAACTCACCGTTAATGTCGAATGGCATTTTCCTGCCATCGAAATGTCAGAGAAAATTCCATCAATTTTTATTAAATGCTTCATAAGTTAAAAACAAAATAAATCCAATTTTGAGCTTAAGGAAGCATCTTGAATAACATTTTTTTTACATAATAAGGGACGAGAGGAAGTAGAGGGGAATAAAATGTTTCAATTTCACATTGGATGGTTGGAAGATTTTGTGTGGAATAACAATGACATTAAACGTCTCGAAAGGATTTCGTCCTTCCTAGACGAATGGAAGTCTTGATCAGGCAAAGCAGCAGTCACTTCCGTTCTACCCCCACTAGTGTAATCTGCGGCGATAGTATTGACCGGTGAAACTACTATTCAATGTGAAAACATTCCGTAGAAGGGTACATTGAATGCATGTGTAACCCCATTCGCCGGTAGACATTCCTGTGTCTGTCCTTCACGCACAAAGACACGGCGTATATATATATATTTTTTTTATTTGTTTCTGGAAAAAAAATGAGAAAAGGGGCGACATCACGCACCCACCCACTGCGTCTCGATTTACACTAGAGAATGTCGAGAGGCTTTTCGAAATAATAGTGACGGGGCGGACATTGTAGACGCTTTTCCCACGCCGAGAGGGGTTTCAATGATGAAAAGGACACCGTCTGGAATTTTAATTATCCAGATTTTAATGGCGGAATTTATTCAGCGAGACGACTGCTGAAAACCCTGACTAAACTATTTGTTTATTAAAATACTTTACATGTTTCTTTTGGGTGACTCATAGTTCCTAGATTTTAATGATGAGTAATTTTTTCAATTCATTGATTGACCAAAAAATTAATAGAACGTGAACGATAGCAGAAGAAGAAAAAGCTGAATTTCTTCTATTTATCAGTTGATGTTGATTTATCAATGCCGGAAATGAATTGCTTTTTTTAATTAAACGTAATCAGAAAATTGAAATTTCAATGGCTCTCAAGAGTTCATCATTGAGACAATTTCGTATAATTGGTGGGAAAACCGATGCTGCTGCCCCCTGAAATTCCGGGAAATCAACGCATGCGCAATGATGAGCAAATTGTTTTTGAGAGATCTCCACATGGAAATCATAACCTATACAGGCGTCCTGGCGAGATTCTAGTCTTCGCCTCTCCATATAACCTAATGGTGGGGGAATAGGAACCGAAGAAAAACAATCTCTCCAATCAGTTGTCAGAATAGTCGAATGTGCGTCGTGGCATAAGCCTCACCGGTTCTTCAATCTACGGACAAGAATTTCCTTCAACTCTGGGTCCTTCAAAAAGGATTTCTCCGCTCAATTCAGTGCGTAATCGGACATTACCTCGTTGCTCCAATCTTTTATCTCTTATCAGATCTGACATTAAGATTTGGGTTTCAAGGATCAAATCGTTAAAACGAAGAAGATAATGGAGATAGCACAACTGTTTGAGTTCATGGAATTGGTTGGGAGGCTTAAGGTATGTTTATTGTTTCCATGACGATGCCAGAGGTTGAGAGGTCAGTGAGCCGTTTATTCCCTTTGTTTGGTACTAGCACATGAAACGAACTGGCTGGGTTCGACAGGGAATCGACGATGCTGAGACCATTGCTGGACACATGTACAGGATGGCTGTTCTCGCACTTCTCGTAGACACTAAGGAAAACATCAACAAAACCAAGTAAGATAACAGTATTTGTTCATGAGGTGTTATTGTTAGGTTTAAGTACCTCTAGAGATGAATGATTCATCGGTTGACAGATGAGTAATTAGTGACTGAGAAGCAGTTTGGATTTATTTATCAACAAATTGATCAATCACTTTGTCTCAAAATTCAAGAGAGAAACAATTTTTTAATCAGGGCATTTTTTAATTGTTCAATTACTAAAAACATTACATAATCAATAGATTTACTTCAAACCTATTATAAATCAATCTTGAAATTTCACGGAAAAAACATTGTTGTTCATTGATAAGAAGGGAATATTTAGAAAAAACAGTCATTTCATCATTCTTTTTTAATTGACAGGGTGATGGAGATGGCTTTGGTGCATGATCTAGCTGAGGCAATTGTTGGTGATATTACTCCCCACTGTGGAGTATCTGTTGAGGAGAAGCATCGACGTGAGGACGAGGCAATGATAGAAATATCAAAATTACTTGGGGACAAAGGGCCAGACACACTCAGACTCTTCAGGGTGAGTTCCAAATATCCAGTTCAAATATTTATTTATAATTTTGTCTTAACGCAAACCGTCCCTATTTTAAAGACACATTTAGACCTACGAAACTATTTAATATTAATCGTTTCCTGTAAATACCTCAGCAAGGGTTGATACTTATCAATTTTTAAAAAAAATCTTATCAATAATGTTTTTGTTTTTTTTTGAAAATAGGAATATGAGTCACGCGAATCTCCAGAGGCCAAATACGTCAAGGATTTAGACAGATTGGACCTCATTATGCAGGCGTATGAGTACGAAAAACGTGATCAAACTCATGGAAAACTGGAGGAGTTCTTCACTGGTACAACGGAGCACATCAGTCACCCCCTACTCAAGAAGATGGCCAACGAGATCATGACACGAAGGGCTGAGCTCATCGTACCTCCAACTGTCGAGCATTAATGTTCGAAAAGCTATGAAGGAGTGAATAAACTAAATTACTAGTTTTTAAACCAAAAAAGTGAACAAAGAGATACTACTTTTACAAACCATCATCAAGTGTCCTTAAGCTCAAAAATACTCAACTCCATTCGTCTCTTCCATCACTGATATTTATTGTAATACTCAAACTATTTCTTTGTTCAAACATGTTCTATTTAATTTTAATTTGTGAGTAAAGCTGATACTTTTGTAATAAATTCCAGTGTTTATTATTTTTTTCAACCACAAAATAACCCACATTTCAAGAAAACATTAATTCCAATGATTTGTAATTGTAAAAACATAATGATCGATTTGGCGCGGAGATTCTCATCTCCAAATGCCCTTCATATTTGTCCCCAATGTTTTCACTGATGAAACGTTCAAATTGAGAAGGTACAACAGATAAAACGTAACAAGAGCTAACGAGTTCGCTCCCACTCATCGTATTCGGTCATTGGAGTGTCTCTGTCTCTCTCTTTTTGATGGTGTAAACTCCACTCATCGTCAATTGGACTTTTACAGTGTAGTGAGAAGTATTGTACCCAGCAATTCACATAAAGTTTTTTCTATTAATTTTTAACCACTTGGATTTCCCCCACGTGCACTAATTTATCAGTGGATTATATTCAATGTGAATATGACCCGTGGAGAAAGAAAGTGAAGCTGTACGCAAATCACGTCTCGTGATTCAAGGATTTTCTCAACTAATATAGAGAGTGAGGAGGAGACGCCTGATGACCTTGGATTAAAACTGAAATTCCGGTGAGTCGGGATGAATTAATTTTCGGACACTCTTCGGATTTTACTTTTGAAGCAAAAAAAAAATGAAAGATTACGCAATCAATCTGTTATTAAATCACGTGGAAATTTTCACCTGTGTGTGATGCTCTTGAACATGGAGCTGACATACATTGATGTTTATTCAACTAGTTAAGAGAGCGCCTACAAGACATAACACCCTTTATTTTCGTTAGATTAACTCTTATTGCAATCAATTTCTTGTACGAACAAATGAGAAGTCTGGGGTATGTGATAAAGACCAAAGAATGACGGGAACTCTATGATTTATAGTCTCGATTACAGGCCGCCTCATTTTACAAACATATCTAATCACGAGGAACAAGAGAAATTGAATAAACACTGACGATAAATCTAATCTTCTGTCCTGAAATGTATTTCATTAAGAGATTTCAATGTCTGTTCAAAGGTAGTAATGACTTCGAAATTTTCTCGTACCGACAGTGAGAGCAGTGCGACATTTTCAAACAGTGGTTCGACGCCCAACGGAAGTAGCCTGGGGTCGGAAACAGACGAAGAAGGCAATGATGACGAATTGGTCAAGTAATTGCATATGTCTATTTCACTCAGACTAAGAAGCTCAATCTTTCCTCTACTTACAGAGATCTTTTTTTTCACGCAACAGATGAAAATCCGGCGAAGAAAAAACATGACTTACCCTGTTGAAGGAAATTGCAATTCCATGTCACGATAAAATCATGAAATTACGGTTTTTATTTTACGTACATGCTTGAACAAACTTGAAACACATGATTCAAAGACAATTATTTGCTCACAAAACACAGCCTGGATTAACCCTATCGTTCGGATTTTTAGCGTGGATTATCAATATTTTCATGAGACACTGCAGGAGCCGCAGTAATGCTGACAGTCGCATCGATGATTCAAAGTAACTCGTCTTTATCTCCTCAGGGTTATCGGGTCAATTTTTTTTCTCATTCCAGTTGTGCTATACATTTGAAATACATCGCCTGCGGTATTTTTCTGAAGTAATATCTTGTTTCCTTCATGGTCATTGTCTAGAGGACAAAAAAACACGCGATTTTGTGTAATTATTCACTGTTAATTACAAAAAGTGAACTTTTCGATTGTTTTATCTTTATTGCATCCCACTTGAGAGATCAAAATTGAATATTCTTTTCGTGAGTTGAATGTAGAAGTGGAATGATCCCAAGATATGATGTTGGAAGTGCAGTTTCTCTCCAGAGGTATTCAACTGAATAGTAAAAACTACTGAATCCTGTTTTGATAAAAAAAAAATCTCGTGTGCAGTGTGATTGGTGACGCAATTTCTACCGACTACTTTAATTTGACTTTCAGAGTGCCACTGCAGGCACCTCCCCGGAGAAAACCAAAAATAATCCCGATGGTTAAGAAACCCGGAACAGGCAATTCAACTGAAATATCGGACATCCAGAGCCCCAACTCGACGATCACCAGCGTAAACAGCATCAGCAGTCTTTTGAAGGAGAAGTTACAATTTACGTTACCACAGGCATTGCGAAGTAGTAAAAGACGACAGAATGCAGACTACAGGTAGTGAAGAATAATCAAGTAGAAAAAACACCCGTGACGTTTTTCCAACATATATATAACTCAGGAATAAATAAAGCCATTGCGCAAAATGCTGAGGAGTTATCGATCAACACTTACAACAAATGATCTTGTGCAAATTATTTTAAAAAAATCCATAAAAATTGCAAAACTTTAATTTTTCAGGATCCGAGCATTTGTGGGGATCCTCTTTCTCTGTGTGGTGCTACTAGTAGCTTTTGCACATTTCTATTACACTCAGTATGTCCTGCAGCGTGCATACTTTGATAAATTCAGGTAAGGCACACATAATATTTGAAATTTCCGTTGGAAGATTCTTGAATTTTCCAGACAATTCTAAAATTGATGGAACTTCACCTCAGATTCAACAAGAACCAGCGTCTCCTCCACATCTACAGCAGCATAGGTTCTGAAATCGTCTCGGCCCGCCTCGGCTATGGAATCCCCATGGACACAGGTGTCTTTCCCTGTCTCGCTGAGCACCAGAAACAATCCTCCGTCTGTCTAGAATGGTTGCACTACTCTCGCCTCTACCTCTCCTACATAAACCTCAACGGCATGCACTGCTACACGATAACATGGCAGTCTCTGAGCCCCACCTTCAACCCCCAGGACTGCTTCGACTGGTCTCCAAAGCGCAGCCACTGGTACGGCGGAGGTCAACTCCAAAGTATGGCGTATCCTCTGGAACAGGGGAGACTGGAGATGAGTCCCTTCGTCACCGGTGACATTCAGAAGCACCCCTTCGGAAATGTACTAAAGCGCTATTTCCTCAACTCCAAGGGTGGCACCATCATCGTGGACCCCCAGTCGCCGCTCTACATCTCCATAAATGCAAACAGAACTCGAGAATTTTGTCTCCAGGCAAAACACGACGATTTCGCATACATAAATCACCTGACTCCTCTTCCCCAGCTGAATTACACGATCTGCGCCACCGACAATATGAAGAATCTCCACTCCTCGATGGCCGACAAGTCCCTGTGGGATGGGCTCAAGCCCGCGGAAGCGGGAGTCGTCGATGCTCTCCTCTCCGAGCCCGTCTGGCAGATCTCCCCAACCAACGAGGCTGCCATTTACAATTACACCGAGGACATCATAGCCCTGGGATTCTTGAGACAGGGCCATGTGCTGCTGGACGCAGAGTGGCAGAAGAGCCCTGGAGATGTCACGCTGGATGACGCGAGATTTCCGTCCATGGAGGAGACAATAAACATCATTCGTAGGCGAGGGTTCAGGATTGTCTTGACCATCCAGCCATTCATTTCTACAGAGTCGATTAATTTTAAGGAGGCTGTCGACAATAGACTGCTCATTTCGGAGAGGGGGAGCGATCCACGGATACCAGCATTGACTAGGTAATTTTTTTTAAATTATTTAAAGTGCTGGAATCCTAATTACAGATTATTCACACTGTCATTGCTATTTTACATTTCTCAATTTGTTACACTTATTACAGTTGGTATGCTTTTTTCATTTTAGATTTTTAATTCACATTCTTTAAGGTATTCACAAATGATTTCTATGCATTTATGGTCAATTGCATCTGCGAATTTTTTTGTAGTATAGGGAGCAGTACATGTTGAATTTGTCAAGTTATATAACAATTTGATTCTCTGTCATTCTCGTAATTTGAGCAATGACTAGGTAATTTATCATGTTTTTCCATTCATTTATTGCCCTCGCATTGTATTGCGGATTTCATTTGATGTTTTCTTTCAGGTACGGTCGCAGCAACAGTGCAGGTGTCCTCGACGTCACCAATAATCGCTCAATCCCCTGGCTCCAGGGAAAACTTCACAGTCTAACGACGAAATACCACGTGGAAGCTTTCTACCTCGATCTAGGAACAGCCCACGACATGCCCCACTACTACAAATGTGAGGAGCCCCTGACCAATCCTGACCACTACAAAACCCTCTTCACCAACGCCGTCATAGGGACAATTCCAGTTCTAGGTGTGTCCAGTGCAATTTCCCGACCGAAAGCCCCCATCTTCGTCTCCCTCCCCCCCTTCCCGTCCTCCTGGAAAGCAATCAAGAATGTAATCCCCACGATCTTGAATTACGGAATAATTGGATTCCCCTTCATCATGCCAGGGGCTGTGGGAGGGGACGTGGACCTCCCCAAGTCCGATAACAACCCGAACAACGACTTCGCGGTCAGTCTTCCGGATAAAGAGCTCTACATCAGGTGGCTGCAGCTCTCGACCTTTTTGCCTGTCATCAGGTTCACTCATCTGCCTAGTAAATACTCGGACGAGCCGCTCCTGGAGATGGCGAAGGCCCTGACCACATTGAGACAAAAAATTGTCACTCCACTGTTGAAAAAAATCGTCAACGAGACATTGGAATCGGGTGTGCCTATAATCAGACCCCTCTGGATGCTGGACCCAGTGGATCCAGCCTGTCAACTCGTAATGGATGAATTTTCGGTTGGAGAGGAGCTCATTGTCGCGCCGATTTTATACTCGGGAAGTAGACAGAGGGAGGTTTACCTCCCCGCTGGCATCTGGAGGGACGGCATCGATGGAAGCCTCAGGAAAGGCTCCAGGTGGATTCACAATTACAGGGTCGCTGAAGATAAAGTCGCTTATTTTGTTAAAGTGCCCGATAACACGAGATTTTGAGAGAACAATGTGGACTGATAGTTCTGACAAGTTGTAATAATAATACAGTAAATCATCGGTTAGGAATTATTCGATAGTGCGTCCAACTTCATTACACCTGTCCCCTTATCCCTGAGGTCGTTGACATGTGCCAGGCAAATATTCGGGTAATCTTGTGCCATGCTGTGTCATCACGATTTACGGATGAAGTTGAATAAATAGTCCTCGCAGTGCAACTGGAGGGAAATGAGACCTGTATAAACAACTCCGTCGCGACGTAGCTTCACTATACTTCTCAATGATATACATGTATGTAACATTGTGAAAGCTCTTATACCTAAAGCGCTTCAAAGTTCGATCGGATGTGGAGTATACGTAACCCTCTCGTGGAGGATCTATGAATAGTGCGCGTTCAGGCACGGCTTGAGACGTCCACGTTTTTTTTATTCCTGCCGAAAAAGTTGAATTTCTAAGGAGGCGGCATTGTCATCCTCATTGTCTTGACACTCTCCTCGCTACTCCAGAGATTTAAATCAACTGTAGAATGAAGGCCAAGCTGCATTTGCCTTGACCCTTCGCCGAGCAGTTTGATCGATTTCTAAATGATAATATAGAAATGCTCGAGTAAAGTTTAATTGAAAGCAGCGACCATGAAGAGCCGGGTTTTGACGTGCTCTCTTGAATCATCGTTCACACATGGTAGTGGATACAGGATAAACTTAGAATCGAGTTCCGGTAAGTGCATCTGTGCGTTTCTCTCCAATTCTTTTGTGTTTGAATTTGTTATTTTTTATTCTCACCATTCGCCACGAGTTCCCACTTGGGTTTTTTTAAGTCACTTCCCACTTTATTTCAAAACCACACGCTCCGGGCAACATGCGGAGGCAGTTTTTAAACTTCTTCCGATAAAGACGAATGGTCTTACAAGTTTTTGTGGCTTTTCAGCCGGTTTCGGGGGAATTATCGTATTTTTTTACGACTCCTAACGGTTTTCTCCCACAACTTGTAACCATTCAGATAAATCTTTCTCTCCCCTTCTGAGGTGTGAAAATTTCATTGTGTAATCCGGAGTCATTCAAACCCTCAGCCCCTCGTCTTCCGTCTCTCTCCCTCCCTCTTTTGTGAAGTGTTTAGAATCCGAAACTGGCCCAACCGCGGGTAGGCCTCTGCCCCTACCCCGAACGACTTAACAGGTGTACGAGGGTCCTGGCTTTTTCTCCGGCTCAGTTATCTCCATCGCCTTAAAGACGACAGTAATTCTGTGTCACCCCCTCTGTCTCTCTCTCTCTCTCTCTCTCTCTCTCTCTCTCTCTCTCTCTGGTCCATTTAATTTTATCACTCGAGTGATAAAATTTAACGGGAAAAGGAAATGCCGCGAATCCCTCAAACGAAGTGCTGCTCCCGAAGTTAATTAATACGCGCGTAATTGTGGATCATTAGGTGTGATGACGTGAATTTCTCAGATGCGATGATTGGCATAAGATTGTGAGTTTGTGAATTACATAAAATAGGCACTCGGTCGTCTTTATGATGGTGATCTTCGGGAGAAAAGAGAAACCGGACGACCGGCGATTGCTCGCCAGCATGGATGAGGTGAATAATGGGAAAATAAGGCATCAAGAGGACAATGGTAAAACATAATTAAAGTACACAAAAAAAAATCTTCCTTCGTGATACAATTAGTGCATGCGAGCCCTTTAAACGCTCTACTTATCACCCGAAAGTTTCGCAATATCTATGACACGACCTGTGCAACTCAACCCGAGTATCAATTAACATGCAACTGCCACTGGGCGCAGCCTCTCGAAACACCGGGCAATGTTTACGCAAACCCCCGCTAAGTATTATCAACGATTTCCCAAGACAATTCTCTATTTCTTTCGGAATTCAGGGAATTTTGGAAGCCACCTGTGGCGGTATGCATTTATTGATCGCCACCACGCCCGAATGCGGCCCTCCGAACCCTGGGTTCACCGCGCAGTTCCCTTATCTAATCCCCCACCCCTCTATTTTTCCCCCCTAAAAACCCACCCTCTGATCTAGTTATGGAGAATCCTCTCGTGATTGTTCCAGCTGCCTTCATGCACGTCAGGGACAACATCGGGGAGCTTGGCACTGTTGCCGATGATACGGATTTACTATTTTTGAAGGGATTATTGGACAGTCCAGTTGTTACATCTCTAGTCAAGGTCAGTATTAAAATATAATTGGATAATTAATTATAATTGAAAAATTCATGTTCAAAAAATATTAATTTCTGTGAAGTTGAAGTTGAAGTTAAAGTTGATTTTCTTTTTCGAAATGGACTCCTAAGATGGCCAAAATAATTTCGACAGCCCTCCTTAAAAAATTGCAAATTTTGACTTGAACCGTTTTACCGCTTTAATTGGTAATGAATTACACGCAGTTGGAAGAAAATTCAGGCGGGGGTTTTTTTTATTTATTTTAATACCGATGGGAACTTAAAGCTCATTCAGAATCGAAATTCTTATCCGTCCCTGGATTTTAATGTATACCACATTGCATACCAGAAACTACGGCGACTCCACTCGTTTCCCACAAGTTAGCCAGTCCCCCACCTGTTTCGTTAAAAGCCAACCGTACGGGTCTCGCCCGATGCTATCGAGAGAGGTGGATTAGGCGCGGCGCTGGCATTGTGACGCTTTCGATCCCGTGGAAATCCGAGTAGATGAAGTGCTCTTTCATCTTCATTAAAGTTTTATTAAATTAAAGACATGAATTTCACGCGGTGACGTCCAAGTTAATTAATTAGATCTGTTGTAAGGTTTCTTGCCACTTCACGCAGTTGATTTATGGTCAACATCAGGTAGGTGCCATGGGAGTGTCCCATTGTGGAATTTTAAGTAATTAGACCGTAATTATACTTTATGACAAATATCCATGGGAATGAGACACCCTAAAAGCATTCGAAAATGAAGTTATTTCCTGACTATTTGAGTGAAAGTCGCAGTTTTTTTTTGTGTGGAGAAAAGTGTGTCAAATACTTTTGTTTTTTTCAATCAACATGGCTTCAGTGCTCTTTAAATCTATTGTCCCTATTTTACACGTGGGTGGGATGACATATATTGCGAAGGGAATGTCATAGATGTTGTTCGCGCTGGATCGCTCCAGAACGATGACTAACACATTACGTCAGTTATAATAACTGAGTGTGTTTTCCTTTCGTTATTATTGCACGTTCAAACCAAACCCTTTTTTATGGAGCAGGTGGGGGGTATCGGTATGAAAATACAGATGTCAAATGTTTCGGAGAGATCACGCGCAAAAAATTTCATAGAAAAACCTGGGGAATTCGATAAAAAATTCTATTGGAAGTGCTATTCGTTTTTGGCCGATTCTATTGAATTCCGCAGCTTTACTGCGCGTTATTTTTCGGAAAGAATCAGTAGATTTTCATTTTTCTATACAGCCTTTCTTATTGAGACATTTTCTACAGGAATTCCTCGACATAAATGTTCCAAGTTTTCATTCGTGTTTCAGCTTCAAGAAAAACTAGCGGAACCTCCCGCCTTCTTAGAGCCAGTTCATCATTCAATTTGTGACATAGTAGACGAAATAAAACACGTCTTTGAACACTCACGCGACAGCAACGCACGCCAGCTTAGTAATCTCCTTCGAAAATCCCACGTGAAAGCGCTTCTGGAGACACACGACGCAGTGGCTCAACGTCAACGAGAGCCAGCAACTTCAACAGTAGTATCAGCAATGCCGAGTGACGAAAGAACAGAGACGATCAGGGTAGTTGGACTCAGGCGTAAAGAGAATGAACCGCTGGTAAATAAATTTAAAAAAATCAGGCTGCACTTTCCCTTGAATTAAATTTAATATCACTCTCCTCAAAATTACTATTCAATTCTGTTCTGGATTTTCGAAATTAACTCGTTTTGCTTGTCCCAGGGCCTCACAGTACAAGTAGACGAAAATGGTAACTTGATAATTGCCAGAATACTGGGAGGAAGTACAGTGTCGAAACAGGGTCTTCTGAGACCTGGTGAGGTGATTATGGAGGTCAATGGGAAGGCTGTACATACACCTGATGAACTCCAGCAGGCGATACAGGCAGCTAAGGAGAATTTATCCCTCAAAGTTGCACCTGGCATTGCTAATGATGGAAATAAACCCATTAAATCGACAGTGAGTATGGAAAATATCCGTCAGGCCACCTAATTATAATTTTATGTCTACCACGATGATTATGATTTCATGTCTGTGATTGTGATTACGATTTCGTAGCTGAAATCTTGTGTATGTATTCTTTTACTTTATTCTTTTACTTGAACATACATTCGTACAATGGCGAGTCGAACCAACAGCCCGATAAAAAATAGTTATGTATTGATCGATAGAAAGGGCATGGATAACAATTAATAAGAGAGTATTTATAAGTAAATAGCATAATTAGGGTTAAAATTATCTATTCAGCAGAATATGATTTCTTAATAAAAAAAATATGGGGAGAGAGAGATTTATTATGGAAATTATGCTGTGGGAAATAACTTCAATCTTGTATATCAGTACTAATATTTTCGTGTCATCCATCATTTCCATTCGTTTTCTTTCATAATTCCTATGCAATTATTTCATCTAGTGCTACATGAGGGCCCTTTTTGACTATGACCCATCAGAAGACACTCTTCTCCCGTGTCGAGAGATAGGTCTTCCATTCCAAAAAGGTGACATCCTCCAAATAGTCGACCAAGCCGATCCAAACTGGTGGCAAGCAAGAAGGGTCGAGGGAGAGGGACTGGGCCCCCCAGGTCTCATACCCTCCCTCGAACTGGAGGAGCGACGCAAAGCCTTTGTCCCACCCGAGGCAGACTTCGTTCACAAAATCAGTATCTGTGGGACGAGGATCTCTCGAAAAAAGAAACGAAAGATGTACGAGTCGAAATCCAATGGGGAGTTTGACAGTGCCGAACTGTTGTTGTATGAGGAGGTGGCTAGAATGCCACCATTCAGGCGCAAGACTCTTGCTCTCGTTGGACCCAGAGGGGTGGGAAGGAGAACCCTCAAAAATCGATTGATTAATAGTGATCCCGAGAAGTTTGGAACGATCGTACCATGTAAGTTCATTTGAATCACTTTCATTTTTTTATTGGTCAAGCGACCAATTGAAGGATCTAATTAGGGGCAAGTGGAATAAAATAGAAATCTTCTCTTAGTGCTGAAATAAATTTGTTTTTAAGACGTGAATATTGAAAAAATATGTCAGTGTCCAAATATACATAAAATTAAAGTGCGAAATAAACTCCCGGCAGGAGGCATTCAATTTAATTCTGAGAAAAAAAAGTGATATTGATACTTTGAATTATTTGTTGATGGTAATTTAGACACGTCAAGACCCCCAAGAGTCCTCGAGGAGAACGGAAAAAGCTACTGGTTCACAGACCTGGAGACGATGGAAGACGACATAAAACAGCATCGTTATCTGGAGCACGGTGAGCACGGTGGTCACCTTTATGGAACAAAACTCGATTCAGTTCGTGAATTAATTCGCGCTGGGAAGATGTGCGTTCTCGACTGCAGTCCAGCAGCTCTTAAAATCCTCCACAATAGCACGGAGTTCATGCCTTACGTCATATTCATTGCTGCGCCTGGAATGGAACAACTGAAGACACTCTACGACCTGGGGAGGACTACTGGAGCCAGCAGTCGTAATTTGACTGTACGTACCAGAAGAATAATAACAAAAATATGAATTTAATTATTTCGAATGCTTGCCAATTCCTTTGGAACATTCTCTGCATGAAGTTACTGTGCTCGAATAGATATTTCTGCTCGAAAAAAAATCAAATTCATTCAGAATAATTATGTTAATTATTATTCCTTAGTAAATACTTATTTTATTTAATCGTAAATGTGTTTGAATGTTGCAATTTGGTAGTTTGATCGTCAAAGCTCCATCAGGTACAGCTCGAGACGCGCCAGAACGCTTGAATCCCTTGCATCGTTGTATGAGGTTTGTACATCCGCATGAACATGTTGTTCAACTGTATTTCATTCCTTACAAGTATTTGAATTTTTCCACTCATTTCGAAAGAGTGAATTTTATTTTAAGCAATAAATGTGTTTGTGTATCTGATAGGAAGACGATCTGAAATTGACTCTGGAGGAGTCGTCAGCCTTGCAACGAGCTTATGAAAAATACATCGACATGGTCATCGTCAACGAGGACTTTGACAATACGTTTAGACAAGTTGTGGGTGCTTTGGACGCCCTAGCAACTGAACACCAGTGGGTGCCTGTTAACTGGATCTATTGAGTGGATTTCCCTGATTTTAACTTAAAAAATTACTATTAGAGCCACTATTACACCCAAATTCTTTAATTTTAGTCAGTGAATTCAACGTTTTTGTGTTCATGAGAGAGCTTTGTATTCTTCGTACATTCAATTATTCATTTGCCAGTTGTTATTCCTATTTTAATGTACCAAATGATGAATAGCGAAATCCGGGAAAGGGAATGATGCTTCAATCAGCAAATTTTAGACACCAAATGAATTGCAAATTCACTGTAATTTCTATTGAATAATGAGGAACGAGGAGCGAGTGAGTTTTGAAAGCCGTCCATTTACTTTTAAGAAATAAAATTATGTTTTTTGTATTCTAATTATTTTATATAACACGCGAAAAGGAATGAAATACCTCTTTGCGTAGTTTTTAGTTGAAAATGTATTTCCATAATTATTTGAATGTATTTTTGTTTATTTATCCCGGCACTCGCAGTGCCTTGAAACAATTGTAAAACAACCCCAAGAATTCCCAAAAATGATCAAAATGGGCAAATGCCGCAAAGATCGAAAATTACAATCAATATTTTATATATTGTAGAAATAAAATACATTGTTGTAGAAATTGAAAAAAAAAACTCTTTTCAGTACGAAAAAAAAATTAGAGTGATACGCTCGTGGAACAAATGAAAAATAAATTTATTGAACCATAAAACCGAAAAAAAAACGTCAGCATTTTTGAAGATACACCTTCCCTGCGGCGCATGCGTACTGGCGAACAATTGACGTGTATAAGAGCTAACGTAAGCATACGCCAACAGTAAACGCCCAATTGTTTTCATGTTTCTAGTAAATACAATCAAAGTAAACAATGAAAATGACAATTGCCGATGTTTTGAGGAAAATCGATGCTTATCCAAAGACTCTGGAGGATTTCCGAGTGAAAACGTTCAGTGGAGCACTGGGTAAAGTTATCAACTACCGGTTTTTCAATGACATTTGATGATTATTTGATTTTTCATTCGTTACCCCTGATCGAAAGAACAATTATCCATTTCCTTGAAATATTTTTTCTCTCCTGGGGTTCCCTTTCACATTTTGAAGCAGAGAGAGTCCGTATATTTGGAGTTTTATTCATGCCGAAGAGCTGGGGGACATTGTTAACCTTAAAAATAACCCAGTGGTTGTTGACACCAATATGGAATCAATTATTAAAATTTTCTCCTTTCAGTTACCATCATAAGTTCTGTCATAATGGCTCTACTTTTCTTCTCGGAACTCAGAGATTATCTAACACCTAATTTGAACGAGGAATTGTTTGTCGATACCTCGAGGAGTTCGAAGTTGAGGATTAATTTGGACGTTGTTATTCCCACAATTTCCTGTGATTGTAAGTATTGAAACGCGCATGGATATCAAAAAGACGTTAAAGACCAAATTAAAGAGATCAATACAGTGAAACGAGAGATAAGAATGATAAAGTAAAAGCAACACTAGCTTAAGAGATGTTCAGATCGAAGGAAATTAATTTCATTCTGAGTCCATGTTTCAACTCTTCATTTCGATAAATTGAGGAATTTTTTGATTACAGTGTTATCATTAGATGCCATGGATACCACTGGTGAGCAGCATCTCCAAATAGAGCATAATATTTACAAGAGGCGGTTGAATTTGGAAGGAAAGCCCATTGAAGAGCCAAAGAAGACAGGTTTCGTAATAATTGTCAAATACAACAATATCATCTCATCTTTTTATTTGCTAGTGATGTATTAATCACATAATTCTGTTGTATTCATTAGATATCGCTGAGACGAAAGTAACGAAGAGTGATACAGAGGTAATTTCAACCATTAAATTAATATATCCAGAAGAGAAACTTGGAAATATTGCTGTATTACAGAAATTTCTTTGCAGTCTCACGAAACTTCCACTGAAGCCCAATGTGGGGACTGCTACGGAGCTGCAAGTGAAGAGTTGGGCATAAAGTGAGTTTTATCCAATGGATTAATAGCCCCCATTTAATTCATCGACAATTTGAACTTTTAATTTCAACTCTTAGATGTTGTAACACTTGTGAAGATGTGAGAGAAGCCTACAGAAAAAGAAAATGGGCCTTTCCCGAAGTCTCCACGATAAAACAGTGTCAGAATGATAAATCTGCTGAGAAAATGAAGAACGCTTTTCTCGAGGGATGCCAGATTTACGGATCCATGGAAGTTAATAGAGTTGGCGGTAGTTTCCACATTTCACCTGGTGATAGCTTCTCTATTAATCATGTTCATGGTAAGAATTACTGAGAGTGTTTTGGGACCTCATCAATTTAATTAACGAAACGTCACATCTTTGATAATTCGATGGATGTTACCTTTTTATTTTCCAAAATTTTTTATTTCTGTGCGACAATTCGTGAATAATTTTCAGTGGATTTATGATTTTTTCCAGTTCACGACGTTCAACCCTTCGCCTCGAATCAATTCAACATGACCCATAAAATTCGTCACCTAAGTTTCGGAGTAAACATCCCAGGAAAGTCAAATCCAATGGACAATACGACTGTCATGGCTGAAGAAGGTAACTTTAAATACACTTTATGTATTATTTTATTAAGAATTTCAACAGTGAATTTTTCAGTTATATTGTACAGCTCCTCAGTCTAAGACAAGATACATATTTCGTCAATGATAAGTTAATTGATACTAGCACCTTATACCTGTGCCAATAGCCATGAATGTACCGAATGTACCACCTCCCTGTATCATCGTCTTTCCCACGTTATTTATCAATTCTCTGCCTCGTAAGCCGTACCTGAAACGAAAGAACTCATAGAGAAAAAAATAAAGATTTGGCTGCAACTGCTCTCGAGTTATTGACCGCAGAGGATCCCTTGATATTCTCATAAATTATAATGAGGAAAGAAATGATAAAAATTACCTCAACGCTGAGAAGCCTCCAAAAAGGGCCCCCGATGCCATTCCCACGCAAAAACCTATTCCAAAACCCATTTTCATTCTGTCCCAACAGGTTGGGCCTTGCTGATAAACTCCACCCGGTACAGCTGGCATATTGAATTCCCCCTGGAAGAGTTCCACACTTGATTAAAAAAACAGCCCAAAACCAATAAAACAAGGAAATATTTCTTCCTAATAACTGAACTTTACTCTCACACATGTGTACTATTCACAAAATCAACTCTGTCATACCGAAATTATTTTACAAGCGCTAGATTTCGAAAACAGATTAGAATATGAAAATCTATTTCTCAGCAGTACTTACTGGCTGTCAAACTCGTTCTGATCGATTTCCCTGTCTTGAATCGGGAGTTATTCTTGAGACAGCATTTACGTGCGTTCTAACCCCTCAGGTTGCACACTACTGGCGGCCATGATGCTTTTCATGATAAGAAAAAAAAGGAGGGGAAATTCCGCGCACGCGCCTTTTGAAATTTTCTTCTATTTCATTTTTGAAATTCTTCATTTTCACTTTTGAAGGATTTTTAAAACTCAATTAGAATGGTTACAAATTTTTTTATCGGTGGATGACATCAACTGTTGATTTTACATTCAATTGAATTTGAAAAAATACAATTAAACTGAAATTAATTATCTATTAAATTTATTTATTATAATTATTCTTGTATTTTTATCCACTGGGCTCATAAAATGATGTTGTTTTTATTTTTAGGTGCAATGATGTATCAGTACTACATAAAAATCGTTCCAACGACGTATTTTCGTGCTGATGGAGCTCAACTACAAACAAATCAGTTTTCAGTGACGAGGCATTCAAGAAAGATTGCCATGTTCAGTGGTGGCTCCGGAATGCCAGGGATCTTCTTCAGTTATGAACTGAGTCCCCTAATGGTGAAATACACGGAGAAGAAAAAATCCTTTGGGCACTTTGCGACAAATGTTTGTGCAATAATCGGCGGTGTGTTCACAGTCGCTGGGCTAATTGACACTTTCTTGTACCACTCGGTTCGAGCGATACAGAAGCAAGAACTAGGAAAATTCAGTTAGAGACATTCCAAAATTATGTTCAAGCAATTCGTACAATTGTACATTACCGAAATCTACTATTTAATTGTCTTCAAGTCTGAACTTTGTATTTTATTAAATCAAAATGAATATAATAAGAGAGTTGAGAGGAAGACTTTTTAACGAATTATTAAAACTTTAATTATCTCTACAAGGTTTTCAGGAACATGTCGTACAATTCTATCGAGGACTTGGCCCTCTTCGTGCAAAACTCAAAGTCAGTGCCCATAGCCAAGGAGTCCAGTGGGACGTACAGAGGCTTCTTGGCGTCGTACTGGGCTCGTTTCAATGCCACCAGAAACAAATGTCTCTGTTTCAATCTCTCAACTCTCGTTGCGATGACGCTTGGCTGTTTGGCTATAATTTCGTGAGGAATTTCCATTACCTCGTGGACGTAAATGAAAGAGGCTATGAGTGCAAGTCGTGCTGTAAGAAAAAGAATTACGATCAATTAGCATTGAAAAATCAAGAATTTAAGTGATTGATCATTCTTTCACCTCACCTTTCTCCCAAATTTTTGGTTTATTTAGGAGAATTTCTTTGGCCTGATCATCATCGAAACCCATCTCTTCTTTGATAGCAAATGTGTTATCTCGGATGTCTTTGAGTGCGAATGTGATCAGTTGAGGTCTTCTGTGGACTAGAGCTCTCACTTCAGATCCAGAAAGTTGAAATTCTCTGAAATACAATTGCGAGGGATTGAAAAAATTCAATAGAAGATTTAATGCAAATTGTCCATGCACGGCAAATGAAAATAATAAGACGAAAAATTACCTCTGAAAATATGCCAATTTATTATCAATCTCATCAGTCCTCCAAGACAGCCACCGAGGTGCTTCCGTGACAATCCTTGCAATATCGTTTTTATCAAAATTGTGAGCTCTCAAGTATCTAATCCTCGTCCTCAAATCATCCATATCCTCCTTGAAGATGAGGGGATTTTTCGTGATAAAGGTGCTAATCCTGTCTACCGGTACTCCACAGTCGTGCAAAAACTGAATGTACGGCTTCATCTCCTCAAACTTTTTCGACAGAATGGCCTCCATCGCCCCTTGCTGAGCCTCAAGCTTCCACAGCTCGACTCCTAGCTTCACCAACTCCTGTATCGTCTCTGATTTGTTCGCGTAGGCCGCGAAGTTGAAGGATGGCCGGTGATATGGCCCCAAGTCCGACATGTCTTCATCACACTCATCCAGGGCACTCGGATTCTTCATGTCTTTCACCAGGTCCTTCAGGAATATGTCATCAACTGCCGATGAATCCTGAGGATTCATCGGCACGATTCTCACACTTTCGTTCAATTTTTCCCTATTTGTCGAGGATTCTGCACTTGTGGAGTACTTTCGGAGCACTAAATTCGCTGGATTAACCTCACTTTTCAGTTTCTTTTGGAGCAATTGCCGGGATAACGGCAATAAAGCCACACATTTCCTCATTTTTTTGATTCTCTGTTCACATTTAAACTTGAGTTACTATCATTTTTTTACATAAATCCGTTGGAAAGTTTAAATCGCAGGAGTTCTGTCGACACCGTCGTGGTGTTTTGAAATGAAAATCATGGAGGTTAGGACGAGGCGGCGATGGCGGTGGGGGTACAGAGAAAAAAGTTTCACACATACGACGACCTGGGAGCCTATATATTCTCGAATTGAAATCGTACGTTCGACTTCAACAAGTCACATACGGCCCATATATATTAAAAATCAAAGCTGAAAACCAGATTTTGTAGCAGAAATGTCAGACAAGAAGAATAGAAGAATAGAATATGCGCGGCTGGTCCCTTAAAGCGCCCAGAGTCACCTAAATCATTCGATCTTTTGTAACATCCACCTTAGTTTCGGTCAGTCACACAGCCTCAGCCCTGTGTTTCTCACTAGGCTAATAATAGGGCCTCTAAATATGAGAAATGTCGCTAAAGATGATGTCTGTTTTCAATTGAAAAGCAGAGTGTCTAGGAGGACAATGGGGTCTAGGGAGTATGTATAGAACATTGGGGTCTAGGAGTCTCTCCCTGGTTCAAAACCATCTTCAGAGGTCCTAGCACGCCATTTCTCGACCCGCTCTTTCATTTGAGCCCAAAAAAACATTTATATCTTGTCTGACATCTCTTCTACAAACTCTGTTTTTCAATTGAAAACCTGCCTGTGCCTACCTGTGCCGGTAACTCGACAGCACTCGGCAGTAGCAGTCTCGCTATAACCAGCTATAACCTTTCAGAATAGCAGAGTTTGCGATGGCAACTGATAAACAACACATTCGGCACTGCATTTTATACGAATTCCAACAAGGAAAAAATGCTTCTGAAGCACGGGAATCATTGTGTAGTTTTCTTGGTGCCGACGTTGTATCTTATGAAACGTGTAATTATTGGTACAGACGTTTTAGAAGTGGTGATTTCGATCTGAGTGACCAGCCGCGTCCTGGACAGCCTCGAAAGTTTACAGATGCGGAATTGCAAGCTCTACTGGATGAAGACTCAACGCGAACGCAACAAGAGCTTGCAGCTCGGTTAGGAGTCACCCGAACAGCTATTTCTAAGCGTTTGCGTCAAATGGGAAAAATCCAAAAACTTGGAAGGTGGGTCCCACATGTGTTCGTGTTGACTGAACACAACCTAGGTTAACGTATGAACACGTGCCTTTCACTGCTTGCCCGGCAATAACAAAAGGACTTCTTGTGGAGATTTGTGACGGGTGATGAAAAGTATATTTTTTACGAGAATAAATAAAATAGTATATTTCGTAACGAGCTAAAAAACATTTTTTCACGAGTTACGAACAATATTTTTCATCACAATGTGACGGAAATTGGACTTTTAGGCACGCGGAGCGTGCCGAAAAGTTCACTTTTCGTCACAGCGTGATGAAAATGTTGATATAAATGAGTTTGATTATCGTGACTAATATTGCGTTTTTATCTATTATCTGACCGTTATCGCTACGCGTTCGTGAATCCATGCCTACACGGCTGTTATGACAAAAAATACAGTTCGTCACGCGGCCGAGTATATGGCTGGTGTCATCATTGAATTCCGTCGGCTAAGAGTATCTCTCACGTTCCGAACGCACTAGATAGAGTTCCGTGCTCTGTTCTCCTCACTCTAGCCCCTCCACTACTGACCGCGTACCCAAACCTTGAACGCGTCTCCCCACTGAATTTAGGCGCACGATGAGAAAATCCCTCACGTTATCAACAAAATATTTTTTATAAATTCATTGGTGCATTCTGAATTTCATATTTGAATTGAAAGAAAAAGAAAAAAGCTCAATTAGAAAATTTTTCATCTCTTTGATCTCATTTCAATGGAACGGAATAAGAAAAATGCAAAGAAAGATGATCAGCAAGAAAATAAAAATATCAATTATGCAATGTATCCGCAAAATTTTCTAATTGATTTTTTTTCCTTCAATAATGTAGGAAGATTAATATTTTTCGTGGTCTGATTTCATTGAGAGGAAATGAGAAAAATGCAGGGAGAGATGATCAGCAAGAAAATAAAAAAAAACATTTTTTATTTTTCTGAAAAATTTCAAAACTGATTTTTTTTTAATGACCTAAAAATATCAATCAAGGGTCAAACGGGAAAGGCAAGCGGATAGTCACGATGCGAGGATCAAACATCGCAAGGGTCAATTGTCGGAACGGTCAAACAACAGATGGAGGCAGGACAATCTCAAAGGTCAAATGACCACAAGCGGCAACCGAGGTGGCAGGAAGGACAATCATAAGGTTCCAACGTTCATGAAGACCAGACGAAAAGAGCGGAAAGGAAAATTGTCGAGGGTTTAACGGGAATAATTCACTTGGACACAGGATCAAGATTCATGTATTTAATATTTAAATTACTTTTTCTCATATTTTTTTTTTATGTTAACTTTGATTAGACAAAAGAGACAAATAACACACGACGAGTAAAATTAGTTATCTGAACACAATTACACATCCTGTAGAATTCATCATGTTCAATTTCAGTCTTTGCATACTTTTTATTTTGTTTTTATTTTATCGTGTTTTTCAAAATTTTCACGCAGTAAATTTCATTTGTTTTCTCCCTTTTTCTATTCTTCCGTGTGTAATTGTGTTACCTAATAACTCAATTTAAATATGTATACAATCAATAAACATTTGACCAGGACATTTTAAACGTCTCGGTAGTTTTATTACTTTTTTTTTCTTCCTTCCTTTTCCATATTTTCTCACCATTGAATGAAGAAAAAAAAATCATTATTGATAAAAATGAACAAAATTATCGAAAGTACCAAGGCCTTCAGTGGCTTACCGTTACTAATTAAGATTAAACAATGATAATGAACATTTGGAGCACTTTTTTCTCCCTTCTCATCCATTTGGTTATTTATCTTTGACTGTTCGGAAAACATTTGCACTGTAAATTATTCCTAAATAGAATTAAGAAGTATGTACTCTATTTTTCAAAAAATTTACAGGAATAAACTAAATAATAAATAACAGAAGAGAAGAAAAATAAGGGAGTAAAGATCTTAAAACATTTGTTTTTCCTAGCAATTGCACAATATTCAACACGATAAGTATTTTTACGATTATTTTAATCAGAAACATTTCTTTGTGCTCTGGTGAAATGGAAAAAAGAGTATATTTTTAGTCAGTGAGAAATAATTTATGATAAAAATGTATCGAGAATTTTTCTAGCTTTAGTTTTATCATTTCCCTTTTCGTTTATCTAAACAGATCTTTGCTTTTATAATTATCGAGTGAATCTATAGCTTATTTTGTTTTTTGGGTTCTTATAAACTATTTAATGCAGTAATGAAGTCGAAGTTTCATCAACGCTCAGCATTTCTTCAACATTCCTTTTTTTTCATTTTCTTTTTATCTAGGATAGTTTGATTGATTATACATCAACCACCATCTTCTTATGAATATCAGTGTTACCGACCACCTGGAAAAGCAACGGTATGCATCAAAATAAATCCGGCAATGCGGTAAATCCTCAATACAAACAGGAATTATACTCACAGAACAAAACTCTTCGAAGCTAATTTTTCCATCCTCGTCCTTATCGGCGAAAAGTATTGTCTTGTCGACAATTTGTTGTAATTGAGTATCTTTAAGATTATTTCCTACCATCATTTTCAATACTTGGAACAATTCACCATTACTAATAAATCCATCATTGTCCATATCGTAAATTCTGAATGCGAACCGTAATTTACTTTCTTTATCACCCTGGAAGAGAAATTGCATTCTTTTGTTTCACATCGAATAAATACTAATATCAATGATATTAATATTTCGAATGCCATGTATAAAACACAAATCATCATACATAAAATCTTGAATATATTCGACTCTAAATAAAAAGATGACTTTGGTATTTATAATTTTTCACTTGATGGTCATTCACATTCTGTAATTTGTGTTTTATGCATATTGTTAATAATAAACATCATTGCTCCGAAAAAAATAAAATTTACTTTTTTTACCTTGACACTGAATTGCGATACTCCCTGAATAAACTCCTTGAAATCCACTTCCCCATTGCCATCAGCATCGAATATATCAATGACACGTTGTACAAGTGGATTTTGTTGTAATTCTGGTAATGACATAAACTCATCGATACTTAACGCACCACTGTTATCAAGATCCAATTTCCTAAACCTCTTTCCCAATCTCCTTATTTCATCAGCATCAACTGCAACATCATTTTAAGATCAATGAAATTATCGAAACAGCAATGGCTAACTCACGATTCCCCCAAGTAACCACAAAAACCGATGAACATGAGAATACAATATACAAATTGGAGTAAAATAAACACAAGGACTCACAGTTTGAACAGAGTTCCATGGGTAGGGAGCTCTCGTTACCCTGAAAAATAACGAAGAAATGTGTAATTTCAAGGTAAAGTGGTGGATCATCGTGACTACAGATTAAAAAAAACAGGTAAGACGTCTATATTTTGAGAGTAAATCCAAAACATTGGACTCCTTCCCTCCGAACAACAGATGAAAAAATTAATCTCAACATTCCAACGAATAAAAAGTACTTATTCACCATTTTTGGTCGATTTTCCTGGTAATTATCACACGAAAATAAAGGATAACACGTCAAAATTGATCAGCAAACAGCAGCAATCCCAGGTAGACTCCAATGGCTGGTCTCAACTCGTTAAAAATCTTGGAAAGCGCTTGCGTACAAAACCCACCTTCCCACGTACACTTACGTGTGATGCCTGTGTGCCGTAAATAGCTAGTTTTGTTCCCCCAGTTCGATACCACAAAAAACAAGAAAAATGGAATGAAAAGGCAGACGCTTTTACGGCGACACCTGCAACCCCTTCGTCACGAGAGAGAATTTTCATACACTCGTAAACAATCTTGTGGGTTTTTCCCCCTCTTATTCTGATGCTTGGAATGTTTTTTTTTTATGGAATCGTGATAAAAACCCACGCCAGCCAACGGTCGTGTGAGGTACTAGTGCAGAACGAGTTGTGATAGCCGATATTGAATTTCTGGAATTTCTTTTGGTGAGTTGATGAATCCTCTGACATTCATTCTCGAAATTCCATTCGCATTTTCTAAAAAATATGTCACCATTATTCTCCGTTTCGTCACCATAACGAAATTCTTATCAAGCAAAGGAGTAAACAACTGGAAGGATAGATAATAATTTTTTCTCTATGGATACCTAAGAATTATTATTATCACTCAATCATTGTTGTAAATAGTTTTCGACATCTCTGTTCGATTGTCAGCAATTATAAAAATAATTGAGTCTCCAAAAGTTTTTACTGTCAGTGATAGTGAGAATAATTGCATAACTGCAGATAACAGCCTGGCAACATCATCATTTCCATATTTATTCAGATAGGAGACACCAGCAATGTCACAATTCCTGGGTAAAGTTGTTTTGATAACCGGTGCCAGTTCCGGTATTGGAGCAGCAACGGCGATTCATTTGTCATCACTGGGGGCCTCCCTATCGTTAACCGGTAGAAACCTTGAGAATCTCGAGAAAGTGGCTGCCCAGTGCAGAGCCCCAAAGCCGTTTATCCTTCCTGGGGAACTGACCAATGAAGAGGACACCAAGAGGATTTTGGAGTCGACCATCAAACATTACGGAAAGCTGGATGTTTTGATCAATAATGCTGGGACTATTGAACGTGGGAGCATTGAAAATACGAGTCTGGAGCAATACGACAGGTGACAGCTTTTTTTATTAATTTTTTTCCCGATTCTTCCTTGTGAATTAAAATTAATAACTCTTGAATTTTATTTTGATTTATATGATTTGCTCTTTTTAGAGTTTTCAATCTGAATGTACGCTCAATGTATCATTTAACGATGCTGGCAACTCCACATCTGATTAAGACGAAGGGGAACGTTGTAAATATATCGAGTGTTAATGGCTTGAGATCATTCCCAGGTGTTTTGGCATATTGCATGAGTAAATCAGCTGTTGATCAATTTACACGCTGTGTGGCCATTGAATTAGCTGGAAAACAGGTAAAAATGAGGGAGAGTAGAGTTAAATGAACACAGATTTTTTTTCTAATATTTACGTTAAAAAATTATTCCTGCTCGCTAATTCGAGGAATTCAATGAATTATCGTTTTTGTTATCGCGATAAATTTTCAGGTGAGAGTGAACGCTGTAAATCCAGGAGTAGTAATCACAAATCTCCACGAGAGGAGTGGAATGAGCGCAGAGGAGCTGCAAGCCTTCTTCGAGCGCAGCAAGACGACTCATGCACTTGGCAGACCAGGCCAGCCCGAGGAAATTGCCAGAACTATTGCTTTTCTGGCGAGCGATGATGCAAGCTTTATAACTGGAGCTACATTACCTGTGGATGGAGGCAGACACGCTCTCTGTCCGAGATAAACTCATAAAGTGCATTCATAAATCTATCGTTTTTACCTTTTTTTTACTTTAAAAATAAAGAGGAATATTTTGCAATAAATAAATGTTCATGTGAAGTATTTTTACAGCTTTGTGCATTATTTTTTGACCTGTAGTTTTTAATTGACTTTTTCGTCAAAACCACTGCCATCATGGCATCACTAAACTACTTTTCTTCCGGCAGCATGGCCCTCATTTCTTCACGTGGAACAAATTAATAAGAGGATTGCTCATTAAAATAAAAAACTCACCTATGAGCTATTTCAACTCTAGTCATGTGGCAAAATGCATATAAAATCCCCATTTATTATGTGGTTTTAAAACCATGGATGCAGAGAGTAATATTTTGCAATAAATAACGATGAATCCTGGAAATGCCAGTTGTTAATCTTCTATTGGGTATTCTGTATTAAAATTAGGTATTTGTTTTGGACAGGGCTTTCTTCGAGCCGACAATGTCTTGTTTCCAGATAAACTCTGAGCAATACCCAGATTTGGGTATGCAGGAATTTTTGCACGTGAAGATTGACATTACACCCCAGTCGAGATCCTTCACGACGTCAGAGGAGCCCAGGTAATTCAACAATTGTGGCATGATCTGGAAAGAAATGGGAAATTAGTTCAACGTTATTTCTTCAATTGAAATTACCGAAAAGGTGAAGAGCTTTGATTTTTCACGCACTTGGAATTCGAATTGCCTGTCTCCACCGCACTCCTCACACTTTGGAATGTTCTCGGGTTGATTGTGTGCAGAAATGTAGAGAGGAGAACCTCCTCGGTCATACCTATGAAAAAATATCATTGATTAAAAAAATTGAGAAACATGAAAAAGATCATTGACTAATTCTAAAAAAATTACATCTCAAGATTGAAAAATGCGAGTCACCTCAACACTTGATCTGGATGTTTATCAACTCTACTCCGGAATTCTGTGAAAACCTCGTCCTCATCCTCAGCCATCTTGACCCCATCGACTTCCTTTTCCGACTGAAGAGTCCCAGCTTTTCCACTCTTCACCATCAATTTATACTTCTCCATCTCTCGTTTCTCCTTCTCCATCTCATCGACCTCATCATCCTCAGAATCCTCCGAGTTCTCAGACTCCGTTATCAACTCCAACTCTGGAAACAGAAATTTATGGGGAGAGTCCTCGGGCTTCTTCGAAGGATCATTGCAGATCTCCTTGTGCCCAGTCTTCCAGTCGATCACTTGATGGCTTTTGGAGCAGTAGCTGACTTCCCTACATTTTGCACATTTACTGGGGGCTGACAGTCCACAGACGTGACAGGTTTTCGTCCACTTGTCGACAGCTGTGAAGTTCATGCAACAGCACGATTTATTGGCATGTTTATGATTTTCAGTCATTAATTACTCAAAATTGGCAGAGAGTAATTGAAAAAAATTTCCCATCATTTTGAACGCAAATTTTAAAACGCATTTTGATTCATAAAAATCGTATCATCGAGTCGCTAAATACTCACTCAAATCTGGTCTCCAGTCTTCCCTCTCCTCAGGTGCATCAAACGGATAGAACTCATTTTTCCTGCTCAACTGTTCCCTCAGAACCTTCAAATTCCCCCCATAATTCTCCTTACAGCACTCGCTCTTCTTACAAACGAACACAAAAATTGTTCGATGAAAAGTCGCATCATTAGCAAAATAAGGGGCATAAACTTGACACAGGAAGACACATGGATCTCCACATGCTCCACACTCAACATCCTTAGCCCCCGGAACATTCTTGAGGTCCAGCCAGGCCGGTTCACCCCCCACTTTGCTCGGAAAAAATCTGCTCTGCAGTCTCCAGCGTTCGCACTCCTCCACAAATCCAATATCAACCTCTCCCATTGCTGAGCCAATTGTTGAAATTACGACGATCAACTGTTTGTTTACGAACAAGCGCTCCAATTTGATATTTCCAGGTTAGAATACTCATTTCGGAGTCACGGCAGCAGGCAGCGCATGTTTTAAGGAGTGTTCTCATAGGTTCGAGCGACCAAGAAACCATTGCCCCCGAAAAAAAAAATGATAGCAGTTAGGGGGAGGAAATATCATGAAGAGTCCGAAGAATCCGCAGATTCCCCTGCCAATGAATTAATCCACCTTGTTCTTTCGCAAGATCCACCCCCAAAAACACGCGTAGAAGAGCTCGTGAACAATCAATAAACCCCTGAACCAACTATCAAAGAAATGTGGAGTGTATTCGTCACTGTTGGAGACATTTGGTGCCCATTGAGAAGGGATTAAAGATTGAAATAAGGTATAAAGATGGCGGATTGTGCATCGGAGGTACGGCATTCATCAGCGAGTAACGAGTGTGGATTGAATCAAAATATAACAATGATTAACAATGGACGTGTACCTCAACACGGTATTACCACTCAGAATCCTATCGGTCAGGGTCCACGAAGTGTTACTATTTACAAAACTGAAACTGGTTTTGGATTCAATGTACGTGGACAGGTGAGCGAGGGTGGTCAATTGAGGAGTATAAACGGTGAACTTTATGCACCACTGCAGCATGTCAGTGCTGTTCTGCCCCATGGAGCTGCTGAGAAGGCCGGGGTCAGAAAAGGAGATCGAATTCTTGAAGTGTGAGTTGTTATTTTCATGCTCCAAAATTTTTTACACTTCAATTGGTTTTTTTCCTTGATATCTCCTGAACAAATGGTGCAATTCAGACAAATCAAATTGCATTTTAAATGCCGTAGAAATATTTTTAAAATGAAACAAAATTTAGAAATTTCACTCTAGCAATCTCGAGTTATTGATGATTAAAGATGGACCTAATTTATCATTTATTTCTTATTGTGCTGTTTGCAGAAATAATATTAATGTGGAAGGAGCCACTCACAAACAGGTGGTAGATCTGATAAAATCAGGGGGTGATGTTCTGACGTTGACTGTTATATCAGTGACACCCCAGGAGGCTGAGCGACTGGAGCCATGTGAAGATCTAAGGTAATCTCATCCATATGCTCGAATAATTGAGAATGCTCAATTCTCATGACCCCTCCACCTGTCGGATGATCCACACATCATCCATCATAATCTTCCTTCATCATTCATTACATAATTAAAGTCGATATTTATATTCACAACCAAAAATCCAATCGGTTATACGAGTACACATGTTTTCTTGCAGCTATCAATCAGTGGATTACAGTGAGAAACGCTCACTACCAATTAGCGTGCCAGATTATCATGTGCGTGAACGCAGACACGAGAGATACGTTGTATTCAATGTGTACATGGCAGGTCGTCACCTCTGCTCCAGAAGGTATCGAGAGTTTGCTGCTCTTCACATGGCACTAAAGAAGGAATTCATTGGGTTTAATTTTCCTAAACTACCGGGCAAATGGCCTTTCCAGTAAGTTTATTTTGGAGTTTTATTTGTTGTCTATTAGATGGAAATGACGTGAATTTTTTCTTTGCACTGCAATAACAATAATCTTACAGTAATGTTAAAATAAGATAAAAAATTGAAATAACTTAATAATCAATACTTCGCTCAATTTAAGGTACTTGTTGTTATGTTGTCAACTGCTGGCTATACCGAGTCAATGAGACAATCAATTCATTCATAACTCATTAATCATTTAGATTGAGCGAGCAACAATTGGACGCTAGACGACGTGGACTCGAGCAGTATTTGGAGAAAGTCTGTGCAGTACGTGTGATAGCCGAGAGTGATGCAATGCAAGAATTTTTGACTGACAGATTGGAGGAGGATGGCGATCAGGGGCCAGCAGTCGATTTAAAAATACTACTACCAGATCGTGAAGTTGTAACTGTCACTGTGGCTAAAGCAGCCCTAGCTAAAGATGTTTACGAAGCGACATGCTGTAAAATTGGATTGGATAATGAAACCGCCAAGTATTTTTACCTCTTCGAGATTGTCGAGTATAATTTTGGTGAGCATGTCCCTCATGCCATTCGATTTTCTCTATTGACAGTGACTCCTCGAAGAAACTAACAATGAATCTTTTTTTTTTTAAGAACGTAAATTACAGCCTCACGAGCATCCCCACACCCTTTACATTCAGAATTACTCGACTGCCAGTGCCACGTGCCTGGCAATACGTAGATGGTTATTCAACATATCTAGATCGTTGAGTGAACAGGCACTCACGTGGATTTTTTGGCAGACTGTTGATGAAGTTAATCGTGGTCATATCAATGCTGGAGAGAGATTGTATCAGTTAAAAGCCCTGCAGGATGCATCCAGAAAGCACGAATACTTGAAATTGGCTCGGGAACTGACTGGCTATGGCGACATTGTATTTCCCCATTGTGCATGTGACTCTCGGAAAGAGGGGCATGTCATAGCTGCAGTGGGTGCTGGAGCTTTCAAATTGCATGCAGCTAAGGAAGATGGAACACTAGAATCTCAGGTTGTTGAATTCCAATGGAGAAACATTACACGATGGGAGGTGGATGAGGAGGGCATGGCTTTCTGTTTTCAGTACACGAGGCAGGACAATCGACCGCCACGATGGCTCAAAGTTTTTACACCCTATGTAAGTATATTAATCAATTAATTCGATGAAAATTTATTCCTTCGCATTAAAAAAATTCTTGAATAATAAATTATGTAATCGGTTTTTTCATGCAGTATACGTTCCTGCTGGACTGTTTCGAGCGAATAACCGAGGAGTCAAAGTGGGAAGAGGGCGAGGAATGACAAAAAAAAATCGTAAATTGGAAAAATTGAATTACTTTTTCCCCCCCCACTTTGTACTGTAAATTTCCACCACTACCCCAAGCTTCAGTCTTTTCTTTCTCCTCAGTTTTATGCGACAAACTTGCTAGTCTACTTTAGAGTCATTTACTGTCCTATTTTGTATATACTTTGAAGAAGGAAAATGAAGGAAACTGCAATTAAAATTGATCATTGATGAATGAAAAACGATTAAAATTCTCCTCGTGCTGTTGATGATAGTGGCACATTTTAAATATGTAGTATAACAATTATAAAAATTGTTGAAATTATCGATAAAGATCTCTGTGACTGTACTGCATCATTCTAAACGAATTTTAAGAACAGGGAGGGGAAATCAATTAAAGTATTAGGTGAAAATTATTTCATAATTTTCCGAGATAGAAGAGAATTAACGGCTTAATCCTAATCAATTATTTGGCCTACTAAAGTCACTAGTCTTATGAATTCGTTAAATGCTGATGTTTAAAATTCCATTTACGTTAGTAATTGTATGTTAATCCCCTGCAATATTCGAATATAAAATTTAAAGATATATTCAGGGAAATGAAGAAAAAATCATGTTGAAAAACAAAATCAATTTATTTTTGTTCAATTGTATATACTTAATGTTCCTGAAAAAATTCCATTTCCATAGCTTTTATTTATACAATAAGTCATTCATTCCCAAACACGAATGCCATTATTTCTATTTTTTTCGGATCGTTATAACTTTTAAAAAAAAACAAAAACAATGATCTGTAAAAGGTATTCGGCCTATCGTACACTAGGCCCCCTCGCTATATTTAATTACACATTGTTAGTTGAAAATGAAACGTATTTTTGTGTTTTAAAAATTATGTTATGAAATTTACAATTGTTAAATTTTGTTGGTAATGTATTAAAGGAAAAAATGAAACACCAACGATAATTATATACATAAAAATCTGAAGTAGAGCACGTTGTATTGAAAACACATTTGCATTTACAATTAATAGCCATAATCTTTTTTTTCCATTTCGACGTACATTATACATACACAATTTAGAACAATGAATAATTGTATTACTCAAGAGTAAACAAACAACAGACTAATTCTTATGTAAAGAACGGATACACATTGTTTTCCTCAGAGAAATACTAGTTTAAAGAAAGATATACTTAGATGATATAGAACAAAAAATGGAGAGAATAATAAGTCATATTCAATGAGAAAGAGAATAAATAAAAATGCAGCGATCACGTGAGGTTTTTGATTATTATCCTTGTATGAGTATCATTGTATCAGTTCCTCTGGTAATTAGAGAATAAAAAAGATGTAAAGGAGTACAAAAGATGTGCGTTAATTGGCACCAGTCTGAAATCATGGCGTCATAATCCATCGAATATTTTCGAAAATAATAATACTGTATTAAACATGAATCCTCAACGCAATGCTCTCAGATTTGTTTTCCGCCTCGAGTCCCACCTTGATTTTCTCGAGTGTCTCGTGAATTACCCGAAAAGGAGGTCTGTCCGCAGGCCTCCTATTCCAGCAGACCTTCATGAGATCATAGACCTGGGGTGGAGTATTATCCGGACACTGCAGGACACTCCCCTCCTTAATATACTTGACGACTTCCTCATGAGTCATACCGTAGTAAGGCTGCAGAGCAAAGCTGAAGATCTCCCAGAGGCAGACAGCAAAGGCCCAGACATCGGACTCAATCGTGTATTTATTGTAAAGAATGCTCTCGAGTGGCATCCACCTGACAGGAATGGCGTCCTGATCGTCCCCTTTGTAATAATCCTGAAGATATATCTTCTGGGACAATCCAAAGTCCGCGATCTTCACGACCATTTGATCATTGATGAGGCAATTTCTAGTGGCTAAATCTCGATGCACAAATTTTCGATCAGAGAGATAAACCATCCCCGAAGCCACCTGAATAGCGATATTAATCAAATCCATGTGAGATAGCCTCGAGTCATCATTATCATTGAACTTGTATCCATTAGACGGTGAGCAACTCCTCAGAAATTCGTTCAAGTCTCCTCTCCCCATGTACTCGAATAAAAGACACATCGGTCTCCCCAGAGCGCAGACGCCCAGCAGTTTCACGATATTCGGATGATCGAACTCAGCAAGAAGACAAGCTTCCCTCTCGAAATCCACGAGGAGATCCTGGGAGGCTTCGTCCTTCAGCATCTTGACAGCGACGTTAGTGAACTCCTCGTTGGGTATGAGTCCCGGGGCTTTCGCCTGGAACACCCGGCCGAAGGCACCCTGTCCCAAATCCCTGACATAAATAATGTTGTTACGAGGGAATTCCAACTTCTCCAACTTGGGATTGAGCTGGGCCCCAGTCCTGTGGTAGGCGTCATTATTCGGCAGCTTATCTAGATCAATATTGACATCTGGATTGGGTGCGTTGTAGTAGCCATTATTTCGTTGTTTCTTGAGCCTCTGGGTCAGGAAAAGTGAGACCAGTGATCCAAAAATGAGGACAAAACCGAGAGCTGACAGTGTCAGAGTGAATCCAGGGGTGAACAGACTCTCCATCATTATCTCGTTGGAGTCGACTTTTATTTCTGGGTTGACCTGAGTCTGATTCTCACACACTGGGATGTCGCAGTGCTCCCAGCGAACCTCAGGGTTCATCGTGAAGCACCAAGGCACCAGCTCATCTCCCCCAGCGTTCCTGCAGAAGTTCTTTCCATAACGAATCTGGGGAAAAACGTTGGGGGGTTTGTTGTGGAAGTGGGGCTGCTGGGCGTCCCAGGGCTGGCAGTCCAGGCCACTCTTCGAGCGATTCATGTTCCCCATGTAGAAGCGACCATTGTCCCTGACGCAGTCATACGTCACCAAGTCCTGATTCATATCAGTAAGATGTATGTGCGAGCACGTGGTGACTCCCTTCTGCAATTTTGGCAGTACATCACAGTCTGGAAGTCTAAAATGACCACGAGATCTTATATAAATATCCCTCTGTTTATTGTCCTCAATGAGCGCCCAATCGTTGAAGCAGAACTCGTGTCTTATCGCCTGACAGTCTTCGTAGCAGAGGGGCAATCTCTCCGATTTATGGCACATGGGAAATGCGTAAACACAGAGCATTTTCTCAGCTGCCGAGCGACAGGGTTCCTTCAACTTTGAGATCAATTCCTCCCAGAGGTCCGTTGTTATCTCCTCGTTGAGAAAACCCCCTGGATTGTCAGCTGAATCATTGAACCATACTTTGCCGATCCCCGTTAAATATTTTCGGCATATTTTTCCGTTGTAGGGAGCACAGTATCCCTGTGATTCAATCGTTTGTGAGCATTCTGTGCTCATTATATTGACAATAAACACGAGCGCCCAAGGGATTGTGATAAAAATACTATTTACCCCCGTCATGACGCTGTCTCTCGCTCGATGTATGTTTTCAAATCAAATTATTGATTCATTGTTGGCCTGTTGCTTCACCTCGTCATTTTCATTATCTCAAAAGTCACATTTCAACCTTTGAAACACCGTCGATAAACAGTAAAAAAAGTCTCTCACTGGTCCACACATTATTTATTGAATGTTTTAGGTGTAAATAGTTGAAATTTATTATTGACTTGGAATGTATTGTTGTGTAGGACGTGAAATTATTTTTCAACGCTCATTGGCAGTTTGTGAGCATGAGGACGCCAACTGGGGGGTTAGGGAGCTTTTTGGGATGAATATGCAGTTGGGATGTTGTGGAGGGGATGATGCCCCCCTCTTGCCCCTTTCGAGGGAGTTTGTACTTTGTTATTTGTGAAAAATCCATCAGATATGTGCATTCACCACTTTTTTTTACAGTTTATTGTTGATGTTGAGAATATGTGGTATCATAATCCTCATAGGCATCATGTTATTGAAAATATTTATTTATAATTCTCTATGGTAAAGGGATATCGGTCAGCCAGAAATATTTGTTTTACCGACGAATGGTGTGTAAACGTTCTGTCACAAGGCTGACAAGGGTCACAAGGGTCACCAGCATCGCAGGCAACGCACGTGCGCATATAGGCTTGTGAGTGAAAGGCATGTTTTCCCGCGAAAATTATGTATACTCGAACGACTCGACAGAACAGACGGCTGGCCATTGCAGTTGTCTTTCTCTCCACTGAAAATGCAATGACGAAAACGCAATGGAAACGATGTCAATCCCTCCAAGGCAATATTGCACATTTTTTCAATTTATTTATTCATTCATTTATTTTTTCCAACAATTAATTTTGCATTCACTTTCAATTGCCTCTTACTGATAAATTGAATTTTCAATTATTTATCGAAATAAAAAGAGTATACAATGTTTGTCATACAATTTTCATATTCCAAAATAAAAAATCATTACAAAACCTCAATTCCATTATTAATATTTCGAACATTCCCAGCAGCATTCTTATCGTCCTAAGTGCTTCAAACTTGCTGATAAATGCAACGTAATTAATTACACTCCGAAAGTTGTCATTACGAAATATCCATTTAATATTGACCGCGTTCCGTGCCCCAGGATGAGAGAATCAATATGATAATGGAAATGTTTTATTCTATTTAATAAAAGAAGAAAGGGCCAGTACGTTTAAAAAATAATACTTTATTGATAATCTTGACAGAATGTGAACAAGGTGTGTTAATGTCACAATGATTGCAATACCGTGCTTCGATGTGGGCTATCATCAATTAATGAAAATTCCTTTTGAACGACTAATGAATGTTGTTTCATTTCTCTGCACCCTCCACACCAGCCTGCGTCATCAGGTCCGCAATGTTCTTCTCCAGGTCGTCTATTCGAGTCCCCATTTCATCTAGTATCTGTTATTAAGGATTTTATATATGAAAAAATAAGTCATCGCGTCGTAAACGTATTTTGCAAATCAAGGTTATGTGCAGTGCTCGATAAAAAGGATATTTCTCCCAATAATCTGGTCCGACATCGTCTGGAACTTGTCCTGCATTCCCTGGAGGAGTGTCTGCACCTGAAAAATCACCAGGAAACGAATGAAAATCCTCCAATTCATCGGAAATTGCAACAAACAATTTCGAAGTTCATTCCAAACTCACGAATTGGGTCAGTTCCTGGACGTTCTTGGGGTCAGTGTTGTTTTCCATGTTGTAGTTTTCACTCTCGTCGATCTTGTGTTCCTGCTTGACTCCATCTGCCATATTTATTGTCGCAAAAAAATTTGTTTGATCGAAAAAATGGGGAGGACGACTTTTTAACACTTTTGTTTAGAACCTGCGTCGTTTCTGATGGGATAAGACTGTGACATGCGCACAGGGGGCTTAATAACACCGAAAAGCATTTGTTGTGTCCGATGCGGTGGGGAAGGGGTGGAACTGGTCGCCTGATCCTCACGTTTAGTGCGTCATCAGCTGATTGGGGGGACATGTGTTATTGACAGTTTGTTTTTGTTTCTTGAGTATTCGATAGAGTTCCATTGACGATTGAGCATTGTTGTGAAAATATTCGGGGTGAAAAGCTGTCAAGTGTTTAGTTAATTATTATACGTTTATTCAATCGTAGCTATTATTGATTTTACGCGATGATTATGAAACGTGATTTAATTTATCCGATTGTTCTGGTGTGCTCGATTAGCAGTAATGTCGAATCATGGCGGTTCAGGGGGAATCAACGGTCTCCAGTGGTTTTGGGTGAGTTTCGAAAATAATTAAATTAATGGAAGAGATAAAACGTAATATCTCTTGACTCGATTGTACAATTTAGATAACTGAGGGCTCATTTCAAAATCTGAAAAAATACCTTCAAAATGAAAAAAAAATCGTCAATTTTCACTCTGCCAATCTCGAGTTATTGACGATTGAAAACAGAACATTTTATTCCCCTCGAAAAATTTCAAATTTTTTTAGTCATAAAATAAATATTCAATTCTTGAATATTCTTTCAATGGATGGTTCCCATGAAAATAGCTAATTACATGGCTTCACATGGAAATTAAAAAAAAAATAGTTCCAGGAGATGGAGGAAGCCAGGTGGAAGCAAAATTGAATAAACCCTCGGTAGTGCATTATCTCTGCGAGAAAACGTCAGCAGAATTTTTCAACATATGGCTGAATCTCGAGTTGTTAGTCCCAATCGTCATTGACTGTTTCGTAAGTCCTCGTTAATTCGTCCTTCATCATTAATTCATCCTTGATAACATAACGAATCCAGATGAACGAGTTTTTGTTGTTGTAATTAAAGATCGACAACATGAAACTGACGTACGACAACAAGACGAGAACAACAAGCAACTCTCCTGGAGTTGATATTAATATTCCTGGATGGGGCGACCCATTTATGGTTGAGTGGCTGGACCCCAGCAAGGCGTCGCCTGGCAGCTACTTCAAGGACGTTGGGAATATGTTGGTCAATGACCTGGGATATGTGAGGAATTTGTCGCTGCGGGGGACCCCCTATGATTTCAGAAAGGCTCCAAGTAATGTTCAATAGCAAGTTCAATTTCTAGCTAAAAATATTCATCGAATTTGATGTAAAAAAAATTATTGTCAATTATTATTCTATTTTGCAGATGAAAATGAGGAGTTCTTTGTCAAATTAAAATCTCTGATCGAAGAAACTTACATAATGAACAATAAGCAGCCAGTGACACTGATAGCCCACAGCATGGGTGGACCAATGTGTCTGTTATTCCTCCAACGTCAGAGTCAAAAGTGGAAAAACATGTACATTAATAGTTTGATAACCCTCGGCGCTGTTTGGGGCGGATCTGTGAAGGCACTGAAAGTATTCGCCATTGGAGACGACTTGGGAGCTTATCTCCTTCGTGAAAGCATCCTGAGGAATCAACAAATCACTAGTCCAAGTCTGGGATGGTTGATTCCCTCTAAACTCTTTTGGAAGGGGTCTGAAGTGCTCGTGCAGACGGAGACGAGGAACTACACTTTAGATAATCTTCAGCAGTTTTTCTTGTAAGGAAAACTGAATTAATTACTTTGTTTTTCTCAGAGGACAATTCATGGAATTAATCATTTCGTTTTTTCCTCAAGGGATATTAACGTGCCAGATGGTTGGGAATTTCGAAAAGATACTGAGAAGTATCAGAACGATTTCACAGCACCAGGAGTTGAAGTTCATTGTCTTCATGGAGCTAATGTTGACACTGTTGAAAGGTAGATGATAAATTCTTTTTCTCAGGGAATAAAAATAAGAAACTTATTAAAAAATGGAAAAAACTTTTTCAGACTGTACTATAAGCCAGGAGCTTCTCTGGACAGTCGTCCCCAATTAATAAACGGTGATGGCGATGGGACAGTTAATGCAAGGAGCCTTGAAGGTTGCCTGCACTGGAAAGCCAAGCAAAAAGCGAAGATTTATCACCAGGCATTTCCCCACGTCGATCACATGCAGATTCTCAGCAATCAAACAGTCCTCGACTATATAAGAACCGTTCTGACTTTTTAATATTGATCTCGTTACCTGATTAGGAATTAACGTTGAGTAAAAAATCCTGCATGACGAAAAAACAAGAATGACAAGAAAAACACAAGCTATGACATTCAGGATTTTAATGATTAATTACGTGCGTAAGACGTAGAATTTAATAGCCAGAAGAAAGAAAATATCATTTAGAATGTATGCAGCTCTTGATTCTCATTGCATGAGTTGTTTTTTTATCAATTTTTTGTACCTCGATGATAAGTTAAAGTGCTCACATATCCACGTTCGTCTTTTAATGATAGATAACAAGTCTGATTTTGATTTATCTCTCCCCTTTCTCCAATTAGTCGGGAGAATTTATGTATAAATAGTCCGGTGATTGATAATGTATTGAAAACCCTCTACTGGCAGGAAGAATCTCACATGGCATCAATAATGTTTTCTTCAGAGTAGGTCTTGTCATCCATAGAATTAATGATTTGCCAAATTAATTGTGTAAACTAATGTACGTAAATGATGATATTTTTATCAAGAACAAGATTTATTGTAAATAACAACAGATTATACTGTCTTGCCCTAAAATAAACGTGATATTAAATTAATGAATTGGTGAGTCATCGACATTTTGTTTTTGCGCAGCAACTATTGAGCATTTGTTTGGATCTGTGGGTCTCTAGGAAGCTATCAGCAACGGCAGATCTTTCCAACGCGAAATCAGCATAAATAATGATTAAAATTCAAAAGAGAAAAACAATATTTTATTCCACAGCTCGGATCTTCCAATTTTCCTCTACCCTACTTTTTACATCCATCCCATTGATTTTTAAATACAAATAAAATCCATACGTACATGGCTTGAATCTAGATATTTAACACGTGTTATAATTTGCACTTTCATTAATAATTTGCTCTTCAATATATTATAATAAATAATTCACATTGATTCATCTTTCAGAATGTTCAATTCATTTTCATTTTTACCCTAAAATTTTCATTCAACTCCATTGCTTGAGGATTTATTCAGTTCTCGAGAACACAGAGAAGAATATTCATCCAAATATTGAATTTATTTCGATCTTTAATAATCGAATCGTTCTATCAATCACTTGAATTCGATGCAATTCCAAAAATTCAAAATTCAAAATCTTGCCGTATTTCCAAATTCGCCATTACATTTTTAATATTTTAATTATTCAAATGACTTCTTCTCTGCGCATAAAGGCATCACACAGGAATGGTCGATTTACAATTATAATTCATTCTACTGGGGACAAGAAGCATTTGTCTCACTGCAAAAATCTTTGGATAAATATACTCTCGATATTTCAAATGGCCTCGATGTAGAAAAATTTGGTGTAGAAAATTTAAGGCAAGATTTTCCACTAATGTCAGTTGAGTCCAGAGCCTGTTTTTAAAAATGCATACAGACCGATTGCGATAATCGTGACGACGGTTATAGTCCTGTAGGAACGCAGACGATATGGTATTCTGGGTTGAGGTACAGAAACTTTAAGTCGCCTGAGTCTTTCACGTTCTAATCTACTGGCTTCAGCTTTCTGTTTCCACTCTCGTTCTTTGCATCTTCGCTTTTGATCGAAATCGCGGACATCAGTGTTTATTGACTCTGGGGGATAGTCTCGATAGAGATTTTTGGCTTTTATGAGGAGTTCTTCGAAGGGTAGATCATCAGGTAACTGTAATTAAGAAGAACTCAAATCAAATTCACGAATGGAAGATTTTTCAAGATCTTCCACAAGGAAGTAATGGTTTTATTTTTGCTTACGGTGCATAGAACTTTATGAGTATGTCCCATATCCGGAGTGGTATTGAATATCTCAGTATCACGATGGGCGACAATCACAGTACTCAGATAGAGGGGCATCAATGTAGGTGTGCCCAGGAAGAAATCAAACAATCGATGAAGTAATTTACGATTCTCAGCGTATTTATGGGCGTACCACGTCGTGTACTCGGCCAGGGCAAAATGTGGAAATAATTCCACACTGAAAATTATTTGGAAACATAAATTTAGTGTTAGTGCGAAGAATTAGGCCGATATTTCAATCTATTCAGTTATATTACGTTATGTGATAGTAGATAAGTAATGAGACATCAATTCTTTGTCATATTAAACTTCTCCTCTTTATAATATTTAAAAAAATTTCAAAACTGTTCATTTTACCCCACCTTCCCCCACACCAAATAAATAAATAAATGAATAAACAAATCATTAAGTAAAACTATTCAATTCTCCACTTACTTTTCCAAATGCTCTAATAATGTTGGATGAACCCTCTCCAACAATGCAAATATATAAAACAACTCTTGGTTAACCCTCTCCATGGTCTGTTCCATAAACCTCTCCAGATACTCGACAGTTATTTTCTCAAGGACCAGGAGGCCTTTCTCCAACCCCATGACGATGAGAACTGTTGCTGCAACGTCATTGTACCCCTGATAGTAGCTGTAAGAGACAAAATAAAGATTGCGAAACCAATAATTATTCAGGTAAGTTGACTGGTTTTTACTTGAGTTCTGGATGTCGATGAAGAACCCAACAAATGACCTGCGCCAGCTTCCGATGGAATGCCTCATACTCAGCCTCTGTAGAATCCGCAGGTAAATGTCCACCACTCCTCGCCACATCCTTCAGGATCTGCTGGTAAACCCCATCAGTAAGTTTTTCATGAACATGAGGCAATTCAGAGGTGTCCAACGTCTTCATCTCGTCTATCCTCAGGAGTTTCGGCCAGAGAACCCTTCGTATATCATCTACAGATCATCTCAATGACTTTAAGAGACTAATTCAGAGGTGGAAGCAATAGTCATCAAGAAGAAAGGAACGTCATTTCTTCTTGATTAAAGCTAGGGGAGAATGACAATTTATTTCAATTAATTTACCAGTTACGAATCCCAGACTGCTGCACCCAAGCAGCTTCAGCTCTCCATACGACAAATTCTGCTTGATCTTTCCGTTGATTACCCTTATCTTCAATTTCTCCAATTGACTAAGTTTCTCTATATCACCACAATCATCTGATAACACAGTCTCATCATAAGCATTTCCATTAGGTTTACCTGGTGACTCGGTCTCGGACACCCCAGGTATCCACGGAACATCGTCGTGCCATGCTGGTACCGAATCTGGCAGTGACACTAGTGGAACACGTGTGTAATTATCCAAATCCTGTTTGTCCATTTTTATTTGTGATTTGCTAAACTTATGGTCAAACTTTTATCCAGGCAACTACTCGATAATTTTGCATTTTTCGGAGTGAATTGTTAACGTCTTGTATTCCCTCAAACCATGTCTATAATTAAAAGTTTAATTGAATAGTTTAGATGTCTAAATTTATCGAAACATATGCTGTTTTTTTATGATCCCAACGATAGATTTTTGACAGGCATCTTTGATTGTTGTGCCTGCACTTTCCTCTCTCTCGTGTCAAAGTACTAAAGCGCTGCGAGACACTTCCGGTAGAGATGGAGACAGGGAGAAGTTCTTCCTGATTTATCAACTGAGAATATTCATTTTTCAACCTGGTGGGGGATTTTTTATCAGCAGATAGCCTCGCATGTTTTATTTTTATTAAAAAATACCAGTAATAATGGGAAAAATGATTTTTTCTTCAGAACTTGAGGCTTGGATGTCCGAACCATCAAATAAAAAATTGGGATAATTTTCTAGCGCCACCCAGGAACCTATTGAATGGAAAAACATGAAATTCTGTATTGGCCAAGGAGAATAGTCAGCCTAAAAAATGAAATTGGCCCCATATTTATGGAATTTTATTTCCCAAAGATATAGACCCTCAATGTTCGTGAGGTTACACTTGTCTATCGTTGGGCACCCCCACTCACGCAATTCCCACTTCCTTGGTGCAGCTGGGTTTCACGTGTCTGTGGACATGAGTGTCGTCCACCGGTCAACATCTCTATAAAATTAACAACCGTTGATTAATTTATTGTCGAATCGAGTGTACTACAATTTTACAATGGGAATTCTGAGGGTGTTCAAGGGGCACATAAGTCCCAATCGACTGCTGCAGCTTTCAGGATTCCTAAATCAGGTAATAATTTCCCAGAAACCACTAGGTTAAGCACGATAAATCAGTTAATTTCACAAATTTCATTGATTGCAACAGAAAAATGGCAGGTGTATGGCATCCTACGAGAAGTACGCAGTCCACAAAGATATCGAAAAGATCCGAAACATAGGGATATCAGCTCACATAGACTCTGGAAAAACTACGTTAACCGAACGTATTCTATACTACACTGGTAGAATCGATGAGATGCATGAAGTCAAGGGAAAGGACAACGTTGGAGCAGTGATGGACAGTATGGAATTGGAGAGACAACGAGGGATAACAATCCAATCGGCAGCGACGTACACAATCTGGAGGGACCACAACATAAACATAATCGACACTCCAGGGCACGTGGACTTCACAGTGGAAGTCGAGAGAGCTCTGAGAGTTCTAGACGGTGCAATTCTGGTTCTCTGCGCTGTCGGAGGTGTCCAGTCCCAAACCCTCACCGTCAACAGACAGATGAAACGATACGACGTGCCCTGTCTGGCTTTCATAAACAAACTAGATCGAATGGGAGCGAATCCCAAGAAAGTTCTCCAGCAGATGAGGACAAAAATGGGCCACAACGCAGCTTTTATCCAGTTGCCAATTGGATTAGAATCCGAGACAAAGGGAATCATCGATGTGATCACCCAGAAGGCTTTATTTTTCGAGGGACAGTACGGCGAAGTCGTCAGACAGGGGGAAATCCCCCAAGACATGAAGGACGAAGCATTCGTTAAGAGACAAGAATTGATAGAACACTTGAGCAATGTTGACGAGACTCTCGGGGAGTTATTCCTGAGTGAAAGTACTCCGACAGAACAAGATGTCAAGGATGCAGTGAGACGTTCCTGCCTAAAACGCACCTTCACTCCAGTCCTCGTTGGAACAGCTTTAAAGAATAAAGGAGTGCAGCCTCTTCTGGATGCAGTTCTAGATTACCTACCGAACCCTGGAGAAGTCACTAATTACGCCCTCAGGGAGAAAGCAAACGCAAAGCCCGAGAAGATCCTCTTAGATCCAGCTAGAGATGGCAAAAAGCCGTTCTTGGGTCTCGCTTTTAAGCTTGAACTTGGGAAATTCGGACAGTTGACGTACTTCAGATGTTACCAAGGAAAACTGGAGAAGGGGGAGTCGATTTACAACACCAGAAACAGAAAGAAGATCAGAATAGCGAGGTTGGTGAGATTGCACTCGAATCAGATGGAGGATGTCGGTGCAGTTTATGCTGGCGACATTTTCGCTCTATTCGGAGTAGACTGCGCCTCTGGAGATACCTTCGTCGACAATCCCAAGTTGGAGCTGTCGATGGAGTCCATTTACGTACCTGATCCCGTCATCTCGATGTCAATAAACCCCAAGAATAATAAAGACAGAGATAATTTTGCCAAGGGGATCGCCAGGTTCACCAAGGAGGATCCAACGTTCCGATTCTTCTGGGATGACGATAACAAGGAGAGTATTGTGTCTGGAATGGGAGAACTTCACCTGGAAATTTATGCACAGCGATTGGAACGAGAGTACAACTGTCCAGTTGCTCTGGGGAAGCCTAAAGTCTCCTTCAGGGAGACTCTGGTGGACGCCTGCAATTTTGATTATCTTCATAAGAAGCAGTCGGGGGGTGCAGGACAGTTCGCCAGGGTGATAGGTACCATGGAGCCACTGCCTCCTGACCAGAACACTCAGGTCATCTTCGTGGACGATACTGTGGGCACCAATGTTCCGAAGGCCTATGTTCCTGGCGTCGACAAGGGGTTCAAGGCCATGTGTAATAAGGGGCTGTTGACCGGGCACAGGATCACTGGTGTCAAGTTCAGGCTCGTGGATGGTGCTCATCATATCGTGGATTCTTCAGAGTATGCTTTTCAACTTGCTGGCCAAGGGGCTGTCAGGCAGGTCTTCGACGAGGGGAATTGGACAGTTCTCGAGCCAATCATGTACGTGGAGATAACTGTTCCTGAAGAGTTCCAGGGAACGATCATGGGACACATGACGAAGAGGAAGGGCTTGATCACTGGGAGTGATGCCAATGATGGCTGGATTACGCTTTATGCTGAGGTACCACTCAATGAGATGTTCGGGTATTCAGGGGATTTGAGATCTTCGACACAGGGGAAAGGGGAATTTACGATGGAGTACAGCAGGTACAGTCCTTGCTTACCAGAAGTCATTGACAAGCTCATCAGGGAGTATCAGGAGTCGATGGGGCAACATCAACAAAAGAAGAAGAATTAGTCGTGAATTATTGATGGAGTGGGGAAGAGGAAAAATCAACTGGCTTTGATGATCAATACATTGACATTTTTTGTAAATCGTATCATTTCATGGATTTTCAACGGTCAGGGAATTTCTCTCCCATCCTAATACCCTTAATTTTTAATTAATCATGTTGTAGGAATCATAAGACTTCGATCAATAAACTGTAAATATTTGCGAATGCCAATTGTCGTTTATTCCACTGCGTAGCTTAAAAAATTGAGTACGTATGTTTTAATTTACGATAGTAACCAGCGAAAATTTGTTTTTCACCCATCCAAGACTCACACGATGCTGATTATTCCTGTATTCTCTTATGCATGTTATTCGTTTATGAATTAAATTATTCATCAGTTTCAAGCACTCGTTCATCCACATATTCAAATTAAAGTTGAACCACAAACACTCAATTGGCAGTGTTTGCCAACGAACCATCACTTCTACTCCGTCATATTCGATACGAAAAAAACAATAAACTCAAAGTTTTCGTAGTGGGTTTACAAATAAATCAAATGCCTAAGTTTCAAAATAATTTCTCCCTTCGAGATATGCAGAAAATTGTAACATCGATTGAACAATTTGTGTTGAATTCAAGATAATCGAAAATTGTAAGAATGACTTTAGGTTTTCACTCGATTCATCTGCGATCGCGGTGCCTGTGGTGATGATCACGAGAGGAGCGATGTTCGCTGTGACGATTGTGACGACTGGCTGTTCTCCACAGGAACTCGTCAACACTGCGTTCGTAACTTCGTTTGTCCAATGAACTTGAGCCAGTGTACAGTGGTAGGCCGTCGTAATAACGTGGGGGTGGAGGTGGAGGTGGTATGGAATCGTACGGATGAGAGGTGTTGTACGGGGGTAATGGGGGTAATTGATGCTGCATTGTTCGCATGTAGTCTGCGACGTAAGCCTCGGCTGCTGCTGCAATACTGGAAGCCCCGTAGTTCCTGATGAAAGACGAATCGACCAGATTTTTCATTATGAAATTATTTAAAGACGAGATATTTCGCACGTTTTTTTTTAAATGGGGAAAATTAAAAAATTCTGGTCTGAATTCCAGAATTACTTGACACTGTCAAAAGTTATTATCGAAATTTCAAGCATAAAACCTTGAAATTTTAATGGTCATGACATGAAAAATTCAATTTCACTGATTTGATCTCAAATTTAACTTTATTGTTATTTAACACTATATTGCGGTGACTCACTTGGAATAGGGTGCATCTCCTCGACTGAACCACGAAGGATACCGATGATTATAGTCGCCAGGTCCCCTCTGATCAGGTAAATGTCCACTCCTCGCTAATGAAGCCAGACGAGACCTCGAGGTCAAGAAAAGTCTCCTGCCACCGCGAGCTCCTCCACGTGTCCTCAGAAATCTTGACACACCAACTGGACGGGTAATTCTGGTTCTCCTGGACGATTTAAGCACGTTCTTCGCTGCTTCCTTGGACTTGCGGAGGATTGGAGTCATTTCGATGCCTAGAAAGAGATTACCACATTGAATAATCAGAAAAGATTTCAGTTCTCTGAGGGAGTGAGGTAAATGTAGAGGTGGACTACCATCGTCCTCTGGAAATAATCTGCAGAGTTCCTCAGCAACTCGAGGCTCGATCTCTTGACCATCGCGACCAATTTTCACCTGTTTCCCATCATTCCAGGGATTGTAGAGATGGAGAGTAGATGTGAATGGTAATTCCTTCCTGCATACCCAGTCGACCTTGAATACACCACCTAGTGCCTTTGCTGACAATCCTGGTGGTAATACCTGGACGAGGCGAATTGAAAGTATTGGATTAAAAATTCACTCGTGTACTACAATCTAAAGAAGCTGTGAACTATCTTTCTTCAATATTTAGTATAACCACGTGGGAAGAAAATGCAACTACATTAAAATCTATATTCCTGTAAGAAAAACTAATGATTAAGATACTGGAAATTAATTGTCCATTAATTATCAATACTTAGTGATAAGTACAAACCCATGAAATAGGTGCTCCATCCCTCCTCGACTCAGTGCTCAACCTGGCGAAGCCGGCGAATTTCCCCGACTCCTTGACCGAAAAAATAAGCAGAACATTTCTCGACTCCCTGTAAGCCTGATTGAGATTAGCTTCATTCTGAGGAAGTGTGCTCCACACCCCCTTGGCCTTGGACAGCGTGATGTTCTCCGCATTGTTGGACTTGATGATGAAAAATCTGCCGAAAATAAATCTTAGATGCTAAACTACAGATAAACCCCGAATAAATAAAATGCATTTTAAAAAAAGTGAACCTCGCATCTCTAAACAAGTAATTGAGTTTAGTCGTGTAGTCGTAGTTTTTCGGTGTGCCCTTGCTATCCTTGGATCTGGCGCGTTTTACCTCTGGACTCGATGACTTAGAATCACGCGAACGAGCACGTTTACCCAGACGAGTTCTACGATTTCGCTTGTTATCACCCCGAGATGATTTAGTGGAGACTGAGCTGATACTCGGTTGTGTGGAGTCTGAGTCTGATGAGCTCGATGATACCTCGCTTCTCGTGTCGTAAGTCTCGTCAGCACCGATTTTCAATTCATCCCCCATGTCATTTTCTCCGCAACTCAGGTTCAAATTGTCTCCATCAACGTTATTCTCCATTTTTGTTGTTATTACGATTAATTAACGAGTCATTTATTGGTTTAAAATTCAAGCTGTTAATTTTTCAATCAATAAATATTTTCCAGTTACTTATGGATTTTTTTATACTGATTATTAAATTTTTTCGGTCTCTCAGCCGGGATCCCAGTCCGTTAATAAATGTCCTCTGAAAATTCATGAAAAATCGTGAGTACATTCGGTGCGAATGAAAATAACTGAATTGAAAGAAATAATAATAATAATAATAATAATAATAATAATAATAATGAATTTGTATTGGTATCGATGGGATTTTTAGCATATTTTTTGTTAATCTGTAATGAAAATTATCATATCATTATTAGGTAATATAGTAATGATGATTCCATACTTTTCACGTCGACAAAATAGTTCCATACAATTCACAAAATAATAACACCATAATTGCTGACATATAAGACTCGATAGGATCAAATAATTTTGCATTATTTACGTCAATGTTATTGAAAACGCCACTGTGGCCAAAAGCTATGCAGATAAAAACGAAACAATGATTTATAAACAATGTCCACAGTTGACAACAATTACATTCAGGCTTTTGGCATTTGTCTCACGGTTGAAAAACACGATGTATTATATTGTTTAGTCCATTTGTGAGTCATGAAGACAACAATTAATTATGTTTCCAACTGACAAGTACATTTTATCGATAAATTTTCTCTGTTTTATCAGCAATTACTCCATTTTTTGAAGCAGTCCTTGAGAAAACTGAGGGCAAAATAGTAACAATGGCTCTAGAAAAGTTTTTATTCTCATTTTTAACCAACTCTTCTCAATATTTTCTGCATTTAAATTATTTGATGTCCTGTGAAATCACTTGAAACTTTGAGCCTGACCCAGATGTATTCCTTCGGCATTTCCTCGCATTCTTTTACGTATTTATAAACCTTATGTAAATTTTTTTAAACAATACAGTTCGTGCTTTTGGTTTCAAACAACATAAGTCCATGAACTGGGGGACGAAACCGCTTGTGATGCGGATTGGCCTCACACTTACGTATATATTTTTATATATGTATATATTCCTTCACTTAAAATCACCACTTTCCACCTCACAATCTCATTGCCCACAGGATATTTTTTTTCTTCGTTTCCTTGGGTTATCGAACGTGCTGAATTTTTCGGGCCTTCCGAGCCCGGATGCTTTTAATATCTGATGAATTCGTTTGGCAGACACTAGAGTAAGGGAAACACGTAACTAAACATCTGTTGATGAACTTTTTGGGGGGACAAAATTAATTATTGCTGGATGATGTCGAGGCAGCCTCGAGAAGCGGCCGATGCTCAAGGCGGAGCAGGGGGCACTGAGGAATCAACTCTCGCTGGCTTTTTGCTCCTTCTGCGTTGGTAACACTGATTTTTGTTCTTTTTGGGTGGCATAAATGAATTTGAAATCGAGATAGACGCAGCCATCGCAGAATTTGCAATCAAAATGGTTCGCGATGTGGACGCAGCTGCTATGTGAATTCCAAAAAGCCAAAATAATAAAATTAATTTGACTAAGTCACGTTCATTTAGTTTGACCAAAAATTACCTCAAAATTTTAAACGTTTTTTTCTATTTTTTATCGGGAAGTATAGTCCAAAAGGATATTCTTAGGCATCAATTTTGGGTGAAAAAAATTGGTTCACAATTCGACTTAGCGAAATTCGAATTTCTCTGTCGAAAAATCTAAGATCTAGGCCTCGATTTGTGTGAAGTTTTTTATTTGGACTTTTTTTGTCTCTTTATGAGCGGCATAACCTCAAAAGCAAGTGCTTACTCTGAAACAAAAAGCCTCTGAGCAACAATCATAACAAAAGGATGATCAACTCTTTTTCCTCAATTACTGTGTTATTTTGAGTAATTTTAATCTCTGAAAACATAAAAATACCCAAAAATAATCTTCAACACCCTAAGAATACAAATTACTGCAGAAGCATTGATAACATAACCGTCGGGGATTGTTTACTCCTCTAAAAAAAATGGTGAAAATAGCCTTGAACATCAAAGCGAACCTCGACAACATCGAGGAATTAAAACCTTGTGGCCCAGACTTCCGTTGGTGTGTGCAATTCACGTGCTCAAACTGCGGAGAAAAATCCGACAAGTGGAACTACATCTCCCTGAGCGATCAAGTCCCGGCTGAGCATGGACGAGACGTCTTTCACTTCTCCTGCAAGTGTAAATTGTGCTCTCGTGTGAATACCGTGACAATCCTGGGAGATTCAGTGAAATCGTACGGGGTTGAGGACCTGGAGAAATTCAAGAGGATTGTAGTGTTCGACTGTCGAGGAATCGAGCCCTCGAATTTTTCAGCCAGGGAGGGCTGGATTGCCAAGGCCATTGATGGTGGGAAAGAGTTCAGGGATGTGGATTTGAGCGAGGGAGAGTGGGCAGATTATTGTGATAAAATACAACAGCCTGTGGGGATTTATGAAATTGAACACAATTTCGAGAGGATTAAGTGAAGGAATTGGGTAATAATTAAATCCAATAGCAATTGAAGTATGACTTGTTATTTTGTAATGCAATAAATGCAACTATTTTAATGCTAATCAAAAAGTTTAATCCAAAAAAATACTTTTTCACTAAATGAACGGAATTATTTGGAATAATCTGTTAAATAGGAAAGGTACTATCGATATGGAGAAATAAATGTTCTCAATCCACCCACAAATGCCCACATTTTGTTAACAACGACATAATATAATTTATTCATAATTAATCATATACAAAAGAAACATTTTTATTTAATTGGATGAATGGCACGAGTTTACAGAGAGAATGAAGACACTGTTATCAACAATAATCGAAATTATCTCTGCCATTGAATCTCAATAACCATTTTAATTATTATTTTATCTACCCTGCACAGTCCATCGGATGACTAGAGATAAATCCGAGCAGGGGAACATTTTGTTTCATTTGAAATCATACGAATCAATTGAACTCTCGGTTAAATCAAGTAGTTAATTGCCTGTGTTGTTATCATTTTGTCAAATATATTTTATTCGAGCTTTCCTTCATTTTCTGGAATGTATCGAGTCAATCAACAAATCAACAAACGACCGTCACTTTTCATAACCAAAAATACAAATTAATTATAATAGCTAATTATGAAATTATCAAATGAATTATTTACAATGCTCGAGTATTGAGAATTTCAATAAAGTCTAATGATTTAATTAAATAGATAAAGCTTTTCTTGCATTTTTAAAAATTCACTTACTTAGAATTAACTGACAATCACAAGGTCTTAAGAAAATATCGAGTGAAGGTAGCCTACGATGAAAATTAACAACTAGACGACTTTTCGTGAGTCTATTACTCGTTAAATGTTCCATCTAACACTATATTTTTCTCTAAATTTTTCATCTAGTGGCTAGTTACTATCATCTAATGCTGAATATCCAAAGTGTGCGCAATGTTCAATGTTTTTGAGAACGATGAATTGAAGAAATTATAAATCACAAAAATTAGGACAATTCTATCGTCTACTTCTTCAGTCGTAACACTATTCAGTCTATCCGCAAAGAATTGTTAAGAGAATACTTTAGAAATATGAGAGGATGATCATTTCGTTTCGTCATCTTCGAGGTACTGCTTCAAAGATGACGAATAAAAATGATTATTCAGTGGTGAAGTGGTTGAATAACAGACCAAAATGAGTGAATTCTCAATGAGTGATTTTGGGAGGGGTAATTCAGAATAATAAAAAGGAAATATTCAATTAATCCAAAATAAAGGAGAAGATGAGGAGAAGAAGCTTTTGTTGAAAATTAAATTCTCTGTAGAAATATTCTGGAACTTTTGATTATCAAAATTAATGAATAATCACTGAAAACCAAATAATTCATTACGATTCGTCACATCGCCACTGAATTCACTCCGAATTGAAAGAACCACTAAATAAAACAACGAAATTTCCCATGCGCTAGGATGTTCTACCCTTTCTCTACCAATAATTGAAGTTATCCCTCGTATTTCTCTCAGTAACTTACATTTTCACTATCACTACATTATTATCTTTGGTATACAGTTGATACTTCCTTATAAAATCGCTAAACGTGAAGACCCTCAATTAATCAATCATTTAAACGAATGACAAAACCAAAGAGTAACTATCGAGCAGTGTTTCTCATAGGAACAATTGGCAACGTGACAGCAACGTGCACTTGAATAATCAAAAAAGAATTGATATTCCAACATCTAGGGGAGTTTTTTTCTAGCTTCCAATGGTATTCTATTCGCGGAAAAATATACAGCACTCGATCGCAGACTATGAAAATACAGGCAACACTGATAACACTGTTGTCACATCACTTCAAATAATTTTTCTGTTATTGTGACAGAAGTGGAACTCTGGGCCATATTCAATGAGGTATTTTTCTCTCAGGGATATTATTATCGATTACAATTTTTTCTCATTCTTTTAATTAAACACTACGCATTACGAGTATGCATTCCTCTACTCTTGCATTTTTCTACAATTTTTTTTTCTATCGTGAAATTTATGATTTTGATATTTAGTTTATTCGTATAGCATTGATTTTTTTATAAATGGAATTCTAACTAGTGCGAGTGGACACCCAAGAATAGGCCCTTTAGTATAATTTCTAGTGATTTTTATTATCTATCATGATGTTATTGGATTAATTCAGTAATTCTGAAGAGGCGAAATAAGATGAATATCTTTGAATCTGGAGGAATTGCAGACATTTTCGTGTGACATTTTTTGTTGGCACCTCCTCTTGTTTTGCCACTTCATTACTGAATAAGGAACCTGCATGAAGCTCAATTTTTTTTATTCACCTACTCATGCATTTTTCATAGAATATGAAGAGCCAAACAGCAAAGAATATTGTGAGACATGACCTACACAATTAGTATGATCAATTGACATTCAATCCATTGATTATTAATTGATCAATTTAATTTTTGAAAGAATGTTTCATTGTGAACGTGATCTTGAAATTGGAAAAATTGAGAAAAATCATGCAAGTTCCCTCTTGTTCTCGCTATCAAGCAACTATTCTCAATTCTATTTTCATCGTGTAATTGAACAGAATAAAGAGATGATAAGTGAAGTGTAGAAGTGAGGAGAGTTTGGAAGATTCATCTCTCTATTTCGTTTAATTTAAAAATAAATTAAATTCAATTACTCTGCAATTGTAGAAAATTCCAATTTTTTTTTTCTACTTCTACGCTCTGAAAAGTTCATCCTTGATTACCAATCCAGGCTCATATTATTAATCAATTGATTTTCCATACGAAACGTTATATTATAAAACGAAAAAATCACCGGGAAAACTGTCCTCAAAATATCACTCGTCTCTAATTTTCCCATTCTGTTGATCTTGAGTATTTGTAGAGGCAGAAAAATATATATTGTCCCCCTGCAGAGGTATTAGTTGAGAAATAAAAACATCTTACCACTTTAGTTCGTCCCCTGTGTCGTAATTATTACTTTTGTTAAATTCAACGATACAAAGAGTTGTGAAAAATCTGGGGCAAAAAATACTCTGGATTATTTTTTGTTTGTCGTTTGTCAAGTGTTCAAGGCAACTCGTCGTGGAGGATCGTCTCGTGGAGGCACGTCTGCTTAAGTGTCGCTGACTGATCCTCGAGGCTACGTTTGAGTCCCTCAATCGTGTGCATCAGCATTTGCCTACGTAATTGGGTCAAATGATGCTGAAACATTTGGGTGTCTTGAGCATTTAGATTTGCCTCGGCTGTCAATCTCTCCTGACGTAGCTGGGCAACTTTTTCACGGAGTGATCTTCTCGAGTCATCTGTTGTCGTTTTAAAAAAATGAGACAAATTAAAAACAATTTGACAATCAATTGAGAATAATAATATGAAAAGGGAAAAGTGGAAATGTCAAAAATATTTTTTTGAAGATTACGAAAACAAAATGTGAAAAATTGTTTCATTCTCTCGCCTTTCCCCACTTCACGTCTGAATTAATACGAATCGATGGAGGTACCTGTATCATCAGTGGCTGTATCCCCATCGGAATTTCTCAGAACCACATGTCTTTCCCCCAGAGTCTTTTGTATTCTCCCATAGGTAGTACTACCAGCGTAAACTTTCCTCTTGACTGGCTCACTCTGGGGACAGTAGTACGTGCTCTCCTTAACAGGCCCCATATCGACAGACCTACGAAAAATCAATGAAACATAAGTCACCTCTCGTCGAGCCCCGAAAAAAAAAGTTCGAATCACTTGTTCTACCCTACCCCATTAAATTACCCACTTCACCCCTAATTTAATTCCCATACCTGAACGTCAACAACGGAGCCCTCCTCCTGGCCTCCCCCCTGTCCTCTGAATCCGAGGAACTGCTGGTAATCCCCTCATCCTTCTGCCTCATCTCCTTCTTCTTCCCAAATCCGTTCTTCGGTGCAGCCGAGAAAAGCGGATCCTTCGGGAAGTTCTCCACCCGTCCATCCTGACTGAAAGACCTGACCCCATTGACCTCCACCACTCGACTCCTAGCCCTCTCCCTCCCCTCCTCCATCATGGCCATCCTGCTAGCCACAAAACCCCTGCTTGGAGAGACCTGCGGAGTCCTCCTCCCGAGAACCGGTGAATCCGGACACTTGACCACTTCCTGCCTGTAACAATTCCTCTCCATAAACCGATGAAAGGGTGAGCCCATCTGATTGAACTGTCTCTTAGGACTAGTGTGTTCGATATCCTTGATGTTTCCACTCTGCAACTCCGGCTGGGAATTTCTGCTCTTCGAAAGCGCCAGTTCAATATTCAACTCGGTATTCTTTATCAACTCAACTCTCTTGTTAGCAAGCCCATTGTGAACTCGTCGAGAGGGCGAAGGAATCACCGGAGAGGATGCATTCTTCATATTAACCAGGATATTCTCAGCCTCCATGATGAGCTCCCTGTACTTTCTATCCGCCTCTTTGTCCGCCTCGATCAGCGCTATCTCCGACGCGAAAGTCGTCATGTAAGCATTTCCAGAGACTCTCTGTCTCACAATATTGCCATTGACGTAACTGATGGAGTTGGATCTTCTCTTGACGATTTCGTTCTCCATCAGGGAAGGATTGATGAAGTTTCTCGGGTCGTTCTGGCGGATTGGGGAGAGATTCTCGTTGACATCGTGGTGCTTCCTTCGACGCAAGCAGATCGGTGTCCCTCCGACACTCCTGCTGCCCTGATTGAAGCCCGAGTTCTTTAACAGCATTCGCTCCACCAAAACTCGATTCAAGTTTGCCGCAGCGTCATCGCATTTGTCGAAGATGGGCTTTCGCCGCTGGGACTGGCGTTTCTTTCGTTTCTCCAACGGTTTATCCTCGAGTTTCTTGTGACGGAGGCTCTGGCGTTTGGAACTGCTCCGGAGGCTCGAGCGGTGCTGCATTTCCTCCCTTGATCGACGCTTCAGGATGGAGTCGCGGAGGCGAGTGCTTCTTCGCGTTAGTTCGCTTGTAAAAGTGAAGTACGTGCAGTGCCCGGTGTTCGGGAAACTTCCCTCGAGGGTCTCCAGGTCCAGGAAGCTACCGTTGTCGATGTAGTCGAAGTCCGAGCTCTCGAAGGGGTCGTTCTCGTCACCCCCGTCCTGACCTGTGTCCACGTCCGACGGCGAGTGATTGACGTAGTCCTCGCAGTCTGTTGGATCGCTGTCTGAGAGAATGTCGGTTTCCTTCTCGTATATGTAGGACTCGTCGAACTTGCCCATCATCTCGTTGAGAGTTATGTCGTCCTCCGAGGATCTTATGCTCTGGGTTATTGAGGAGCCCGAGGAGCTTGAACTACTGCGGCGGGAGAGGCACGGGGGGAGCTTGGCGCGATCCATTCCCGGGGAGATTCGCCAGTTTTGGTTTATTCTAGGGGAGAGAATTTTTTATTGCGGGAGGGGACAACAAGCTTTTTTGCAGGCTTTTGTCAGTTTATTTGATGTTACAAGGGGGTCAAACTTTGGGAGGACAAAAACTAATGTTTGACTTGTCTTCTTTGCGAATTGACATTCTTCTGAAAATACACTGTTAAAAACTTTTGACTGAAATTTCCGGTAGACTTTTTTGCAATTTTCATCAAGTGACAGTTCCACTGGAATTTTAAGGAATTTCGTTATTGAAAACTCTAAATTAAAATTTTTTTTTTCGATTGAAATTACGAGAAGTTTTCATTGAAATCTGAAATTTAATCCCCCTAAATGCCTAGTCAACTTTCCATGAATTTTCCAAAGTAAATTTTAACCCATTATGTTTCATCACTTCGCAACAAAAATTTCTAAAGTCCATTCCCATTTTTTCTCGCTGATAAATCCCTTTGTATTATCATCATAACGTTTTCACAAAGTTAACTTTCCTATAAACCACGAAGAACATCTCATCATAACTTCCCCCATTCTTTTTCCCTTTCACTCGGCAAAAGAATTTCCCAAATAACAAGAGAGGAGTAACGGTGGAGTCCACTCGGGGGAATAGAAATTCACGAACATTGGAAACTCCGCAGACGCAGCGTGCCTCGGTCTCGTGATTAAAACTTTCGACGTTGGAAAATAGAAGAAAAATTGAGGAAAAGGGGGAGAAAAAAACGCGACGAAAATTCAATTGGTGCGAATGTACAGAATTTCATTGAATGAAACTGAATCGAATGATATCACGAAACTAGCACTAATTAAACCAAAAGTTTCGCGTATCGGCGGGACTTGTACTTGTAAATGTTTTTATTGAGTTTTCCCCTTGATGAAACTTACGGACTGCGACCAGCACTGAGACTCTCCTGTCTGCACTCCCTTCTTCCCTGGTTGGTGCGATGATTATTCACATTAACGTCACTAGCACTGCCCGAGGACTCGGTGAGTTTGAGTCCTGAACTGCTACTAGTTTCATTCAATGTTAAACGAGACTTGTAACCACCACCATTGCCACAACCAGTTGTACTAGAGCTGGATGAGTTGGCTGATAGCCATGGATTCGTACGTATTCGTGAACGTTGTCTTGGTGATTGGATGGTAGGTGATGAAACAAGTGGTGGTGGTATGGACGAAGGAATTGGCAAACTATTTCGTATCGTTACGTCTGCTGCTGAATACGACTCTGTTCTTCTGTGTACATGGGATGCATTACGATTTAGGGTCTGCGGACTTTGCTGACACTGCTGGGATTTGTGGGGGTGGCTGATTGCTACCTCTGTCCCCTGAAATTTCCGGCAAAAATTGATATAGCTGGGGTCAACCGGATGCTGATTCAATTTTTCGCTGCTAACGTCAATTTTTCAATTCAATTTTAACATTCGTGTTCTTAATATTGCAACATGTAATAGGGAGGAAAAAAAAACTCAGCCAGCTTGCAGAATCACAAATTCCCCCATCTCCCTGGATCCATTATTATTCATCCCTCGTTTGAGCTCGTGCTGACAATTCAATTTTTCATATTTCTGAGAGAAAAAAATTTAATGAAAACCTTTGTCAACAATATCCACCTAGAATAATTCGTGGAGAGTATCCCCGGAATTTTTGAATTTTCTGGACTCTCTGCACACTCTTTCCACCATTTCGACGTTCCCCACCAAGTCGAGCAATTTGATTTACATATTAAACGAACTCTACCACCCGTCGGCATTCATTGCACAGTGAGAATTTCATGAAAATAAAAGAGCAAAAATTGTGACGAGGAGTGACATTCGGTTCGTGTTAATTTGTCCGAGCGAAATTTGATTTCTAATGAATTTTGAAGGATAGTCAGTGACTCGAAAAGCTTCAAACATCGGTCAATGGGAATGAAAAAAATTGGAAAGAGGAGGAACCATGGTGGACAGTAACAAAAAGCCTTCCTCAGCAGTTTTCAAACTAGACATTTTCCTTCCTCCTTTTTTACACTCAAATATGTATACACGAGCGAGCGTCGCGAGAAGACTCGAAGAGAGATAGTGCCAGAGGTAAACAAGAAAAATAGAGGGGGGGGGCGGGGGGAGTGGCACGAAAAGCTTTGATGCCAGAAGCCGACCAACGGTATCTCTAAGAACTGCATCGTTGAGTTTTTTTAACTCCAGAGTGACACAGTGTGTTGAAATAGTTAATCTCGGGGTCATGAACTCTCTCAAAAGAAAATCATCATTCAATAATTTTCAACGCGTTTAAAAAAAAAACGGATGAAAGATTGAATGTCAGCATTTTGACTCCAATTAACCACGTGTGAGCACTCAACAAAACTCTGCCAACAGACCATATTCTAGAAAATTCGTAATTAAAAGAGGAAAAGCCACTCGCTCTCGATTATTCCACGAGTATTCATTAGTGAGTTATTATCATTCTCCACTCGACTGACTGATATTTTTCAGTGCGACTGTATTTCTCACACGGGTTCATTCAATTATACTGTTGTAATTGACAACATTTGTCCAACATCCAGCGGCTTTTCCTCCCCTTTTAAAAATGAAGGGATATTTTCTCATTCTGTCTCTTATAATTTATCAGAGCTGGGTGAAATTGCATTTGAATCACTAATTGAAATATTCATGTTTGATTGGTATTTCAATTTCGCAGGATTCAACAAATGAGAGTTGAATAGATAAAGCTGAAACTTTTTTCAAGTGCGATCGATTTTGCTCATGACTTAACAATATTTTTACACCTAAATTTCCCCAAATTGAAAATTCCGCTGGCGCATCTTCCGCTAGTTTCAGCTACGTTTTTGATAACTTCATTTAGAAGGAATAAAACAGTTTATATTCCATCATAAAATATACAAGACTCTTGGTAAAAAGAATGAATCATGTAAAATGTTATTACATCACGAGTAATTATTTTTCATTTACTCTTCCGGCAATATCAGTCAGCCCTGTACTTCACGCAATGTTTTTTCAGTACCTTGAATGGAGTACTGGTGCGAATCTCTCCAGCTAGTTTATTTTCCCTCGTCATGGTAATGTTTCCGTTCACCCTGTTCTCAGTTGGCTCCTCCTGCTTCTCATTTCCCGGACCGTTGGCCACACCGCACTTTGCACTTCTTGTTCCCTTGTTACTTTGAAAATAATGCTTACCAGTTCTTATATTAATGTAATACTCAGGTGGGAAACTTGCACCTGGCGATGTGCCGTCCGTTGAGTAACCAGTGCTGTATGCACTCTCTGGTGATGAGAGATTAACACTACCGTTTCCACCGGAATTACCAGACGATGAGTTTGTCGTTGTGCCAACGTATGTGGCTGTTTTACCGAGGATAATACTGTCTACGTTTTTAGCTGGTGAATTCAATGGATGGACCTGGCAAAAGGAGAACAGAATTATTCTGGGAATATGGGATAACAAGCCAAAATGGAACAGTGGGAATTCGTGACTCAAAGGGAATGCCCTAATTGGGTGTCTAACCAATCTTTGTAATGGAGAGTCCTTTATACTCGGGAAATACGAATTCATGATGCCTTCAAAGACCATTCCTACATTTCATCATTAAAATTGACGAAAAAAGAAAACGATTTGATGCATTATTAAATTATTTTACTGCTTCATGTTTCAATGGAACTTGAAAATGATTTTTCGATGAATATATTTAAATCCAATGGAAATAACGAGATTTCCATTCATTTTCGAGGAAAATTAGCTCATAATTTCCATAGAATACAAAATATTTTCATTCCTCATCTGAATTTGAATAATTTTTTCTCGTCTGGCACAACTCAGTATTTCTCTACTTAATTTTAAAAATTTGTAGAAAAGAAATCCCTCCGGAATGCAGTTGCCCTCATTATGCACACATCATAATTCCAGTGGTAGCATTCAAGTTGCCGTTCAGATATTGGGCTTTAAATGCTGTTCATAAATATCACACCGGGCACTTTGGCAAGCTTTCATTATTCGACCCATCGAGAACTGAATATTAAACAGTAACACGACGGGTGGAAAAAGCCCAGTAAATATTCTCGACAAAGACTCGTCCCCTGGGGTGAATATATGAGTCTGACATAAGACCCCCTAATGGAACTGGTTTTTTTCTTATTCAGTTTATTTAACGAATACTTGGAAGCTTTTAAAGCACTAATTCTCCCATTTCCCTTCATTAAACATGAGCAAATCACATGAAGTTATTTATTAATTGTTAATTAGAATTATTTGCAGTGAAATTCAATTGAGAAGTTTTAATTTAAAAAATTCTAAAGGAACGGAGAAATCGAAAAAATGAAGAATGCAGCCTAGAGTCGTAATTTTTTCATTCAGTCCTTTCATCAGCACTCGTCTGAGTGAATTAACGTACCTGATGAGGTGCTGGTGATCGATTGGCACTGTGGCTCCCCGGTGAATTGCAATTTGAGTCAAAGCCCTTGTCGCCCTTTTTACGATCCTTTTTTTTCTTCGGTCGCACGATATGCGCCTCCATCCACGTGCGCAACTTCGTGCCGAACATGATTATGCTGACTCCAGTATTATTAAACCCTCTCGTACTCTCCTTCTCCACAATTTTCTCACAGTTTCATTCGCACAGTAATTATTTACAAACGTGAATGCAGAAGAATTTTCGCCAGTCTATTTCGAGGCGTTTTTTTTTCTCCTTCTCGCTTATTCTCTTTTGTCGTCTAGACCCTTTTCACGGGATTTTATTCAGCTGAGAGTCGTTAGTATCCCACAGAGCTCGTCATTAACATACTAATCGTTGTATCCACCTCTTAGTTAGCAGGGAATCCGAATACCGGGAGATACACGTTGGCAGATCCCTATCTTTCATTTTGCGAGGGCCGTGGATACTTACTGCATCCATCAGCGAAGAATCTGGAACATTTCCAGGGGAAAAATATTTCATGAAATATTCTAGGCGAGTGGAAATACTTTCGTGAGAAAATTCCATTCAAGATTTTCCAAAGGGATTAAAAGTTGACGATAAAAAAATTCTCGTGATTTTATACTGCAAATGATTTCGCTAATGTAAAGAAAAACAATGCAGAACTTTTCTGAAAAAAAAAATTTATTGGAAGAATTCGGAACATTTCGAGAGAAAAAATATTTGCTGGAATATTTTCGACGCGTGGAAATAGTTTCGCGAGAAAATTCCATTGGAGAATTTTTTGCGCTCTCTAGAGTGGAACTAAGCAGCAATAGAACCTTCAAAATGAATAGAAAGTCAGCGATAAAGAAATTTCCGTGATTGTGTAATGCAAATCTAGTTCAGAATTTGATATTGAGTCATTTATCTTCTTCAACATGTGAAAAAGGAGAGTGCAGCAACTTTAAATTTCTTTACATTTAAAAAGTCACTACCAACTCTTCTGAAGAAAAAAAAAATTTGATTGGACAGAGTGAAAAGTGTTCGGTTGTCCAAACTTTTTTTTTTACCCCAAGATAAGACGGGAAAAGCTTTTACCCGGAAACGTATAGCATTGGAAAGTTTCAGAGGATGCCCTCTCGTATAATATAAGGGACAAGAGCTGACTTCTGTTGTACTGAAACATTCGAGAGTGGAATGGGGCACAGGTTGAGAAGCTATCGGGGTTGGGGTATTCGATGCGTCTGCCATTTTCATTGCCTCCGTTGAGTTGAGGATCGAAAGAGGCAGAGAGGCGTAAAAACGTGATTCCACAGTTTACGGTGAAATCACAACCACTGAGAGGGGCTGTAATTAACTCGGCAAAGCATTTCTAGGGAATCTACTTCCATCAATTCATCAAAAAGTGAGAAAAATGAATTTTCGAGGGATACATTGTCACAGCTGAGTGATAAAAACCATCACCTCCCTCTCACACTCCCTGTTTTGTGTGTGCATCCCTTCAATTTCCCTCACGCGAGGGTGAATACATGGCCTTCTGTCACGCACCCTCCCACGACTGCCTTTTTTCCCCTCCACTTCACATATTGAGTAATTAAACGAATTAAACGATAAGGACGGATGAATTTACTGGTGATGATGAGATCAATTGAAAATTAAAAAAGTTCATTTTCCGATTGCTATTGAAATTTACCCCATCATTTTACGATTCATTCAATATTCGGAGAAGCATTCCATCGAAACGAAAACATTACTTTAGATTGGAGAATTTATATGAATTTAACTCTTTGGAAGCAACATTTTTAATTAAAAAATTGTTTTGGGGCATCTCCCACAGACAACTGCATGCATTATCCATCACGTGGGATGAAACATTCGAAACAATGACTGAAAATTCCATCAGCATTCCCCAAAATACCCCCGAGTACTCGCGTGAAATGTGATTTCCCTCTCATTGTCAGACGAGACGAGTACAAACTCTGCACTGATGGTGTCCCATTGTAGTAAAATTGATGTGCGTCAGTGGCTCAACTGCGTTTGTCTATCCTGGTTTTGTTAGATAACGCTGTCCATCGAGGATCATACACCATCGAGTGCATGCTAGCACACTCCTCGGTGGATTATTGGCGGCGAAGGGTTGTACAGCCACAACTCACTCTCGGGGCGATCCTCCCTTCGCTTGGGCACACGTGGGAATCATTCTGCGAGATCCTCCCCACGATCAGCCAAATGGAGATGCATCGAAACGTCATGTATATACATGATGTAGCGGGAGTGGCAATGCCACTGTATTTGGTCCAGAGTCAAAGCCCTGTTAGTGTCCAGTGCCATTCGACAAACCAACGCAAGGGGAGTCATTGCATCTGGCGGCGGGAATGCGTCGGGGGTGAAACTACCCTGCAATTTATTGTGGTCAGCTGGTAACTCGATCTTCAAACCCCTTTCAGCCATTACCATTTTTAATTTATATTTACGATAGGATAAATGAGGGGTTTCTTATTCAGAAACGTACTTGTTTTATTTTGGGGCCTTTAGTGGTGGAAAAAAATTGAATTTTCATGGAGTTGACTTTGGCCCCGAAAGAAAAAAAAAATTTGCTTCGACATTTCTGGCCCGGCCGAGGGTTTCATTGGCATTACCGGGGTCAATAAATACAGAATCAACATTCACTTGACGAAAAAACTCGATTTTGACGAAAGTCGACTTTCCCCCGGGGAAAATCCAAGATCTGCAACTTGACCCCGGGTGAAAAAAAAATTTTTTATTTCAACATTTCTGGCGCGGCCGAGGGTTTCATTGACATTAGCGGGGTCAATAAATACACAATCAACATTCACTTCACGAAAAAACTCGATTTTGGCGAAAGTCGCCTATCCCCCGGGAAAAATCCAAGATCTGACACTTTGGCCCCGGGTGAAAAAAAAAATTTTTATTTCGACATTTCTGGCACCTCTGAGGGTTTCATTAGCATCAGAATCGTCAGTAGATACAGAATCCCCGCTCACTCGGCGAAAAAATTCGATTTTGCCGAAAGTCGACTTTCCCCCGGGAAAAATCCAAGATCTGACACTTTGGCCCCGAGTGAAAAAAGAATGAAATGTCAGTGGCATTATAGTGTATTAAATTGTCGTAATCTTCTAAAAAAGGGAAGATCGAGAGACGATTCCGTTTCATTCCAGAAATCACATAAATGTCTTGAACTAATATTGAATCTTCTGTAAAGAATTTCCGCAAATCTTCGTAGAATGGAAGACCCCTAAAAATATTAATGGACCATATGGACCTTTGCTCCTAATATCTGAAGTACATTTGACACCTCATCACTCCCGAAAACTCGATGATGAAGGGTGGGACATAATCAAATAGGTTTAAGCCCCACCCATTCACCCACTGGCTCGTCGTCTTTATTTCCGGCTTGGGAATCCCGTAAGGGTGACGTCTACAGACTCCCTCGATGTACCCAAAATCTCAGGGGCCACCTACCACCATAATTTCCGTCCAATTTTAATCCTCCGCACGTGCAAGGCGACGAGGAAAATCATGGCTAAAAAAGGAGAATCATAAGACGGGATTTACGGTGGCCCGTAATAACCCTCTGATGGATTTTTCGTTGCCTCAAAATGAGATTAACCGATCCCCTCAGAAATTTTCGCCCATCCCACTCGTAAATTCACTCGATGAATTGAAATATCACGAGTAAATGTTCGAATAATTTTCCCCTATGTTTGTGTCTGGTGAGTGCTGGGGATTAAACGATGCGTGAGAAATTTTCCAGCGTCACAACTCCGAGAGACTTTTGTTGATGGAAATATCACGAGTCTCGGGGACATACGAATTCGATTCCCAAATGACCAGTCCTGTAGGCGTGAGCAGTCAGACTGTCCGATCTGGGTGCAGTCGTGCGTAAGTGCATTGGAAGGGTTGATTCAATGCAGGAAAAATTGAAATTTAATTGAAAGAAGGGACTTTGAAATTTGTATACAGTATTACAGACATTTTTAGCTTCTTTTTAAATGTCGCTAATTCATTGAACCTTTGGTGAAACTGAATTTTTTTAATTTCATTTTTTTTTTTTTTTTTTTTTTTTTTTTTTTTTTTTTTTTTTTTTTTTTTTTTTTTTTTTTTTTTTTTTTTTTTTTTTTTTTTTTTTTTTTTTTTTTTTNCAGAATGGTGAGATCTAACCATTTTTAAAGTCTTGATCAATCGCCATATAGTCTCATCAGACTCGAAGCGATATAAAATAAGCATAAAAAAAAAAAATTTCATTTTTTTTAAAGTCAAAAGTGTCCATTGCCCTCCCCTAGGGATATTTTTAAAAAATCCACTCTAAAGATAACTTTGTTTGCAATTGCAACAAATAAAAAAATACTTCAATAATTCACTCAAAGCTCAAACTCCATAAATATTTCCTTCACTCGTCCGTATTGATTGGCTCCTTCCATTCGATTTATTTGCTCTTCTGAGACTCCCAAGTTTGTTAATGTCTTTTTATAGTGATCGACTTAACGTCTCGAATGACGTGTCAGATATGTGTGAGCGACCGGCAGACGACGCTTGGAACGCGCGAATTGTAAACCAAAAAAAAGTCCAGCCAAAATTAACTGCCGGAGCGACCATGACTCACAACATCCAGATATACATTTAAGCTCAATGTTTTCCAGTGACGACTGCTCCATTCAAAATATTTTCCATTCACTCTCGGTATTCCCTGTTTATTTATCTTCCGCAAGGTTCCCCATCAAGTCGTGCAGGAAAAAAAATCCCGTAAATAATCAGCGGAGGAATTCATTTATTTTGGCGAAATGAAATTGCTCCGTAAATTGGCCTCATGAATTAATTTATTTCTCTTCATGCAGGGAAATTTCCGTCCATCCTTCCTGCGTTATCTTTTTTTATTATAAAAAATAATCTCATAACAGATTATCGCTCATGAAAATTAATGAAGCTAAATTTCGGGGGGTTGTGGAGCTAAAATGAGGTGTCAGAATTTTTCTTCTCTCTCTCGGAAATTACGGTTAAATGGCCTGAGGTAGCGGTGAAAAGAGGGGAGTTGTGAAAAGATACTCCCTGTTGGCAAAATACATGCACAATAATGCCAGCCCTCTCAAGGCAGTTACACCCCCTGAATATATTTTTTTCTCGTAATTTTTTTCTTCCTCGGTAAATCGAACAAGTGATACTGACCCAGTGCAGATCGCACGATATTTCTCGCTCTTATCCTTTAAAAAATATCTCGCGATCAAATATTGACGTTTATGGAGCCGACTCGAGGCGGTGGGATTCATTGCAAATGCGGATCAGGGGGAATCTGTCGAGGAGTTTTGGCAGAGGGAGAGTTGCAGCCCCTACCCTTCACAAAAAAGGAGGAAAAGCCTGTTAAACGTCTGGAGAGACGCCAGGATGTTGTATTACTATGGCTCCTGTCCAGGATATATTCGTGTTTGAAATTCCAAGGATGTTGGCTCGACATAACACTAGAATTTTCATGAAAATATGAATTTTAATAAAG